CCTAGAAGACGTCTGTTGGTAAAACATATACAAAAAGATAGATATACAAATAATATTTTCTCCTTCAATACTCTCACATCAAATCTTAAACACCAAAGAACAGAACATTTTAAAGTCACAGCAATCTACGCAATGTTTAAATAGCAACATTTAGCTCTGTTATAACTTGATACAATAACAAACTCGATTTCTCCGAGCAAATTGTTTATATAATCGGGGATACGTAATAAAAGATTATCATCGCAAGTTCAGACTGAGACTCCAGTAATTTGAGTTAACTGAGCGCGCGAATTTACAATCTTCTTAACGCTTTCAAATCGCTCGAATGCGTATTAGTCAGTTAATGTGACTTTCAAAACTGTCGTAAGTCTAAACGGAAACTAAATAAGGGCTGACACATGGTACATAGAATGCGACGCTTTGAAACAATACTCACGCCATCTTTATTGTAAAAATCTATGCTAATTTAAACAAAAATATTGTAGTATCTTCAGATTTTTGTTTGTATTTTATAGGTAACTGTTACTGACATGTAATTTGTAATTATCAAGACAATATGTGAGCGTCATTTTATGTTAAAAACTTCTGATTTTCATAATTATAATACAATTAAAATAACGGATTTTTTTAACACCATAATATAGCGTAAATGACTTTGAATTTAAAGTTTCTTATCATCATTCATAAGAACTTTAATTATTTTGATTGTTTGTAACAGAAACAAGATATTGAACAAGTTTAAGAATATATTTATTTCTTGTAACAATTCCGCCCCACTGTCGTATTGTGCAAAGGGTTTGAAATCCAATTAGCCTTTGACGAAGTTGTTACTTAGAACGCATTTACGTATACATATATACGTAGAGACAAGCGGAAGAGGGATTTAATGTGTATTTCGTCGCGTTTCCTCGATCTCATAGTGAGACGGTGAGAGGAGTTCTTCCTTTCAAACGTCGCCACGCCTAAACCGTCTCTGGCTTAACGCGTGCCGTCAAACTTGATACCCATTTTCCAAGTTGTAATTCGACAGGCGCTGAAATAATGCAAATTCACGGCGCTATATATCCCCCGTTTATTTGTATGTCGGGGTTATTTGACACGAGTATCGTGCGGTATAGAAACGTCACAAAGGCTGTACAACGTCCAGTCCGCAAGACTGCGTGGTCACGAGAGTAATCCTTATTTATGGTAAGACGCCAAGCGACGCCTCCGCTAGACTAACTATTTGTCAGGCCCAGCGTCCGTTACTTGTATCAATCTCAGCTTCAAGATTACCATATCGACTCCACACTAAAGGAAACTTGATCAATACATAGTCACATTATGTATTACGTAAACTATTAAGCGCCAACCCACATTAATAATGTTAGCCGCACCAACAAAAGCGAATCCGAATCACCCCCAATTAAACCGTCAGACGGACAAACGGTCAAAAACCGGTCAATTATTAGATGGTACAGAATTAAACGCAACTTAAGCGGTCATCTCACAATATGACCGCAAACAGCTCTATTTTGGCAAGTCATAACAGGCCGGGTGCGTCCAAGCGGGAGGTCCATTATATTGTGGAACATTTTTCAATGACCACACTGACCGCCCCTATGGCGTACATGAGATAAAATCGTAAATTATAACCCAATTCCGTAGCTGTTAAACCTTGACAGATGAAAAGGCTTAGAGCTGAGTGTTAGTATCGCTGGCATATCGTTAAAATTTGAAATGATATAGGGACACTTCACTATAGGACATTATAGAATGATTAACGTTACACGTCTTGTATGTGACAACATAAAAGTTTACATTTTATACAGAATGATCTATCAGTATGATAGGATAATAAAAAAACATTATTTTATTTATATTAAATACTATATATACATATTTAACATGATTAATATAAGAAATAGAACGATATTTAAAAAAATCTATTCACCATGACCTTTGTTTAAGAGAGCAATTACGATAGCAAAATCCTCATTCATCATTCCGAATTCTAAGCTATATAAAACGTATTATTTAACGGTATATCATATAAAATATGGCAAATTTCATGGTCCGTGTTCGATACTGATGTGGTATGTAATGCGATTATTAAATTAAAGCACTGCTGCGGCGATGAACGTTGGACCCCTGTCGCTTGAGCCATTTGAAGCGCCCACTATCCTACAACGTTTACACAGACTAATCTATCGACCAGTCTTGATATTACGAGCGAAATAACATAGATAATTCTATTTTCATTTATATATTTATTGTCTAAATTATAAAAGAAAAACCTTAATAATATTATCCACGTATAAAGTTTGGTAAACAATAAATTCTAATAGATTTTCTCTTGCTTTTGCTTTTTTAGTTTTGCTCACTCTAAATATTCTGTTTTGACATTTTTTTATTATAATAATGTCGCAATGAAGATTTTGAATCAATCTATATATTTTAATTGTTCAGTTAATTGAATTACAAATGTATTTAATATTTAAAGTATCAAAACGTCTTGGTCATCGTCAGTAATCATTAATGTTTAAACAATAAAGGTGACTGGTGACCAACAGGCTGCGGGCTACACTTCCCGAACTGATTAATTTATAGCCTCTTAGATTCTAATGGATATGGAACATGTCAATTAATTTAAAACCATTAAAAATACTCTAATAATTGATATTATAAAGTATTTACTTACAAAATTCATATATTTATATCTTATACTTTATCCACATATAAATTAATTTTAAGTAATAAAATTACGTTTCCATAATCTCTTGTTTCGAAACAATGTTATATTTACAACGTAATGGTTTATGTTTCTTTATAATACAATAAGTTAAGAGATTATTTTTCTAAGATGCAATAAACGGTATTTACGATCTATGACAAATCTGAATTACGATCATAACCATTGTGAGTTTGAAGCGTCGATCTAATAAAATAACTCATGTCCAATTTATGTTAATACAATAAATACAAACATAAATAACTATGATTGAAGTCTCAGAGACAATATCAATTTATATACTAAAGTTCTTTAAACACGAGCCGGAGAAACTCCGTAGTAAATTATATAATAAATATCAATTTACATATCTGAAGGCTATTCCGGTTAAGACAAAAGGGTTCGCGTGATAATTTTAACCGCAACGTAACCAAATGATTGTACTAAGTTTAATTTAGGTAAGACTCGGCATATGCTTGCGGCTATGTTAGTATTCGTGACTGCGGTCGGAATGTCACCATTTAATGTATTTTTGGTAGGTAAGGAATTTGATCGTTTATAATGAAACTACCCTTGTTATTCAAATTGCATGTACATCCGTGTCAATTAGGTACAGCAAACGTTACAGATGTCAAATCATTATTACTAACGTCATATATTGATTGTCTTAGTGGTTTCATTTATAAAAATTCTGTAACTTTTGTATCGAGTAAAAATATTGTGAAAAATGTATTAAGTGATGTTATTAAGTTTCGCCCGGAGCGGAGTCTTACGGCTGCGGTTTATTAATCAAGTAAAGACAAGGTTTTGTGGCATTTTTCTCCAATCTTCATTATTCCTTGGGAACTGAACGTGATGAGAAATTAATCCGCTCCGGGCCCCAGGTGCCTGTGACGCTACACCGGCTCTCAGAAACCTAATCCGTGCGTTTACGTTATTTTCAAACAGCTAAGAGAAATACGGCAATTACGGTTCAATGTGGTCCTTTTTTAACGGCACTTCTTTGGAAGTTGTTTTTTATATGATTAGTGAATTCTTATTCCATTAAATATTAATCTCTTAAACATAATTGCATAGAAGTACTTCTAAACTTATTTATATCAAGATTTTATGATGAGTAGGTGTCACTTGAAAATAATATATCTGCTTATAAAAAGGAACAATAATCTGTTATTTGAATGTAACTAACTGTAACGGCGATATTTATAATAACTAAATAGTCGTCTCGCTAAAGCTAAGCAGTTTCAGCTGTAAACTTGGTAGAAAAGCGGCAGATTTGAAGGAAACGCTCCGCCGTAATCCGGACATATCTCAGTACATTGCTCAGAGACACAGCGGGACTTAGCGAAAGCCGCGACGCAGATGCTTATCTCAATAACAGTTTTATTTATTTTTGCGAGCGCCTGATCCACTCCCGGCGGATCTGTCTAAATGAAAATAGGGGGCGTGCTCACTATATTAAGAGACATTTGCGTCGGGACGTATTGTATGTACCCACTGAGACTATCGGATACACAAACTTTTAATCTTTTAGTCGCATAATTTGTTACATATTTTTTAACTTTCAACTTTCCTTAACTTTCAATATGACTTAATGATTTTAAAAGTAAATTTTTATGATTCATTAAAGCTATCATTCAATGGGACTATCGCCAATAAAACCAGAAACTTAAGATGCGAAAAACAAGATAATTCCATACAACAAAAAAGCAGACGCGCCATCTAATTAAGTAATTTCGTGTAATTGCCAATAGATTAGGTTTTTCAAGTCGACAACATCCCAAGAGAACATCGGTTGTTCAAATGTACACGATTCAAATGAACGAAACTCAATCAAATAATGAAGCAATTTTTATTATTTCCTTTAACATAATTTTAAACATATAAATCGTGCGTCCAATTTCATATCAAAACTTTTATAATAATGACTATTCTTCATGTTCAATTACATCGTTCTTTGTTAGGAATAAATGAAAGTTTATATAAAATGTCATGGAAACGCATGCTATAATAATATGCTCTTATATCAGCTAGCAGACCATAGTTACATACTCGTAGCTTTAACAAACGGTTGAGTGAAATTGCAGCGGTTAGAGCAGGGTGGCTTTCTTGTTTAAGTGGAAAATTATAATGTTTTTAATATATGGAAACGTGAGAATCACTTAGGACAAGGCTATTGTATAAGCAATTATATAATATACATTCCAAATTACTTTCATGATCATTTGCAAATATTTTAAGCACTCTAAATCAATTTTATGTACATTTTTAAATACTTTAGAAGCTCAAATCAAATTCTGATGTCAGAAGTTGAGGGTAATATTTCAGGTGGACGCTGTAAGACTGTCTTCTCTCTTTTACGAAGATCATCCCTTAGTAGCATGAGGTTCTCGTAATGTTCAGTGGAGGCATCTAAAAGTTTGACACACACACGTATAGCTGCTGTTTGTCTCTCACATTCCATGTCCAAAGCAGCTTCAGTAGCCTGACTGACTGATAGAACACCATCCACCATTTCATCCAACCTGAGAAAATATACTCTTTAAAATTTAAATCGACATTATAAGAAACTTTTAAAACTTCTGATGCACTTTCATATAAACTATTTATATATTTGAATCTTAATACTTTAAAAAATAAGAATTATAATCGAATAATAATTTTAAATCTAAGGATATTTCTTAATTTATATCTACAGCATATTTAATATCAGTTGCCGTATTATGTCAGTACGTACTCGCGTTTCCTAATTTCAAGATAAAAGCAAAAGAATATCACGATCACAAATATCATCGATGCATTGAGCTGCAACCAAGTGAGGTGCTGATCGAGGACATGGAACCGGGACACCCTGATCTTCGGGATAACATCCCATACTGAGATCCCAGGGAACAGTAGTGTTAGGGGGAGAGCGAAAACAGCTATAGCTACAACCACTGATACAGCGTCCCACTCGCCGTCACCTATAGACATCGCTTTTATTTCAAAATGTTTAAAATTTATCACGTAACATTAATTTTACAATTTTCTTATCCAATAATTTTGCGGGTTATTCAAAGATGAACATGTCACTTACGTCAATGCATAAAAATGTCATAGTGTAAGAAAATACTCTTTGAAAATATATATGGGAATATTTTCAAACTAGAAATGGTACCAAACGAGGCAGTCCTTGTCCTTTGACATATGTCGCTAGCCAAAACTCGCACGGCATATCAAATTCAACTAGATACATACAATAAAATTGGACTATCTCCGGAGAGGGCTTAAACGATTCGCCGTTTTGTCTCGGGGCCAGCTGCGTAATGACCGAAGAAGGAAAAAATTGTCAGCAAGAAAACGCGAGGGTAGTTGGGTTTATGTGAGCGCGGCAGCTGGCCGACCGACGGTCTCCTAACGGCCTCTGCTTACCTCGCAAAACCCGCGCCAATTTTATTTATCGAAAATATAAACCGATTTGCAGAGCACCGTCGTAAATCTGCACGGCCGATTTATAGCTGTTACCAGCCGCGCTTAAACATCACTTTTTAAAAAGTTTTCTAATGCCTCCTCAGAACGAGACCAATGAGTTTAATAAAGATTGGATAAACACTTCCCCAAAAACGGAAGATTTAAATAGATCGTACATTTTGTAACAAAAATACTCCTGATATGATGATAATATATCATTCATACTTATATTAAAATAAAGGATTATAAATATCCATTTTATTACATTTGAAAGTGAGAAAAACTCTATATCAAAGTTATAAGCAAAAATAACTCCCAGAATTAATTTAAATTTAAAAATTTCATACAAAATTTTATATAACAAAATCTGTAACAATAATTGCGTATTTCCTGTCATATTTTTATCGCGAAGAACCTTATTATGAACCAATAAGCCCAAAACCATATGCCCACGTCAAAATTACCGAGTAATCAAACGGCTATCGGAGGGACCTTATATCGGAATCATTACAAAGGGTGATCGAAGCCAAATTCATTACATTTATGAAGGGAAAATTGTTTTGGTAAATCCCTTAACAATTTACTTAATACGTTCAGTTTACGACATCGATTCACGGCCGTAATATCATGGTAGCTACTTAGTTGTTATTAAACAAGCATATCTGTATGTTTAAAATGACTAACTTCAAATTAATATATACTTTATCCAACGACATTGAATGCTAATCGTATAATAATATATTACTAGTAAGAATTTCTAAGTTTTACGTACCTAATATCATAGTGTGTTTTTGCATACACATTGTCCTTGTTACTGCGGTAGTCTTTTCTTTTTCACATCTTACTTCAAAATTATATTTTACCACATGTGACAAATACGAACTCTTACGACGACCGATTAATTTAAAAGTTTCTTTAGTATTGCGACACCATTCAGCAATCGTAAAGATTCACGTATGTGCCTACATATTTCTACTTCTGAAGACGGTTATAAAAAATATGTTAAGCTTCAAAAAATACTTGTTACGTTTGTTATTATTACTTTTTAATACGGCACAAGTTAAATAAGAAGATTCAATTTAAAATGTTTTGATTACCTTTCAAAAATAGTGCAACATTTAAATATTTATAATTCAGATTCGACTTACAGTGTCTTTAATCAAATGATCAGGAAAATATCTATTAGTGATAGACTCAGACTTTTAAGGCACAGATAATTATTATTAAGTCTACAGTCATTAAGCTGCCTCTTACTTTCTAAACGTCAAATTCGACATTGCCATTATGTGTTGCATTACATAGCTTGGATTTTCTCACTATCTAGAAGAGAAACATTTATTATAAGGCATAATTATAACTATTACGAGCGTATTTACAAGTTAGCCGTCTTCCTTTTCCTAGATACCTACTGATCATATAATATTCGCAAAATGCATATAATACATATATACCTATATATTTTGTATATATGTGATACGCACTAAGTGTGATAGTATGGTAATTATACAAATCCTTTCTGGTCACTCTACGAGATTTTAGCTTGACTAAGTAACAACATTTAAACATTTATGATTTAAACGGTTTTCAGTATTGCAAGCTAGCGATTTTAAGTCTTCAATTATTTCCCACTGTCATATACTTTTATATTAATTAAGGCACCTTTTTGGCTTTTTAAATAAAAGAGAGATTACTTGTTGATTTGCTTACCGTCCTATTTCAGCTTAGACTTATCTGTTAGCCATTGTCGTATGCATATAATCTATCCTACTAATATTATAAATGTGTTAGTTTGTGACTTGTGAGGACCTAAATATATTTAGTTTTACGAGTGTTTGTTGCCCATTCAAATAAAAACTACTTTTTGATGAAACATTAGTTATTTATCTTAAAAAAAATAATAGATCATAAGCTATAATTAATAGCTTAATACCGTATAATTCCTAGGAAATCGTAACGTCTGTATATAATCTGAAAACGGCGGATACCCTATATAATATGAAGACGACGAAAAAAACTAGTACAGGTACACATAATCTATGTACATATATGCATACGTTCGCTGTTTACTAGTCATGATGCTTTTAACAAAAAATTAAATAACAGCAAAATATTTATCTAGCCTGTTAAATTGTAATTTGTACTATAAACCCTTTTTGAAAGTCGAATGCTATGTACGACATAACAAAAAGATTAGTTAACCACGCAAGAGATGGCGCTCCAATTAAACAATTCGTTGTAAAAAAGCGTGAGTAGATATTTTTTTGTTTAATCAGCCCGTTTCGCTTTTAAAAAATCACTTCTGATTAATTCATGTTACACTCAAAAATAATTAAATTCATAATTATACATATCTATGGCAGAGTTTGCAATCGTACAAGCTGATACTATTCAGTTTAATATATTTGTAATTCAATTTCAATTTGGTTTGGTTTCACAAATTACACAAGCATACATTGTAATATCTACTTTATTGAAAAATCATTGGACATTTTTTTCATTTGTATAATGTAGTAAATATGTCAGACTAATATAATATTGTTATTTCAAATTGTTCAAACTGAGAAGCAGTTTACTTGCATTTAATAATAAAATTTTTGCAGATGATGGAATATTATCAAAGACAAAAAAAAATTAGACCCGCGAGCAGGCATTTAACCTGCAACTTGATGATGTCATTCCGACCAAAACATTTTATACTTTATAACTAACTAATGCAAAAATAAATGCAGGTATATACACAAATATTTCACTTAAGGTTGAATAAAAATAGAAATGAATTGTATAATTTTATTGTAGATCTACAAATGTATAAAATATCAGTCTACCAACTAGCGATTATTACCATCAATGTGGAGAAGCGAATAATTGTTTTTTTTATTTAATAAGCTCTAAAAATAACAGATGTATGATACCTTTATTACAATTTAACTTGTCATATCATTAAGGCTTTTAATTTGATTGTTGTTTAAAAGAGGTATTTTTATAATACAAAACAATATATTAGTAGTTATAATTATTTTTGTCAATTTACATTATATAAGGAATATCATTATTTGACGCTTCACCATAGTTATGACTTATTTTGTCAGCATTCACATTTTGAATTTACATAAAGTGATTATAAAATGTTGGCTGTTGAATATTAAACATTGAATATATCAAATTTCATAGTAAAATCTTCATATTTCTAAATAATATAACTTATTTTTACACAATTATGTGAAATAAACATACTTCTAATATTTTATTATTGAAAAATTTGAACACTATATAATTATTACAGATTAAAATTTTAAATGAAGTTACCCAAAAAAAGAGTATTTAAATTTCAAGAATAGTAAAACATAACGAATAATGCCATTGTTTGTAAATTAGACTTCGAAAAGTTAATAAAAACTGAATTGTATATATAAATCAATAAAATAAAATCCGCTTGCTTATTTTAAAAATATTATAGATATGAAATACTTAAGCAAATAACATATTATTCATTTTTAACAATATTTTCTGAAGGAGATTCGATTCGTGCTTCAATCAATTAACTTTTCATTATATATTAATTTAAACGACAAATTAATTAAGAATTTTTAAATCAATATGACCCCATATAAACATGAATTACAACAAAATTTAATGATCACACTTATAAAACGGTGGGAATTACATGCACATATAGGAATATAAAAAGAAAAACTTTTTTAATACACAAACTTCCCGTAAAAATTTTGTTTACAGTTCAATGCTATAGTTATGCGAAAATTTACCTTTATAAATAAACTTTTTTCACTTGACTTTGATTCAATTTTGTGATTATACATTAAATGAGTCTTCTACATTGTGTTACCAGGCTTGATTATGGATTTTTAAAATACAAATGGAATAGAAAAAATGATATTTTCAATATTTAGGACTTCCGTAATGGCCGATACATTTGTTTTGTCAACTTAATATAAATTAAAAAACAGTTTTCATATCAATTGAAACAAATGTATTTCACTTACAATACTTAAAGCGCTAGCTTAAAATATTATTTCTCAATTAATCATGATTATCACATTACTATTCTTAGTTAAATATCAAATTGACTAATTGTGACAAGATTTTTTTTTTTCACTAAAAACTATTAAAAAGTTGCCATAAATAATTAACCAATTATTTTAATATCAAAATTTATATTCAGCGAGATTTTATAACATGTATTTTACATCATTATTTAAATATGGCAATAATACTTAAAAGAATTCTATCACCATTAAATATTAGTATTTTAATTAATTTAATAAATCTGGAATTAACAGTATAATACATTTAATCTTAATATATGAGATATCACAATATGTAATGTGTCCTCCGACAAATGTCACAAAGCATATAATATATTTCTTAGACCATTTATATTTAGCATTAATATGTAACATATAAACATACTAACATATTAAATATACACAATGTTATAATGAGTCAGTAAACAGTCATAAAGCTTTCAAAGTTAATAACTAATTCTATACAATCTAATACATTTTTTATCATGATTTAATATATTAATTGATTTCTAACATCAAATAATACCGTTACAAATAAGAGGTAATATAAGTTAATGGGTTACTAAGGCCATAAATACATTTCTTAATCAATAGTATGTTATTACATACAATATTCGATTTATATAATACTTATACTTCTCTTGTTTATAAGAGGCATTCGGTATTAAAGGCTTGTGTCTAAACCATCGATGGCATCCATGAGGCTCGGTACTGAATCAACTTTCATACCTCGTCTTCTCAGATTATTTAACTCCTCTACTAACTTTGTTTTATCACGACCCAGCGTATCCCTGGAAATGTATGGAATTATCATATTAATAAAATTATTTGTAGGATTATTATGTTTTCTTGAATACAAGTATTATATTTTCTTAAATACAAGTATTATGTTTAAATATTAGTGATTTTAATATTGTGTTTAGACTTTAGACTTTGGATGTATTTCTGTCAGTAACAGTAATTAAAATTTATGTTATGTATATATAAAACGTTATGTTGTTTCTTGTTTACAATGACTTTCTTATTATTATATGTATACCAAATTAAGTGCTTCCATTCAAATCAATCAATTAATATAACAGAAAAGATGGTCTGTTTGCATCACAGTTTCAATATCCAAACCAAATTTTCAAGATATTCAAAATAACAATATTCAATAGCAAATAAATAATATTTTAGATTTATGATAAATATTTCATGAATATTATAGATACATTCAATACCATTTTCTGATCATAGAGATGATACCTTCCAAAAGAAAGTTCACACATAATGAGATCTAAGGCTCACGCGAGTATTAATTTAAATAAAATTCTAGATGTAAAAAAAAACGAAACCAAAGTAACCGTAAAAAAACAAAGTAACCGAAACTTCGAGAGTATATAGTTTTAGAATAATAAAATAACGTGTAGTACATTCAAAAATATTAGTTTCATTTAAAAGCTCAAACATATACAAGAACAATATACAAAATATTTAGTTTAAATTCTGTGTTCACATAGTTGTTGCCTGTTGGGTTATAACTCAGCTTATTTATAATGTTAAACTACCAATTAATTGTATATTTAGTTATAATCTGTTTTGTGAACCGTAAATAAAAATAAAAAACATTGGACAGCCTACCATATAGATATGCAGGTGTGTAATAGTGGTACATATATCATCAACAAGTCTGAATCACTAACAGCCTCGTATCTTCTCAGTGCTAATTGAGCCCATTTCTCCACCGGCCCAGCCAAAGTACCCCCACTGTACCCGGCACAAGCAACAATCCTGCATAGCACACTCAGTACTACTCTTGATCTGTCTGTGTATACCTATAAAAATATATAAACTTTAATGAGTAAAGAAAATCACCAAATTCTCTCAAATTGTCTATAATTGTCCTTAAATTGCTTACAATTGCTGATTGAAAAAAGTATTAAATCACCTATTTAATGAATTTAGTTCATCCAATAGTTTTAAGTAATTTCCAACCAATTCAATGTTTAATACTATGTGATTCATGAACATTTTTGTTGGATACATTTATAAAATTATCAATCACCTACCTAGATAATATATGCAAACTATTAGGTACACTATGGATTTTACTCAATTTAAGTGTAATTATAAGTTTATAGTCAATTTAGTTTCAAATTGAGAGCAAATTGAGAGCAACTAGAAAATAAATAAAGTAATTTGATAAATATTATATCATTTATTGATATAAGTTGCTCTAATAAGGTGATTACAGAATATTGAGGTTAGTATAACCATTAAATATTGTTTTGCACTATATAACAATATTTAGGAATAGTGGATAGAAATAGACTCAAAGGAGACTTGAGTAAAAATGGTGGAAAAAAATTACCAAATTTTAAATTTAATTTTTTTTTAACTACAAATAAAATGTAATGATAGCCATAATCTATGTTTAAAAAAAGGCATTCAGAGATTAATATGTATGTAGAGAAATAAGTTATTTTTATATAAAAGTGTATAAACTTTAATAAATGTTCAAATCAATATCACAAATAATACTCATTACTACAATAGACACTGATCATAAATAAAATATAGGTATGATGTGTACATAGACAAATATAGTGTATTGTATACCACACTCCTTCTAATATTTACGCAATATAAATGAATAAACAAAGCTTTATTCATTTAAACATTTATCTATAATTCCTCAACAACAAAGAAACCATTTATAACACTTTACTAACCTTATTCAACAGTTTAAAACTTGTTTCTAAAACAAACAGAGCTTGGTCAAACTTCCCCTCATTTATCAATTTCCTGGATTCATTCAATTCAACGTTCTGAAAGAATGCGATAGCAGCGGGGGCGTCCCTCAGTCGTGACTCATTTGCTATCAAATTCAACAATGATTCAAACGCAGCACATCTGGATGATATTAGATTTGGGTCAAAATTTCCAACAACTATCTGTAATTGCATATCAAGCAAACATTATTCCCTTCAAAAACTCGAGTTATACAAAGTAAATATGTGGAACAGTGACGCACGTCGTAATTAAATGAAGGTATTAAGTTACATCAATGTAGAAAAGATTGCTATATAATATGCCTCATATCACTTTAATGAGGTCAGGTGATTTAAAAAACTGCCAGTACTACTACCAATAGTACCAATGTCAGTAGTAAATGACCATGATAAACAAATTAAACAAAGCAAAGGATGTTACGGAAGCAATGTTTACAAAATAATGAGTCATACCTTTCTTGGGAATGAAACGGAATTCATTATCGTCGGATGTTCTTTTTTAAGGCCTGTGTAAAGATCTAAAAAATGCGTGTATCGTCTTTCTACGTTCGCTGGATCCGGATCAAACACACTGGACTCCGTGGAATCTTGCCTCACTTGTAACATGTACGATACAAATTTTTTTTCATTGTCGACGCCCTCGACTTTACGAGAGGAAACTATCTCAAACTTTAACATTTTTGTGACTTATTTTGTTAAAAAAATATCAGTAAAACACTATTATGCCTAGAGCATTAGCTGTTCACGATTCGAATGCCATTTAATTAGATTGTAAATAATGATTAAGAAATGACAGACGCTTACAATGACACTTGATAATAACAAAGGACAAAGATGTGACAAGTGTCAAGTTTGACAATATTTGTGTTCTGAACTCAAGGCTATCAAGAAAACGAAAAAAAACATAACTTCTCATAGTGTAACTTTATAAAGTATGATGAAATAACTTTCGTGTGACCTACTATATGAAAAATAAATAAGACATTAATATATTTCCATTCCATTCCCTTCATTAATGGATTTTATACAAAATGCTTATATTATGATGTTACCTCTTCAAAAGTTTCTTGTCTTTTTATAACCATACGTTTACAATTTAAGGCATTGTAATTCGACATTTTTCACGATTTTGACATTTTATATTTTATTACATGATATCAATAGCACATGGTTAGGCGTGTTTATTTTTTATTTAAATTTTTCCTTGAATCTAAGTACAATCAATGTTTTAATGACTTACTGAAACATAAGTTCTTCTATAAAATAATAAAAAAATTCAGTTTAATATGCGTTTAGACAGGTCCATCCTAAAATAATCACGTTGGAATTTAAAAAATAATTTAATAATAAAAGAACCACCCTCCGGAGTTGCAGTTAGCAAAATTATCGAAAAATTTTTTTGGACCAACATAGGTAGTCAATTAAATATACTTACTTAACTTATGCTTTAGCAAATAGTTATTGATCACAGCATAGCATTGTGAGTTGTAAACGATTGTTTATTTAATACGGAATTTGGGATATATACTAACAAATAAAAATACAAAACTGTAGTGACAATTATATTTCAGTAACATTTTTATCATGTGCTTTTAAAAGCATTTAGCTATTACATAATATATAATATTGTCTATACAATAAGTATGATGTATAGTGTAAACATCTAGTTACAAATATTCAAAGCAGTATATATCAATAAATATTGTTATCAATAAAAGATAACAGTATATATTTTTTTAATATATTTTGACTACATTCGTGATTTTTGCGCTTTTTGACAGGTAAAGGGGACATTGTGACAGTTTAAATCACTTCATTTTTTATTATTATTTTGTCGCCGAAGATTAACATGTGTTACGCAAATATATGTATTAATATTGTAAGGCTTCATTCGCATTGGAATCGTGGTATAGTTTACCAATATCAATACTTTTACGCTTGATACTTTTTTGAGTCCAAAATATTTTTGTACTTTAACGCTTCAGAGGTTTGGATATGTTGTTCTGTGAAGACATGTTTTTAATATGAAATATGTAATTTAATAATGATTTTTGGAAGTAGATGACAATAAAACTTATTTTGATCGTATTCTAAACGGTCTTTCTTCAAGTAATATTTAGTAGTAAATAAAAAATATATGTAAATTTTAATAGAACATAACACATGATTGAAATAGATAACTTCGTTCGATCAATATAAATGAATATTTCATACTGAATTTAATCACTCTGACAAGTATATTAGATAGCAGAGTTGCTCAAAAATCGAAAATGTTGCCCACAAAAAATAGAAAAATAATATATTAATTGTTGCCGTTCTATAGAGAGAATCATCTGAATACATAAAATAAAATGTATTAATTATTATAAAATAAAATTTAACTACATATATAGAAAATAATTGTATAACACAATTCGATGTTCCAATACCCGTACATATGTCGTTGTTTTTATTGAAAACGTTTTAAAATAAAATGGATATTTACACATGATTCAGATTGATACACTTTGATTTCGCTTACTTAAATTATTTGTAAAAAAAATCGTACTGTATACATATATCTTGGCAGTAAGTCAATACATAATTATTGATTTGTCTATAATTAAAATAATACCTAGAATATTCAAGTATATAAAATTGTCTAGAACGTTCAGAAACCATAGCGTATTTTAGTATATTAAATACAATAAATATTCTTAATAACACTGTGGTATATTGGTCCTTAATAAATTAAGCTAATCAGATCATCAATTCGTAATTTTCTCTGATGAATCTACATAAGCACAGGAACATAACTTCTGAAGGAATCTCAGTATGCAACCAGAAGCTGTGTTATAGCATTGAGGTTTATTCTGCCATTTGACGCATAAATAATAAACTGGTATCCCAGATAATAGTATGGCAATACCGATGGCTGTGTCTTTAGGTTGCGTTATGGCGGGAATGATGACTAAACAGCCGATTGCTATAAGAAATAAGTATGGTATGATTATGTTGACTCTAATAGGTCTGGACATTTCGGGTTTGGTCTTCCGCAGCCACAACATGCCCACGACTGACGCGCCCACGGACAGCCACAGCGTTTGTGAGTAATAGTTTATAAGCTCGATCACGTTGCTCGTGGTCAACATGAGCAGTGAGAAGAAACACTGGAAATTATATAAAGTTTATTAGTGTTATAGACAATATTTTTTAAATTAATTTTATATGTATTAAAAATAATATTAGGAAATATGTTTTTGTTTTAATTTGAATAATTCTAAACTGAAACATCTGCAGCATTAAGAAATATTGATTTATGTACATACGACTTACGAGTATATTATATAGAACACATTTTTAGCAGTAGATTTTTCTGTTATTTTATTTTATACATAAATAAATTTTATCAAATACATTAGTAATAAAATATAGGTAGTAAGTAATAAATGCATTTATGAAGATCGTATTATAAAGATGAAACTTAATGAATTCTTTTGTATTGGCTACATTGATAATATGAAAACTATACTGTTATTGTCAACACAAAACATCCTTGTTGCTTGTTATCAGTAATGTTCTACAACTGTCTTTAATTGGTTCAAATTCCTAGTCTCGTAAGGAGACAATAATGGAAATGTACCGTACTTTTTTTGTATCTCCTACTACTTTGTCTCACTTTTTTCATATATTTTCTTAATAGTACAATTTAAATATTTAGATATAATAATGAAGTTCTTAGATCAAATACATAATATAAATGTGTCAGTTTGTATAGTGTTTTTTTTTATCTCATTGAGGTTTTTGTTAGAATTAGATTTAAGTGATATATCTATAATATGTGTATCTTCCCGATTGTTCCGATTAATCTTCCGAATTAATTAACCATTGCGATTTTTTCACTTTTGATTTATTATTTATTTATTCACCAACGATTTTTATATCATATACAAATCTATTATAATATCAACATAAATAAACCATTAACCAGGTAATTAAGAACCATTTAAAAAAACATACATAACATACTTTACGTATCTTAAAGTAAATTAAAAAGTAAATATACATCATATAACCCACCGTGAGTATAAGCGATGGTATTGGAGTCTGTTTCTCAACGTGGAACAGCGTGAAGAACCCCGGCATGTGACCCTCCTGGGCGCCAGTAGCGAACAGTCTGGCTGACGTGAACAGCACGCCGTTCACGCCGCCGAATGTTGATAGCGCCACGAACACGGGAATCAACCAGCTCCAGCTACCGAACAGCTGGTCTCCGAAGATCTGGTGTGAAGAGGTTTTATTATATTATTTCGGCTGTATAGGATTGTTCGTTGCTTTATTCATAAAGGAGGTTTTATTACATTAGTTCGGCTGTATAGCATTGATCGTTGCTTGATTTATAAAGGAGGTTTTATTACATTAGTTCGGCTGTATAGAATTGATCGATGCTTTATTTATAAAGGAGGTTTTATTAAATTATTTCGGCTATGGGGGCACAATGGTTTTATCAGATTTGCAGAATAGATTACGTTTTATGAATAATTTAATTTTCTTACCCTTTACTTGAGTTCTTTAAAAATAGAAATAATTAAACGTTCGTTTTAAAATCACATTATTATTTATAGCTACTGAGTTGAAACATAATATGATATTTATAATTTTAATTTTCTTATATGTATTTTAAAATATTCCGAATAGAATCAAAATTTTAAGATGAATTAATAGAACAAAAAAAAACTCATTAATATTTAATAGTATGACTCAGACATTCGACTCGAAACAATTAGATATACTCATTGAATCGATTTATTACTAAATAATTAAATGTATAGATACTACGATTAAAATTTAAAATTAATTTAATTCATCGATTCCAGTCACATTACTACAACTTTTACAGAATCGATAATTAATCAATCAATCGCAAATTAACATCCTAATCGAATAAACAAAAATTTCAGTGTTATCATTCTTAGCATTTAAATCGAATTTTTAACTTTAAAATTAAATTCATTAATATAAAGTATATAAAATAATACAAATTAAATCAATTTACCGCTGCAACTACAGCCTTGGGGTCCAACCATTGTGTCTTGGTAACGACAGCGAAGTACGCCAAGTTTGCCATCACATATATTATGGTCACCATCGGCATAGCTATCCATATAGCTCGAGGGAGATTCCTGAAATACATGAGGACCAATGAAAACCAGACTCGAATACTTCATGGGATATTTCTTAATTATTCTATTGTATGATTTCTACGCTATTTTTTGGCATTGTACATCCTACTAATATTATAATTGCGAAAGTTTGTGTGTGTATGTTTGTTACTTCTTCATGCTCAAACGGCTGAACCGATTTTGATAAAAATTTGTATACAGCAAGCTGACGTCCAGGATTAACCCGCAGGGCGCAGCTACTATGTATATTTGTGTGAGTGTGTGTAATTAAAAAAATATATAAAAACTTGAAAACTTTATTGCAGCTTTTTCGATTTTTTAGTTTTAATTCTGTTTGCTGTAATATTTTTATAAATCGGCTGTTATCCTTATAATAACCATAAACCACTAAAATCTAAGTATTTACCACGATAATACGTTTGCACTATAAGTAACATGTCTAAGATAACTTAAAATTCTTAAAATTCAGTATGTTTACATATTTTAAAAAGCGGAAGTATTAACTGAGTAATTAACATTTTGATGTGACTTTCAGTTTTCATTGATAGCTAATAATAAGCGTTCTTCAGGCTATTTTTATTATATAATGTTTATTTTTTATCCATATATATTCCGAATAAAGTTAAAGTCCGCGATTATAGTTACTATTTATTTATACCATTTGTTAAAAGAAAAACCAATTTCATTAAGAGTATGTATCTCGGTTGGTATTCATTTCACCAAATAAAACGTACCCTCATAAATAATAATGTGATAAAAGCTGCGATCCTGAGAAAACTAATATATCTCACACCCACAGTGATGTAAGAAATTCTATTAGATTGACCTTTAGTACGAACTCTCATTAAACGTAAAACGTAGAGTAACACGTTTTTCACAAGTATAAAACTAAATTCCTCGAACTACATTATTATTATAAGTATATCAAATTTACTTTAATTTTTTTTTATAGTCAACGATAATAATTATTATAGTACGATGATTTTATTTAGCTTTAAATAAGCCTCTTATAGCCTTAATTAAAACATAACCACTACCAAGAACTATAAATGACTTGATAATTATTATAAAATTGCAATGTACATAATAATAGAAGTATAATTTCCGTTTTATTAAACCTATAGGGAAACAATCAAATCCCAGTCCCAAGATATATCTTGAGACTTATTTGAAATGTCTGCTCCATTTAACTCACGACAAAGGACTGTTTGAGGAACTCTCGAGAGGCTTTTAAGTGAATTAAGGCGTCTATTGGTATACATTTATTTATACTTGTTGAGTCTAAGGAATAATGCTTTGAGACGAATATATAAAGGAAATAAATATATATAAAATAAAAGACTATATAAATAATGACTGTCGGGAATTATAAGAAAAATTCCGGGAATAATTATGTAAATGTCCTATTGTAATCGTTAAGGTTTTTTACATTACTCTAAAATAGAAGGATATAAAATCTTGCGAGTGTAATAAAAAAACGATTGAATATTAATAATAACTGATGACTGGGAATTCTAACAATTTAACGTTTTATCGCTAACATTATCAAAAACCAATGTCATTATGTGTTCACAACATAAACACGCATACGAAGATAACATATTGTAAATACATATATAACAAAAGATATATATATATAGGGGAGAGTCGGATATATCGTACCACTTTTCACTTTAACTCAAATATTTCGACTATGACACGTCTTATAATAATTAATACATATGTAAAATAAAGTTTCATATTTTAGCTTCCTAAGAAGAAGAGAACAGATCCTTGCCATTATTCTAACATTGTTAAAAATGCTTTTTTATAGAGTCTTGCCATCGGTAGGATTTAGCCGACTAGTCGTTTTAATCGTACCACTAAGTCTTTAAATCGTACCATGGGTGTTTAAGTCGTACCACTGAATGAAAGACATTAAAATTATCAATCAAATTATTTATTTTTAACTGTTAGGTAAGTAATAAAACAACATAATTTATATCTTTTAGGTAATAGAAACATAATTTTTAACTCTTAGGTTATATAAAGGAACTATAAGCTTTCTCAGTAAAATAACATGATTATACTATGGTAATGAGATCAATCAACATATCCAATAAAAATGAGACAAAAAAAAAAACAGTAAACTATAATAATAAAACAACAGTTAACAAGAATGTTATTTGTAATATAATTATTGTGCATATTTCTTAATGGAAACAATCATGACAAATGTCCGGATTCGAAGTACATATATTTTAATTAGCTCTCATGTAGCCACCGTTTACAGCGAATCAACTTTTGGACCCTTCTTATCGTAGTAAGAACAATTGCACTTTCGACATATATTTTCAAGATCATCATCGCTGTTATCATCATCATCTAGTTCTACAACAATTGCCTCTCCTGAACCATCGCTACTGGTGATGGAATGAGATCGTTTCCTCTTATAACTTGTTCTTGGCCTTGGGTAGTACTTACTATACGAACTTGCGGTAGTACTGTAGGTACTTACGGTTGGTAGTCGGATAAATCGTACCAGTACAACTTAACCAACTGCAAGTGGTACGATTAAACCAACTAAGGCATTTCTAAAACAAAAGCAAATATCCGGCATAAACTCAAAACTTAGACACGCAACAAAAACCCCCAATAATCTAGTATACAATTGTCGAATAATAAAAAAAAAACTGAATAACTATAGCTTACCTTGATTACGAGTTATCTCCTTACGAATGTACGACAATATTTATATTAATTCCTACAAAAAATGTTTTTCTTTTATTACGAGTACAGTTGTTAACTCACGTCGATTTTAACTAGGGGGTGAAGAGGGATGGTACAGAGCCACGATTTGGCGTTGTCAATGTAGAAAAAAATATTCATTAAATGGGAAATTTAGAAGTGGTACGATTTAAATGCTAGTACGATATAACCAACTCTCCCCTATATATATATATATATATATATGAATTTAAATGCACGAGCTATAGTACATTACCATGAGTTTGTAGACAATTCCTTTATATAGAATAACTAGTTTGATTCGTTTACATAAATGAATCATTTACTTCCTTTAAGGATCGAAATATGTAGAAATTATTGTGTGAAACGGAATACGCTTCGTAGGCAGTAACATCCAACTTATACCAAATATATACTACATACTAGCTTTCCGCCCGCAGCTTCGCCCGTGCGGAGTTCGGTTACATCGCGTTTCCAAGAGAACCTTTCAAAAGCCTGGAATAAAAACTATCCTATGTATTTTCTCAAGGTCAACTCTATCTCTGTACCAAATGTCATTAAAATCAGTTCAGTGGTTTAGGCGTGAAAGCATAACAGACACAGACGTTACTTTCGCATTTATAATATTAGTAGGGATAAAATATAAACTACAGAAGCAAAGAAAAGAAAATTTTTATATCTTTTGTCACGAACGTTCGTGATTCCGTCTAACGATCCTTATCAAAGAATATCTTTACTTCCTAACTTTATACGGAACAATATAATAAATAAACCAAGAACAAACTTCTTGGGCCTTAATGAGCAATGTCAGCTATCTAATGTCACATGTCATTAATGTACTGTCAATGTCACATTTGACGTTGACCTTGACGGCTCATAACTGACATATATATTTTTTTTAGTATCCAAGGAATGAAACTTACTTGTAAGGATCTTGAAGTTCCTCTGTGACAAAGTTGAGATAATTCCATCCACCGAAAGCAAACAGACCAGAGTAGAACGCCATGGCAATGTCGCCAGCGCTGTACTCACCGTCAAATGCCCTTTCGAAATTTTCTGTATGTCCTGTAATTAAACGTTATTTATATTATAGAATTGGTGACTAAGATTTTTCTTTTTTAACCGATTTAGTTTAATATAAATAAATATAAAGAACTATTGTTAAAAATGTTAGATAAATAATATATTTTTATAGAATAATCCTTCACTCCATGTATTAATGTATTACGTCACATCCATTCAAAAATTGTAATATCGGACTAGGTCATTGAACTTCTCAGCAATCTAAACTAAATTTTCGTCACCATTTAAAAGTATAATTAGAAAACACATAAACATATATTATTTAATATTTTACTTCAAAACTATTAGCATTGAGGTTAATAAAAAATGACTGTCTGAGCCCTTAGAAAGAGTAAAAATCATGAGTCCGAAGATTTCACTGGAATACTGCAAACTGTCAGTTAATACGTTATCGATTCAAACCGATGGTAAGCAGATGTAATTCTCACATTTATCCTATATCCCACGCAACCGTCAATACCAAAACAATAGCGATTGAAACTCAGCTCCATACTGATAGTGAATTTTGTAACAATGTAATTGTTTGGAAAGCATTAAGAGTATTTTTCATACATTTATAATTAAATTAAATAGTGTCAATAATTGAACAATATATTGTTTACTTTTTATACTAAAATTGTTTTTCGATAATTTATTTCTAAGTCAATAAACCGTAATATTTTTTAGTTTTTAAAACGATTGTAATCTTTATCATATTGAAAAGATATTAATGAGATCTCAGACTTTCGTTACATTCATTAAATGAAACTAATATTTTTTTTATTACTACGAGTATTTTATTATTTTGAAAACTACATTATCGATCGATCTCTACGCGTCTGCTCGTGATCACGGTTGATGCAAAATTACCAAAACGTCGGGATTATTTAGTTAAAAATAATAAAATACAAGTAGTAATCCGATAAATATAAGTTTCAACTTTCATTCAAACAAGATTAATTAATATACTAAGAGACAATTATATTGCTTAGCACAAGTTTGCATCGTTACTAACTACGAAGCGTTTCCCGTTTCTCATACGATATTTAAGTTAATACTATTTATTGAAAATTACTAACTTTCCGTATTGTGGGGATGAAACATGTAGTAATCATACCGTTAGCCATTTATGTGCTGAGATCAAGAATTGGTCTTTAATGTATTGTCCATTAGTATAGGTATTAGGTTCGATTGAAATCGACGTAAATAGGCCAATATAGGTACAGATCGGTCGTTATCGGTTCGAGATAACGTTCTGATAATTACGTTTAGGATGACGTATTTATTGGACAATATGATGTAATACGGTACTACTGATAATTCTACTATTAATTCATAAAGATATTTTATATTACTTTAATAAGTAGATCGCAGAAATAATACTATTTTTATAGTTATATATATGTGAAGGTAATTTTAAGAAAATATTAACCTAACTTCAATGTTTCTGATAGAAACAATTACGTATAGAATACAACGATGTACAAAAAAATTTTACAAGAGACGACACCTCTTAGCATTCAATGGATTCACCGTGCGGGTGCCGGGTCCATACCAAATTTTTTACATGATATAAAATAATAATTTGAAAGTATAGTATCTATACATATAAAAATTAATTGCTGTTTTTTAGCCTCACTAAAACTCGAGAACGGCTGAACGGATTTATCTTATCTTAGTCTTGAAATGTTCGCGGAGGTTCAGGGAAGGTTTAAAAGCTGAAAAAAATTGATTTATTACTGGGAAAACCATAAAAACATCCCTTTTCTATTTCCCATACAAACGGTTTTTTGACGTTAGATTTGACAACTAACTAATATGTCAATCATTCTATCGCACTTCAGGACACGGAGATTTATGGCTTAAAGGTAAACTATAAATATAAATAAAAAATTATTTAGTTATCCATTGAAGCAGTACGAAGTCTGCCGTCAGCTAGTAAGTTAATAAAATGAATTGACTCACCACTCGCTATGTAATAGATGCCCGATATTATTATAACGACCAGCGCCAGTAGTTTTGATGAAGTGAACACGTCTTGGATACGCATGGTCCATCTCACGCTGATGCAGTTTATAGCTGTCAGTATACCTGGTGACAAACAATAACTTAAAAACCTTATAACCAAACTAATTAGATCTTCTTCGGCCATGGAATCGTATGATATATGCCGAATTTATCGTCAATTTTATTAGATGCGACAGTTCTATTTAATTTGGTTTAATATGGTCAGTCGATCATAATACTTGTAACGTCATTCTTCTTCTACCTGGCAATTTCCCAGCTTTAGCCAGGGTCTGCCTTACATTTTCTGAATAGTTTTGGCTAATTGTTTTTACGACTGGCCGTCTGCCTGACATAAACCCTCTTTAGGAAAATACTTGTAACGTAATTATACATATTTTAGTTTTTTTTTTGGAACCTTTAACTGGGGCTTTAGAGGTATTTTCGCCCGTTTCAGACTTATACAAATATAAGTTCATAAAACATTTCGTAAATTAGAGCATTAAAATTCAAAAATGTGATAAATCTGTTGTGTATACTGTGAAAATAATCCAGGTTACCTTTAGCATTAAAAAAAGCTTAGAACTGTAATTAATAAGTTAGGTACAGGCTGTGAAATGATACAATTAACATAGAGATATTATGAATGAAAAAAATCTCCTGAAAATTATCCTTGATATACAAGGACAACAAGGAATTTCACTAAAAACATTCATATTATTTAACAGAGTCAAGACTATAAGAAAATAGTTTTCCTACATAATTATACGAGTTCTGTCGTTTGAACCAATCACATATCGGGAATAAATTATTTAATATCAGTCATATCATTAGTACTTTCTAATCATTAGTAGAGATTTCCATAATTATCTATTGCAATAACACTATTTAATTGCATTGGGAGACGAGACATTACGCATTAAACGAGTTTTTACTCTCATCTAGATACTTTAATATATTATATATGAAATACATAAGAAACTATATTATTATTATTATTATTTTTAGCCTATCAGAGCCCACTGTTGAGCAAAAGCCTCTTTCTCACATGGAACAGGTTTGAGCATTAATCACCACGCTTGCTCAAGACGAGTTGGTGATTTAAAACTTATAATTATTGTGGAATTATAAGTTCAGGTTTCCACACGATGTTTTCCTTCATCAGTCAGTGATGTCTAAATACTCTTAGAGACTATATAAGCTCTAATATTAATAAGACATATGTTTACTCCAATTTTTTACACACACTGAGCGTCAACAGGTTTAAGCATTAACGAATATTACTGAGTATTAAACGGTAAACTATTCGTATGTCATAAAACTGGTAATAAGCATATAGCTTCCCTTCGATCTGTAATGAGGTTAAGTGGATATTTCCTAAAAGGGTCTCCACTGGCTAAGAATGTGTTCATTACTAAGATACAGCTCATGAAGTAATATTACGTTAACAGAAGATATATTTTTAGTTTATTTGAATTGAATTTATAATTACGTAAATATGGATAACTATAAGTGAAATTAAATTATAATTAATAATTTTGAAGTGTAATAAAAAGCTATTTTAATTGTTAATGAAGCTTTAATTATGTGAACTTGTGTTATCTTCGACAAAAAAAAATTTGATAACACCAATCATCTAATTTTTTTTGTATTCTGACGTCAATTCGAATTTAATTTTTTTCATATAAAAATGTAGCAAATTCTTTCGTTTTAATACTTCCACTAATTTTTTATAAACTATATTTTTAGTTATTCTTGTTAAATTGATAATTTAACTACATTTTATTTTAAATGTTATCTCAGAACTATAGCACAATACACCATCTTAATTCTTTATCTATAGAAATATTCATTGAAATAGCAAATACCCGCCACTTTGCCTGTGTTTTTAATGTATTAACATTTTTTTCGTATATATTCAGGAGACAAAACGTTTTACTGAATATTTGATGATAAAAATATCGTTGTTACGTAAAAATAAAAACATTTATATTGATGGCATATAATGTAATCTCTTAAAAAAGTTAGGTATAGTTTAATAAACATTTTTTTTTATTGAAATCACTAGATTTTGTTATGACTATAATGACATTAGTTTTTTCTGTAATGCATGCAAAATTACTATTTATGAATTATGCTTACTCCATGTTTCTATCGCCATTCGTCGTACTACGTTATTATTGTATTAAAATATTATCATTGATTGAGAAACGTAAAACACTTGGTATATAGTGTACTGATGCAAACTTGTGGTAGGATATCCGCACGTTAATAAAAAAGTTACGTATAATTAATTAATATTATCTACATTGACATTTATAAAGTATTAAAAAAAAACACAAAAAATATTATCTTAGTTTCTTCATAAGTATAAACATATAAATTAAATTAAAATCTGTCTGTGATAAAAATTATTTCAATATGAATTAAATTTATTAACAAAATTTAATAAAGAATGATTATCTGAGAAAATAATAGTTAACAAAAACATATATTAAAATAAACAAATCTTTATTTTTATAACTTCTAATCACTATTATTTCAATAATGAGAAACGTGATAAAAATTGCTAAACAATCTCTTGACCCGGAGATCCCGTGTTTATAAGAAAAACAATGATGCAAAGAAAACTAAAGAATTAATAATTACACAAACAAGATACTGAATAATTAATTTCATTTAAATGAAACTAATTATTTTTACTAATAATTAAACTACGTACTCCCGACGTTTCGGTTACTTTACAGCAACTTTACTTTACAGAGTATGTATAATAGTTTTTGATATAAATAAAAATCACGTAGTACATCCGAAAAATAATAAGTTTCATTTAAATGAATACTCGAAAAAATCTTAGATATCATTAATTTATTTTATATTGATTGAAGCATCGATAATATAAAAATAATAATTTATTGCTATTCACAAGGTGCCTTTAAGAAACCAGTCTAATGTTACTTATAAATCATGTAAAGCTGAATACAAATAAATCTTTGTCATATTTATGTATAATTAAAAAATATGAATGTGTATGTGTGTGTGTATCAGTTATAATTGTCTCATAATTGAGGTAATAAAAAATCTTATCGCTTGTTTGCATTCGTAATTTGTTTATTTTTTTTTTTATTCAACGCCACATTTATTTAATAAAATCACAAATGTCATTCACATTTAGGAAACGTGTGAGAATATAGGTACGTATTTTACTGTTAAGTACATTGTAAAGGGAATATAGATTTGTCTGATAAAACAACTCTTTTTATCAATAACATAATAAGGACTATACAATTAAATTAACTCACTACAAACTCTAAAGCTCATCCTACCATATTACCCATTCAGCCAGCAATATAATAAATAATTATTACCCAAAAAGGTTTATTCTTTCTCAGGCTGAAAACATTAAGATCTTCGTTTCAATTAATTATGAAACAAATAGTTATGTCTCATATTTTAAAAACATAACCTTATACAGGATGTATTTCTTTATGATAAGACATATGATGCTAAGTGAATAGTATGACAAGAAACCCGTCGTCTAACCGGCGCCAGATAACGACGTCAAGACTCATTTACTCCATAATTTTATAATCTTAACAGTATCCTATAATACAGTCATCTAAAATTGAAACATCCTGTTTGTTTAGAAAGTGACAGCTAGGAGATATAAACTTTTTATTTGTCAGAGGAGGTTTTAATAAGGAGTTTGCATACAATTTATTAATCTATACATATAATAAAATTGTAGAAAAGTGCTGTCTGTACATTGAAAATAAAAATAAAAAAAATAGCAGGGTTTATTGTTATGTCGATGTCGAACCCAAAAATGTAATTAACTTTTTTTTTTGTCTATTTGTCTGTTCACGCTAATCTCAGAAACGGCTGATCCGAGTTGGATGCGGTTTTCACGAATATATTGTGGTATGCTTCAGTTATCCTTTAGTGCTTGTTTCATGTCAATCGGTTCATAAATAACAAAGTTATGTCAAATTAAAGAATCACGTCGAACACTATTCTATGCTTATACATACATAGGCACCATTAATCTTATATAGAGAAGCATTACAGTAAAGTAGGTTTTTTAGCTACCCAAAATGACTGTGATTATGATCCAAAATAAAAATAAGTATATATTTAAAAAAAACGCTGCTCATAGTCACTATTCCACGCGAACGAAGTCGCGGGCACGGCTAGTATTAATTATGATCGAAGGAATTCTTTTTAACCGAAAAATACATAGTCATAACCATATAATTGTTTAATGTTTAAAAAAAAATGTTAAGTATTGAGATCAAGGTTAAAAATTGACAGTGATGCATTCGAATTAGAAGATAACTGGCAACTGATCTAAATGTTATAGAGGTCTGAACTCTATGTCCAAGGAGCAAGGCTTCTTTTGATTTGCAAATCAATTCTATTACAAATAAACCGAACTTTATCCTTTGTGTAGTGAAAGTACCAAGGCTATAAAGTAGTCGACAAAATTATACTTTTATTATAGGCTTTATTTAATGCTTTTAATGAGTTTTTATTTGTAGAGCATTGTATGAGAAACGGGAGACGCTTCGTACGTACTACGTAGTATATTGTGTAACGATGCAAAACTTATGTTAAGCATATTGAAGAATCTTATACAAACTTACTAATATATGACTTATATAATATACAGGGTGACTGGTGAATTACTATCGATACTTGAGGACGTGATATTTGACGATCATATATGACAAAATAAATATTAATAAACTTCTAAGTAAAGTTAATCAAAAGTTATGAAATTAATTACGCATCGTGTGAACACCCTACAGATTAGGTATACACACACTCTCACACACACGCGGCGGGGGCGTGGTTTTGTATCAGCACGCCGCCGCACGCGTCCACACTCGGAACACTTGGAACGTGTCAACACTTTATTTATTTATACGGAAATTTGGTAAAAAATTAAGTACCTATTTTTTTTACATAATTCGAATGAGAATCATGTACCGAGTATGCTCCTTAAATATTGATAGTAATTCACCAGTCACCCTGTATAAGTCTCTCAGTTATAATTAATTATATCTGATGGCCATAGCCAATAGTACATTCAGGTATGTATAAAAACTTACTTATGAAAATAAACAGTAATTATGAAATAATTTTATTGTTTTAGTTGTTTAAACAAACATCCTTTTAAATAAATTTCTAATATTATAATAACTGAACTTTCAGAACTCTTTTGCTGAAATTTATTTTTTAGACGTTCCGTTTTTGTTTTGTTTATTAAGCGTGTTTATTAATTTGATATATATTACTTATAATTATGTGTCACTAGGATTTTCCTCGGACGCGAGCACTTGTAGGAAAACTTCCAACAGAATTATGATCCATTAATCATATAAAAGTCCCTATAATATGTGTTTATATAAAACTAGCTTCGCCCGCAGCTTCGCCTGCGTGGAGTTCGATTATATCGCGTTTCCAAGAGAACCTTTCAAAAGTCTGGAACAAAAACTATCCTATGTTCTTCCTCAAGGTCAACTCTATCACTGTACCAAATTTCATTAAAATCAATTCTGTGGTTTAGGCGTGAAAGCGTAACAAACAGAGTCACTTTCGCATTTATAATATTAGTAGGGATAAAAGAATCAGTCACATAATATTGTCGATGCATACAAGATATCTACATAGTTTTGTTTAATTTGCAACATGTACTAGTTGCTATGTTGTCGGCATTGGCCTTAATACGCACAAATATCAATCGCATATCGTTGTATTAGAAAATAATAAAAAAGGTTTATACTATGAAGATTTTAATTGAAATATAAATTACTTACATAAGCATACCGCTGCTAGAAGTCGGACGGCGTTTTCTGGAGGTTCGCAGTCTGGGAAGAAAGGTTTAACTACGTATTGGCCGAAGGTTATGGCTACTATTGCTTGGGTTGTCGGTCTTATGATGAGGAGCGCTATCCACATTCTCAAGAACGCAGGCAGCGGTCCAAAAGCTGTGAAGATGTAGGCGTAATCGCCTCCAGATCTTGATATCGAAGTTCCCAGCTCTGCGTAACATAGAGCTCCTAATGTTGAGAGCAGGCCGCATATCAGCCATATCAGAAGCGAGGCTCCCACTGACCTGGATGAAGGAAAAAGACCTCAACTTGGATACACAAAATATATATACATAATACTATTACTATAATTTTAATTTATATATGTAGAGATGGATAGGTCCTTAGTATAAACGATCGTTTAAATTTTAAAGTAAAGTTAATTTATTACGTACTAGCTATCCGCCCGCAGCTTCGCCCGCGTGGAGTGCGGTTATATCGTGATTCCAAGAGAACCTTTCAAAAGTCTGGGATGAAAACTATCCTGTGTTCTTTCTCAAAGTCAACTCTATCTCTGTACCAAATTTCATTAAAATCAGTTCAGTGGTTTAGGCGTGAAAGCGTAACACACAGACAGACAGAGTTACTTTCGCATTTATAATATTAGTAGGGATTGATGTTACTATTAACATAATTTTAATTTATATATGTAAACTTTGACGGGTCTTTAGTATAAACGGTGATTTAAAGTGTGGTTAATTTATTACATACGTATTCACTTAATTCATTTATAATTTAAATTAAATAAAACTGGGTTATGTAAATGAAGTGATACATAAGAACGAGCCAACAGCATGCTTTGATGTAATTTTCAGAACCAAAAATTTTATCTTTTTATAATACTTAAAGATAAAGAATTATTCTATGTTTTAAGAAACTTTAGTATAGTGTACATTATTTAAGGCTTGTCCGAATTCATTGAGGCTTATAATACCACTTATATAGAACACGGATGAAACCGCAGTGTAATATGACCACAAAACCTCCTTGTACGGTGTTGGGTAACTGTCATAATATTTGCATACCTACATACGAGATTTTAAATTGTAAGTGTAGGCCTAGTTGCCTATATTTTTGAATTAATTATAAATATTTATCAATAAATTCGTAATATATTTTCGATTATATCTTAATTAGTTTTAATAGTTAGTTTCTGCTGGTTTTATAAATGTTTGAATAAAATTTCAAATTATATGAGACTTAGACTTTGTATTAACTTTATATAAAATTTAAATGCATGTTACTCAGTTCTTCCAGTATTCGTCATCAGCCTATCAGAGCCCACTGCTGAGCAAAGGCCTCTTTCTCTCATAGAGAAGGTTTGAGCATTAATCACCACGCTTGCTCAAGACGGGTTGGTGATTTCAAACTTATAATTATGAAATTATAATGCGATAATTGCTCACGATGTTTTTCTTCCAGTATAGGTACGAATATCCTATACTGTATTGTATACACAAATACTATTATGACTCACTCACTGATTAAGATATTATTTTGTAGAAGAACTAATATTACATTTCAGTCAAGTAAATATAAGTCCAGTTATTTTCACGAAAAAAATCTCTACAACCTACTAAAATAATTGACTACCGTCCACCGTTCTCTTCTCATATACTTTGACACTTCGATGATATTTGTATGAAATACTATTAACTCTCCGTAAGTAGTTAATGAGAACTTGTACTGACACTCAAGAAGTGATATTACGAATATTTACTTCAGCGAAGCCTCGAGCACAGCTTGTATACTAAAAATAAAATGTACTAACTGTATTGAAACTGAGTTCTAATACCTTGATCCTATTGCTTTATAGAGCATATTTTCAATAACATAATAAAATAAGCATTTATTCAGAAATTATTTACAATTATTGAACACAAAGTTATACAAAAACTTTCTTTATCTGAGGAATAAGTAGCAGCAACAACCTGTTAGATCAACTTTGGCAAAGGCCTCCTCTATTAAGATAAATTTATTATCAAATAAAATATGTACATATAGTCAAATTATTATTGCTTCCTAAAGAAACACTATGTACATATGCCAACTTCATTAACTGCTCAATTTTCGAGTAATAGTATACATATTAACATTTATATCTATTTGAACTAAATTAATATCATTTTTTAACTAAAATGTATTAGTGATTTCAAATATTTAACAAGTTACATAGTTGCTTATACTGAGGGAGAAACCATGTTAAGGTACGCTTTTGAAGGTCATCTGCTTTATAATTGATTTTACGGGTTTTTTTCTTTGTTTTAAATATTTTGAACCGTGTTGTAATCATTTGTTGTTGACTCCATCAAGGAAAAGATTTCTTTTAGGAAACACTGCTCTTTAAATTTACAAATACTTCTTATATTACACGACGTTGCTATGTGCGGTGTAACTAATGTTGCATTATTTTCGGTTTTATTGTTTTACAATTAACTAAAGCTTAGAAAACAATGCGGTTTTGTCGCAAAATATATATATTTTACCAATAAAATAAGCTAAACATAAATAAACACCAAACTTCTAATATTGGAAACAGCTGCGAAGATTATATTGTTAAAACATATATTTAATGTTTGTTTCTTGAAGACTTACATAAATAAAGCTACTGAAGACAACCGGCCATAAACTACTGTTAATTGTAGTAATTTAGAACGAAAATGAAAACTGACACCGGAGATCCTAGTACGAGGTTTTACTTCGATATTCATACGACAGAATCTACGTTTGTTCATTCACAAACAAACGACGTTAATAAAATATACGACGATCTATGAACGTCACATGAGAACTGTACGTATTCAAGTAACCGACGAACTCGTCTTAAAAATAATATGCTTATTAGTTATTAGCGTATGGGAATATTTTCGCAAATTAAAGACGTGTTCCCGTCTTAATTGAATGGAAAATAACCACTTCACACGTTGTGCCTGACCTATTATATATTTATATTAAACAGCGTCATCTAGAAATAGGTTAAGTTCAAAAACTTATAAATATAACTATTTATTAACTATGGGACTAATCGATAAGGTTACCCATTAATCATTTCATAACGTTATCTTAAACGAACCTAGAATATTAATACTATTTTAAAATCTTTGTAATGTAGTTCTGCATCTGTACCATATGTAAAAACACTGCTTTCCGTCCGCAACTTCGCCCGCGTGGATTTCGGTTACATCGCGTTTCCAAGAGAACCTTTCGAAAGTCTGGGATAAAACTATCCTATGTTCTTTCTCAAAGTCAACTCTATCTCTGTACCAAATTTCATTAAAATCAGTTCTGTGGTTTATACGTGAAAGCGTAACAGACAGACAGACAGTTACTTTCGCATTTATAACATTATATAAAAATAAAATCGATTTGTCCTTATGTAACTTAATCGTAAACATCGATAGTAATAAGAACATAAATTAACAATACTTATTGGTAACCATTTGCCAACGATTCAATATTATTCCGATACCGAGTACAGACTACTAAGAAACGATAAAAAAATAGATATAAAACTTTTAATTTCAAATCAAAATGAAGCAAAAAATATGTATAATGATTCCCTTTTGAACCGCTACCTGACGGTCTTTGAATGCGGGTAAAAACTTGTTTGTCCTATGTCTATCAACCACAATATGTCTTAAGTATTAAAAGTCAATTAAATGTGTATAATATGTATGTCATGGTCATATCCGTATCACCTACATTCACTCCGCATGAACAAATGTTTTTATGTACAATTGTAAAATAATTTATTTATTAATGTGACATTAAAAAGATTTTAAATTATAAACACAAAACTTGGTCATTCGACTGTCGTTTAAAGAAGTTATTAATTAAATTCATATTTAAAACTAATGTATTAATGATGTAAATATTAATTGGGTCATATTTAATTAATAAGGAAACTTCAAAGATAATATTCTCATATTTGAATAAAGTTAACAAAATTTCGGATAGATTTTTAAAAAGTCAAATCACGCTCTACATGTTAACAGTTAAAGTTAAAATATTTGAGTCACATGTTAAATTTGAAACATTTTAATGAGCATTTTTAAACTGGCCCTGTACAGTGAGTCAACGAATAAATAGTGCTAAAAAAACAGGTTTCACAAATCATGTGTTTGTACGTTTACTTCAAACACTAATATAAATTTGGAGGCGCGAAAATTAATAGTCACTTACTGAGTATACCGGAAGACACCGGTCGGCGATATAAAAATTCCAGAGCCAATAATCGTCCCAATAATAATTCCGACACCATTGAACAATGTTATTTTACGTTTTAATGTTACTTTTCCGTCGCTGGCTTGAGTTTCTTCACCCATGTTTCGAAAATCAATCACGGGCAATAAACAAATCACACGTGGCAACAGACGCGGTAAAAGAACGCGGGACGGCAACCTGTTAGCTCCTTACGATTTTCATTACACGACTGAATCACTCTCTGTTACCATTTTTACGATCTCCTAAACTAGACTGGAAGAGTCGAAACACGATGAGCGTATGACACGCTGAGCAGTCGCTGAGCGCATGTGCCTTCTGAGTTTATGAATGCGATTACAGTACATGATCGTGACCGTCGCAAAATACAAATAGAGAGAGACAACATGCTCTGGCCGCTCATGATAGAGCGAGATAGCGCTAGTAGTCTACCCAAACTTTACTGCCGGGGATTCTTAAAAGTTTAGGGTGATAAAATTCTTTTTTGTCCGTTACAATTTTAGAAAAACAACACATTTTTTAGTTAAATATCTATTTTTATTCATAAGAAACTAACGAATACCGTATTTTCATTATACGAGAATGTTCAGTTTTTTAATTTCTTTCAGTTTAATATGTAACATGACGTATTCCAACGAAGTCATTGCGTCAGATTCTATAGAGCGCATTTTTACTTTGCCGTATACAATTTTATGACGTCATACATATGTCGTCGACTAAATAGAGGAAATAGTTACCATGATAATGAAGTAAACCACGAAGTTGTAAGCTCATAATTATTCAATATTATTTCAGAAGGACTGAAATTTTGGTACTTTATCTACATTCTTACATTAACGTTTTTAGTATTTATAACTAAATGTGGCGCACTTCCGCGCCCACATGCCCTATGATGCGTTGCTATAGTTGTATGAATAAAATACATAGTACTTAGTAAAACGTAGTAAATTCGTTATTAGGAATAATTTAAACACGAAGAATCTTAACCCTAAATTTATCTTTATATAAATTCGATTAGTTTAAAACTTATATTCCCTCCATACATTTTATAGGATAGAGCTATCGTAAAGCTAGGGATTCCTAGGATATAAAAAAATAAACTCTCAAAATGCTCTTATCAAACCTCTGTTACAACATCTGTCCAGAATAACACGTGCTGATGTCTTAATCGTATTTCATTATACAAACATCTGTTAATATAAAATAAATAGAACATGTTATTTCATTATTTTGCTCTTATTTCTATTAACTTTGATAACGTTACTGGAAATAAAGAGTAGTCCTGGTTGGTAAAAAAATTTAATAGAAATTCGGACCTGCAGATCTGAGTGGTTTCTTCTATAACGGTGCTAAGGCCTGACCACGATTTTGGACGAAGTTGAAAGTTGGAAATCTCCTAATGCAAGGGAATTCTGCGAGGGCAGAATACTGAAACTTTATGAGTGAACCGGAACCTCATCTTCATCATTAAAGACTGTGTTTTTTGTAATATACAAAGGTAGTGTTAATGTATGTATTGTGTCTCTATTTTGTCATCAGGATCTAACAACACGTCTCTAGAATTACCATAATGAAAAAAAACCTAAATTAATTTACTTACTTAAATCCATTAATAAACACTAAAGCCTACACTACAAAGACAATTTTCATCTTAATTATCTAAAACAGACACGTTTTTAAATGTGTTGTGATTAAAACATTATATAGTAGGCTTTACAATTGGAGTTGTTCTCGTTTTGATCTGTGTTTATGTAAAAAATATCCAATATACAGGGTGACTGGTGAATTACTATCGATACTTGAGGACGTGATATTTGACGATCATATAGGACAAAATAAAAATTAATATAACATAAATATTAATAAACTTCTAAGTAAAGTTAACCAAAAGTTATGTAATTAATTACGCATCGTGTGAACACCCTACAGATTAGGTATACACACACACTCACACATACGCGTGCGGCGGCGTGGTGTCTATCAGCACGCCGCCGCACGCGTCCACACTTGAAACACTTGGAACGTGTCAACACTTTATTTATTTATACGGAAATTTTGTCAAAAATTAAGTACCTATTTTTTTTACATAATTCGAATGAGAATAATGTACCGAGTATTCTCCTTAAATATTGATAGTAATTCACCAGCCACCCTGTATATTTTGTTTTTAAATATATTGTTTAAAAGAAAAAGAGATAAATATTCTCTCTATAAGCTTTAATGCGATAAAGTTGTATTTATAGAATATAGAGTGTATGCAAACCTTTCAGCTATATCATAAATAAAAAAGATTTAAAATATTTGTATTTAACCAATTTATTTTATAAATTTTCATATCGTCAAATTATTATACGGAAAAATATTAACATTTTTAATTAAATTATCTCATTTGTAATCTATATATTAACGAGCACTTAGATGATTTTATATTCATTACGAATCATAAAAATTCTTTAGTTTTATCAGATAAATAGTTACGTACCAATGTTTTGAAATAAACGAAGCACACAAAATGAAGTCTAGGATAAAATAATTACTAGAGATTATTAGCAACGTTGGTTATATTTCTAATATATTTAAATAATATGTGTTATATTCTCCTAATATTAAATCGTCGGAATCACATCAAAATTTGTATTAAAAGCATGTTAGGTGGTAGAGCCTAGCTGTTTTCATGTAGCTAAAGATCGAAAGTAGCAGTACTACGTTATTGGATGCAAATTTAAATAGAATCAAAAAGTTAGTGAAAACTATGTTTTCGAAGGTCGACGACAAGCTGTGGTCAGGTTACTGCAACTCGAACATGATCTAGCTCGACAGAAGAAGAACTCCCTCTCACAGAAAATCGGCGTGAAGAAGCCTTTAATGGTTGCATTTCGTTCGATGAGTGAGATCCCATTGCCCTCTCCCTATTCTCCATTTTCCTGTCATTTCCTTAGTAACACCTCTCCCTATTCATAAAAAGCCAATTTTGTCAACGAATCCGCAACAGAGATGTTGCAGATGACCGTGGGCGACGGTGGCTACTGCCGCCCAAGTAGGTAGGCTGATCGTTTGCCATCTTTCATATGAAAAAAACAGTAAATTCCAACATTGAACCTTACTTCTAGTTTTCATAAAGAAACTAAAACCAGTTTTCATTCATATATGTATATCTTCTTCTTCCTGGCAATTTCCCAGCTTTAGCCAGGGTCTGCCTTCCTGCTTAAACTCCTCCACTTTGTACGGTATTTAGCATCCTCGGGGGTTAATCCATTGGCTCTCATGTCCTGCTTCACGGTGTCCAGCCATCGAATTCATATATCATATATGTTCCTATATTTGTACATAAATATATAATATCGGTATAAACTATAATAAGACATACCTATTTTACGTTCTTTTGTTAAAAATTAATAAGTTTTTACTGTAATGTGTGATGATTTATGAATGAAAAACTACATGTATTCAGTTTAATGATCGAAAACTTGTATTAAAGGTGATAATACTCGTAGCTTTATTTAAATTCGATAATGAAGCTAGGAAGTAATTAGTGTAAACATAATTGATAATTGCATATAAGATTAAACCAATACTTTATAAACATAAATTTGTCATTTAAAGAAAAATAACTTTTCTGTTTATGCTATAGTTTATAAATATATGAAGATAGCGCGACCCAATTTAATATCTTAATGCACTGAGTGAGGTATTATGACCTACATTTGTTTGTACCTAATAAGTAGATGCAAGTTTATTACATAGACCAGGGCTGTCCAAAGCGTGGCCCGCAGACCGCGTGCGGCCCGCGGTCTGGATTCCTGCGGCACGTAGATTCTTTTTTATCTTCTTTGTTTAAATATATCAATGAGCAAATACTGGTAATAATAACGATATTGTTATCACCGGTCTTCATACAGATATTTTAAGGCCCACCTATTTTTTTTTTTTTTTTTATGTGAAAGGTGACAAACGAGCAGACGGCCCACTTGATGGAAGGTGGTTACCGTCGCCCATGGACATCCACAACATTTTGTTGCGGATGCGTTGCCAACCTTGTTTTTTGGGGATAGGGAGGGGTGGGAGTAAGGAAATGGAAGGAAAGGGTAGGAATAGGGAAAGGGCAACCGGCTCTCTCACTCATCAGACGAAACGCAGCCAGTAAAGGCTACTTCACGCCGATCTTCTGTGAGAGGGTGGTACTTCCCCGGTCGAGCCAGCCCATGTTCGAGCTGTAGTAACTCACCACAGCTAGGCTCTACCACCTTTAAAGGTTTTATTAAGTTATTTTTATTGGCCCTGGGTCCCACCGAGTTTGGACACCCCTGACATGGACAATCATATTTTTCTTATACATTGAAACAACTACGTAATAATAAAACGTATTATTTTTAAATATACAGACTCCTTGATTAATACATTATTAATGACTGAATAGATTATTATCGTAATGGATTGTCGCTGCAGATCTTAGTCACGTTGTATAAAAATGTGGAAATAAAATACTTAATATTAATTTGATCAACAATGATTGATCTGTAATCTTTATTAAGGAATTATTTTGAAGAATTATAAATGTAGAGACTTCATTAAGAAATAACATTGTTAGTTCTCTGTTATTCTTAATCCTACGATTCCATAATTACTTACAACTCATCACAAATTAATCATTGCAACTAGGTTGGGAAAACAAAACCATTGACTTCTAATTAATATTGTAAATATGACATCATTAATATTTATGAGACATATATTTCAGAAGGAGTTCTTACCTGATCAGATTTAAAATAACAGTTCTAATTACATTGAATTTTCATTTGTATTGAATTACCAAATAAATGAAGGTGCATTCGAAGCGACTATCGTTCGAGTAAAGTTTATAAATAATTTAAACGATTTCAATCTAATCGGGAGAGCAATGAGAGCAGTAAATCTTTATTGTTTGTGTAGTGACAGCTTCTGTAATCATGTTTGAAGACATCGCGGGAGACGTCCTGAAATAACATGTATAGGAGCGGAGTATCGCGCCCGCGCCGCGGCGCTGCCGTCACACGTACGCCGCCATTTTCACACACCGCGCGAGCTTTCCCGCAAACAGGTATGTTGTAAGCGTTTTATGAAAATAACACTCAACATTGAATATAAAACAACATAGCCATTATAATTGCTAATTTTTTATTACAATTAAAAATCGTATCAAACTAAATTATTCGTCCCATTCGAGAACAATGACCTCGACAACACGTAATACACGGCATGTTTTTTATTTTTTTGAACATTTCCAGAACAGTGATTCTAACTGGACCAACATAAAAACATAGCTAATCTACTCGGTTGACGTTGGACGCGGTAATATATATTTATGATGTATTAATTTATAAGTGAGAGACACTAACATCTAGATTCAAAGGAATGTGGCCGTCATGTTTCTGTTACATCAACGCATTGGTTGAATACCAGCAATGATCGCTCGATACATTTAGAGATGTTGGATTGTATTCCCTGTTTAACGATCTATTTGTGTCATGATGTCCTTATTTTTTAATAGATGAGCAACCATCCCCCGCAACGCCAGTGTATCGAGGAACGAGTTGTGTCGTAGGCAGCGCTGCTAGTCGCACGTGCTTGTACACCTTAAGAGATATACATCACGTGACAGTTTCATATTATATCATAAATATCCTGCTAGATGACAGTTATTCAAAGGACTAGTTCGGCAAAAGTGGACAAAATGGATGGTGCTTCGAAAGAAGACAGTGGAAAATCAGCGCGACCAGTGAGGAACAGGAGATACACGAGGTGAGACCGATGTTTATGAATCATTACTTTCAGTATTTCGTGAATAATTGCCTTTGTGCGTCACACACGTACCAAGGACCATTAACTTCCTTTTGTCTCAAGTTTTGTAGTAACGATGACGTCTCCCATCTTTATATTTACCAGAAAACATGTTTTGTTTACAACGTTACAAGGTAAAATGAACCTTGTATATCATTTGCAGGAGATGCTTAGTGGCCGGCCAGCGTCCTCAGAAGAGGCTGTTCACTCCAGAAATAAAACGCTATCTCAAAGATTGGCTCGTCCGACGAAGAGACAATCCTTACCCGAACCGCGAAGAAAAAAAACAATTATCGAGAGAGACGGGATTAACGTACATACAAGTCAGTATAAAGAAATATTTATGGTGATATTTAAATACAAAGTATCGCGAGGGACCCTCTTGCAAGCATGTTTTAAGCTGTATCCAACCTAATTGGCGTATTGCCAAGATTTTCTATCTGTACCTAAATAGGCACTATTTTTGTCACCGCCAACTTTAATGTTTTACACGATTGTCTTTTTGCGAACATAATATTCCTACGTGTAGATATTGGATAAATGTTACCAGTTACCAAATATTGATTGGTTATAAAGACATTGATGTCAAAACTGAAAAAAAAAACTTGGGAAATAATAAAAATTTACAAAGATATCTGTCATCCAATCTTTCGTTTATTTTTCTAGATCTGCAACTGGTTCGCTAACTGGAGAAGAAAATTAAAGAACGTGAATGCTGATCGCAATCAACTCACGTGGGGTCATTTAATACGTACATACAACGACCGCGCCCAGGGCAACGTGGAGCAATTCAGCATCTGCTCAGACGACAGCATATGGAGCGAGCCAGAACAATCCAGTTCAAACAACGAACAAGATTACGACACGAGGTTCGAAAACAGCCCGGACTCGAACACTTCATATAAACAAGACACAGAAGAAACATCACCACCCTGCCAGAAATACGAAAGCTTCAACAATAATTCCAACGAGATAGAAAGATGCGATGATAATAACTGCGATAAGGTCATCACTAGTCCAGTACTTCTAAGCAAATGGCTGGAAAGCGCAGCTCGATTCCAACCAAGCGAAACTAATTATTCGTGGTGGGCGGATGGAAGAAGACGAAAACAAGAACAAAAAGTACAAAGAATAGTTCTGAATACAATAAAACATGACAGGGATGAGGTCGAAGCGGCGATGGCACTTACGACATTGGCATCAGCTAATTGTCTTACCGCTCCGTAATATACAAAGAAAAAACTTCAAATATACTGAATGAGATAGACTAAAATTGTCTATGTATTTATATCAAATGTACGATTTATATATTAGCTATATATGATAAAACACTTAACATACCTAAGAAAATTCCTTTATATTCCAAGATAAGGAAAAGCTACTCCCTCATTGACATTAATCTTATAATCTCTTTGCTCAAAACCGTGTAATAATTAAGAATATAATATCTTTAATGTTAATTAATTTTAAATTTCGAATGTTTTGATCTCTTTAACATTATCTTTAGTCATAGAAAGTACCAAAGATTGTGTTTTTTTTTTAAATACACCATTTCTGTTGAAATAAATGATGTCTATTAATTTATGTCCTGTAAGTCAATAATATTATTTAGAAAATTATAATTTAGATATAACTCCATAAGCAGTTTTAGATAAATTTCGAGAATTCAAATGTTGTCAAAAATGTTTTTTTTAAATTACTATATTTAATTGCCATCCATATATTTTTAATAAAACACTGAGCGGAATAAAAATGCCCCTAAAACACGTGGCTCAAAACACTATGCAAATATACAGTTTTGTCTCAATTTTTCGAAATAAATAGATTGTTACATATTCCTGAATTTCTCTTACATTAACCAAAATGTATGTACTTTATGCGTTAGATCACTTATTTCTTACTATTTAGTAATTACAGATCAATAGAGCAATTTTAAGTATAGTAATAAAAATAATATCTGGAAACTGGAATACAAGTTTGGAACAATTTACATAACAATAGTAATGATAAATAATGTAAGCACTTTCCATTTTTCTACACCAGAATATTGTTTCTATTACATGTTCAATTTTAATTCATAAATAGCACTAATTTAAATATTTATGTAACAAAAAGTTACCTCTACATGTGTGATTTTAGCACTAAAAGTATTGCTTTACGAACACATATAGGTCCATAAGTTTTTTAATGATACACACAATCATTATAAGTAGGGATTACAGATTATAATTTAATTAACAGTAATTTGAAATGAAAACAATATGACTATACTAATATTTTAATTATTTATCTTAAAAATCTAAATAATTCAGTAATTCTACTTCTATTAACTCTCTGTTTTATCTTTATTTTCACTATCAGCAGGTTTGTTTTGTATTTCTATGTGCTGTTCAAGATGTGACACCAACATTTGTTGATTCTGGTTCAACTGTCCCACGAGACAGGAACCGGCACTCTGTAGAACTGAGCACAGCTGACTCCTCGCTACCTCCAGACTCGGCAATTTACTAAACTGGACGAGCTCGTTCTTTGATAGTAATTTATCATTAATGATTCCGGCTGGAAATTAATAAGAGTATTAAATCCCTACTAATATTATAAATGCGAAAGTAACTCTGTCTGTCTGTTATGCTTTCACGCCTACACCACTGAACTGATTTTAATAAAATTTGGTACAGAGATAGAGTTAACCTTGAGAAAGAACATACAATAGTTTTTATCCCAGACTTTTGAAAGGTCCTCTTGGAAATGTGTTATAACGGAATTCCACGCAGGTGAAGCTGCTGGCGGAAAGCTAGTAATAACATATAATTAAAATACTCAAAACTGTTTATAATACCAACCCATGACAACCAATTGAGGTGTCTTCTTGAGTATTTTGAACATCTTTGCAGCGTTTTCTGGCTGTCCGAATATAATATTTTGATGACATGTAAACAATTGATTAACAGCTTCATAACGAGTTCCCTTGGTTGCCATGCTTACAATTTTCTTTCCGTAAGTCCTTAAATTCATATTATTCTTCTTTAGTGCAGCGTAAACTGGTGTTTTATCCTCCATACTGATTGAGTTCATGTGGAGAAATACCACCATTTTCGATGTGTTAAACCAATTCAAACATTCTCTTGCCAATATTCTTTCGAAAGGGTTATCGATGTCTTCCTTTGAAAAGAGGACTTTTCCTTTATCACAAAGAAATATATCTGGCAAAGAACTCTTTTTAGGTCCATAGTGGGGTTTGGTCAAATCGAGCAAAAGTTGCTTCTCAAAGTGGGGTTTTCGTGGTTTTTGGATATTAACTTTTCCCCGGAATCGTTTTGCCAATAAAAATGAAGCAGGTGTCTCCAGTAATGCTAAAACATTTATTAATAATATTATTATGCCAACATTTTAAGAGTCTATGACACACAATATCTACCTTTTTTTACTAGAGCCATGTTGTTAGCTCTTGTATCTAAGTTTTTTTGCTATTTAAATAATATTATTATTTTCATAAAATAACCTTAAAATTTAAATTCTTCTGACAATTGTGTTTTGACATCTGTGTCTTATGTCAATAATATATAAAACGTAAAGTAGTATTGAATACAGATATTTTGGTTACACAAAGGTTTTTATTTTATTGCAAATAAGTTCATCTTGATGATTTACTACAAATCATCAAGATGAACTCATTGGAAACCATGTACATATCCAATGACCAGGTGTGTTTATTTAGTTTTTAAATGAGGTTAAGAGATATCTTATTTTTATTCAAAGATAGAAAATCCTAAATTTTTATTTATTGAGTGCACAATAAGAATGGTACCTATAAAATACTAAAAAAAATTCTGGTACTTGGAACAGATAACATATAAAACCACAGTAGCGGTGAAATAATTTGACACATTTGACGTCCTTAATAATAACAATAACATGTGATTCAGATATTTTAATTAATTGATACTAGAATTTTGATTGAAAATAATTGACAAAAATATTTCGACGTGCATTTAATTTATTATCAGAAACTGATTTTATCGCTTACTTGCCTTTTCTGAAAGTTTAATAGGTTAGACTTCTGTACACATCAAACCTAAGCTTTATAAAAGTATAGATTTAATTATGAGGGGATTATCAGAAGATACACCGCCATCCTCTATAAATGGTGATGAAATCACCGGTATGGATGACGACGGGATATATTTCGAGGAGATGGAGGAAATACAATTTGATGATGAGGAAATGGTAGATGACCAAGAAGAAGAGGATACGGAAATGATAAGACCAGAAGACCATGCTACTACAGTGTTTAACAAACATAACGGATCAGTTTTTTGTTGTGACTTCCATCCAAATGGTAAAGTTGCTGTAACCGGCGGGGAAGATGACAAAGCATTTGTGTGGTCTACAGAAACCGGAGAGGTAATAATGGACTGCATAGGACATAAGGATTCAGTGATCTTTGTCGGATTTAGCTTTGACGGGGCCTTTCTGGCTACAGTTGATATGTGTGGCTTAATAAAAGTATGGAAGGTTAATTTGGAAGAAAATCAACAAGAGCCATGGTCTGTGGTATTTGAATATGAGGCGGATGATCTAAGTTGGGGTCTATGGCATTTTGGGGCTAGAGTACTCATATGCGGGGCAGTTACGGGTGATATATATGTATTCAAAATCCCATCTGGAGATACAAAGGTTCTACAAGGACACAATGTCAGAACAGATTGTGGGAAGGTAGGTTTATCACTAATGATTTTTTATTACAAACATTAAACCATTACCAGTAATTTTAGAACCATCATAAGCCTATTATTTATAGCATTATATTCTAGTACTTATATACATTTCTCTAAAACTAAGCAGTTCTTATAGTAAACTAACTAAAGTACAGAAAAGTTTAAAATTTTGACCAATATTCATACAATGATATTATGTACAGATGTTCCATGATGGTGTCCGTCTAGCAGCTGGTTATGAAGATGGTACAGTGAAGGTGTGGGATCTCAAAACGGCCACCGTTGTATCACAAATTCCACCCGGAATACATCAAATAAGAGTCACTGCTATAGATATACATCCCGATAACAGTCTCATGTTATCTATAGCTACAGATGGTGAGATAATTATATATACTAGATTTTTTAGACTAAGTCATCTTTTTAAGCAGAAGTATAAGAATATTTAATGAATATATTTCATTACAGGCAAAGCAGTCATGACAACATCAAGCAACGGCAAAGTTGTTGCACAGATGGAAGCAGAAAATGATTTAGAAGTTGTTGCTTTTTCACCGGACCCACAGCTTGGATATTTTGCTTTAGGTAATTTATTTGAAAATACAAAAAAATATATTTTTCTTCACAGAATTATTTGATTATACATAAACTATACATTGTTATCCCTTCAAAAAAATGTGGTTCTAATAAATACTATAAAAATGTGATTGATATAAAAATGCATATGTTCTGTAATTAATCGATTTCCAGGTACTCTCAACGGCTCGGTGACGATATGGGACACGGCGCGGCAAATGTTACGGCACCATTGCGCCAAATCGCAGGAATCCGACGGCGTCACTAAAATGATATGGATCAAAGACGAACTGGTCACTGGCTGTTTGGACGGATCCGTGCGCGTGTACGAAGCGCGATCCGGCAACCGACGAGTCGTCCTCACGGGACACTGGTCGGAAATATTAGATCTCACTTACAATGAAAAAGAAAAACTCATACTGACGACCTCAGACGACGGCACCGCGAGGATATTCAAATACAACGAACGAACCGAATAGAAATTTGCATATACATATATATTTTTATACATACAATACAATGTATTTCCGTTTATAATATTTTATTAATAAACACTGTTACGTTCATATTTATTTATTTCTTTTATTCATCTGTCATAGTAAATTGAATCATCAATCGAGCATACGCTTTTGATGGGTCATACATATATTATCGTTAACATATGGTGCGAGCTTGAAAGAAGTGGTTCAGTCATTCACCTCGTATTATAACGAAACAGCTCACATCCGCACTCATACATCAGAGTTTAAGTCTCGTAAGTCTTATCACGAAGGATGTAAGATTGTTATCAGTATCTAAAATAGTAAATTAAGGAACAATATCGAAGTGTGCTAACCGCACACGTGGTTTGGTGGGGCATGAAAGAGACGGAAGAATGCGTTGTTCAAACTTGGCAATGAATTCGTGGGATGCTATTTAAATTTAAAATCAACTCTACTCTAACAGAGGAAAGACTGAGAATTGCTTACAGCATCGTAATATTTATTCCGTTCTTGACATCGAGGCACATTTAGACGGTAGACTGGCGGGCTCGTGGTTAACTTGCAAAGCAAATGAATAGTATAGTGGGGACGGGGATTGTTGAACGTGTTCACGGTGCCGCCGGCCGCGACAGGCCGTCATTACGATCGTTACCGCGCTGATATATCCTGTGTTTAATCAGTTTATTTTTATAATTTTATCGTTTTTGTATTAGAAGTGTCCAAATATATTTAAAAAAGGCATTTATATTTAACAATTCTGAATATTTTAACCTATTCGAAACATAAAAGTAGGTTACATACGTGTGAATAATTAATTATTGTGTTTTATATTAAAACGTGTTATCAACAGCTGTTTTGTTCTCCACCGCTATATAACCGTGTTATCAGGACTATATTAAAAGGGACGTTTGTATGGTGTTCTTGATCCCACGTGGTGTTTCCCGCGGTAGCTTAGCGCAGTGTGATGCAATATTTGGATGACGGGCAAACAGTTTCCGCATCAGACTTAAGTTGCGGTTAGGCCATGTGTGTGCCGTATTGAGTTGACCGACAAGTTTTACTTACAGGACTATTTTGTTACTTTTGACCTTATTTAATTTTATACAATGGCAAAAGTTTCGGCTACTGAAGGTTTGGCTCCTAAGCCCATGGACGTTGGGGAAATGGGAGACAACGCTGAGAACCAATCAACTGAAGGAGTTCGTATGAAGAAGGAATTGAGTTTACTGAATGGAGTCGCGATTATTGTTGGAGTGATAGTGGGGTCGGGGATCTTCGTGTCCCCTAGTCATGCCTTACAACGTGCGGGATCAAAGGGCATGTCCTTAATAATATGGGTTCTTTCGGGACTTCTTTCGATGATTGGAGCACTTTGCTATGCGGAACTAGGTAAGTTTGATTTTTCAATTTCCATTTAATTAGGAACATTAATTGTTGACTATCACTAAGAGCACTGTGAATAAAGTATTCTGATAGTTAAATTATAACTATTTAGGTATACTATGTACATATGTACTAGGCACGAAATATTTTTTTATTTTTTTACGTATATGTAGTAGCGTTTATTTTAACAAGTAACCATCCTAGAGAATTCTAATAAGAATTACATATAATTTACTGTGTATGTATTTCAGTGATCTCATTTCATGTGACAATAAGGATAATTGTATCATAAAATTCATACTTTACTATTCATTTATAATATCAAAAAATAATACACATACCAGTCTTGTAAATGGAAGATATCTCAAATCATTTTATTTGAATTGCTTAAATTTTAAACGATTACCGACACTAAGCTTTTTGAATCGAATATATTATATCTCTTGAACTGTAAAAAATATTTTTTTTTTTGCAATTATTAACTTATATTTCTCTTTATTAATTTTTAAATTATAATTATCGTTTTTGCAAGCCATAGGGTAATAAAGTGTAAACGCTCAATACATAAAACAATTCGAATTTCGATCTTGGCCTATATTTTTATCGTAATGTTAAAAATAAATAAACAGTTTGAGTCATCGACCACCTCGATGATACTGGGGATTGAAACACGAAATGTTTAGACTGCATATTTAAAACAGGGGTAGATACAACATGACGTTACTATAAAACTAAAAATAGTGCTGTTTAATTCAATACGATAATTCTCAGATATTACAGCCGTCAGGAAGGAAAATTAGTCCATTAAACTCAAAAACTTTCTGTTTAGTAGACCATCGTAAAAATATAAATCCCTACTAATATTATAAATGCGAAAGTAACTCTGTGTCTGTCTGTCTGTCTGTCTGTCTGCTACGCTTTCACGCCTAAACCACTGAACTGATTTTAATGAAATTCGGTACAGAGATAGAGTTGACCTTGAGAAAGAACATAGGATAGTTTTTATCCCAGACTTTTGAAAGGTTCTCTTGGAAACGCGATATAACCGAACTCCACGCGGCGAAGCTGCGGGCGGAAAGCTAGTTTTATATATTTTCAAACTTTAAAATTAACTGAATCATATTAAACCTAAGTTTGATAATTTTAAAACGTTTTCAAAGTATCTACTAATGCGAATACGTTGAAGTACCGAATTAATGAAGAAATGAAGACACAGCCGCAAAGTTATAAAATTATAATAAAGATCGTTTCTTAATATTATCGTTACTGGATATTCCCAACTTGATCTTTTTGACATATAATTAATTTGGCTAGTGTCACCTCCTGAACTATGCACGTTCTTAACAAAAACATTCTGTCGTCACTCTTCCAAACAATCGCTTTTTTATAGGGTTATTCCGTTATCAAAGGTTAATTAAGTTCCGATAAAAAAATGTATAACATAATTAAACAGTAATACAGATAAAGGAAAGTTAATGGCTGAGCATAAGTAAAAAACTTTCAGAAAAGTAATATTTATAACAAATAGTTATATCTCCACTTAGAGGTATTAGAAGCAATTGCTTCTAATATAATTTGATACTTACGGCCAAAGAAAGTTTATTAACAACTGTCTTTTCCAACAGCTTTTGCTCATTAGAAATTTACAGTAAGTACTACTGAGTATATCGTAATAAGTACTCAGTACCGAGAGTCAATAAGTATTTTATAAAAACCGTTAAGCGTCTTTTTACTAAACTTTTGCGACGCAGAAACAGTATGCATGCAGTATTTTTGCAATTTGAAAAGATTTTTCATGATTCTTGTGTTTCATTTATCTTTTTCGAAAAGAATGTGTTAAAATTCATTTGGTAAAGAATGTGTTAAAATTAGTGAACATTTTTTCATTTTAACTCGACTTGAATGCCTCAATAAGGCATAATGATGTTAATTTTTTTAAGCCTTTAGTTAATTATTCTCGTATATAGCTATAACCTACTTTTCCTTCGTCTTATCACTTCTTGTAATATTATTATAGTGACAGGTATTTAAATAAAAATAACTCGCAATTCAGTTACTATTTTAACCCCGCGTTTTCACTATATCACAGTTACTCTAAATAGGTAAAAGATAAAGTACTAACAGATTATTTTATTTTAATTTAAACGTTTGCTTTTTTACGGTGTTAATCGTGAATAGAAGAAACATAAAATAACCTATTTACTCCTTATCGTGATGTCCGATAAAAAAAGCACTTGCGTTGCAATAATAGGCTGAAAGTCAATTAAAATTCTAAAACACTTCATAAATCACATACAAGAATATGATACAAATTTACGCGTAACTTTTTTTTTAATGAAATGAGAATTCTTTGATTTTATTAATAACCTCATATTTCAATAGAGTAATAATAGATTGAAATCCGAATGAAAATTGTTTTTAATATTTATCAGCTCATAAAAAATACCTATAGAAAATTATCATATTTTTTAAAGTTAAAGTTTGTATAAAGATTATAATATTTAAAAAGAAAACACATTCGCTTACAAAGCCCGTTGTCAACACATCAGATAGTCATTCTATTAAAGGGTAGGTATTTGTAAATGATAATGTATATTATATTAAAATACTGTTTTCCTTATCTTCCCTGCTCGTACATTTATAAATAAGTCCAGACTGAAAAAGTTAAACTACATATTTTTTAGATTAGGTAAAGTATTAGGTAAGTAAGTAGTACGTAAAACGGTACGAAACAAAAATAGTCATGATTTATACTATAGTATAACAACAGGGACTATGGAGGAACCTTTCCGCAGTTTTTCTTTGTTCTGAAATAACATTTTCCACAATTTTTCTATACGAAATCGACTATCAGGCAACCAAGTAATAATATACATTCTTCTTACCCTTCCAAGATTAGATATTATACATTTTTCACATTATAATAAAAAACAATCAAACCTTATAACTGTAATAAATGTCATATTCATACATAGAAGACACTGTTCAAAAAAGAAAATGGACGCTTTTTTTTACAATTCCCGTTTAAAAAAAGTTTCCGTGAGATGTAACGGTTTCTTTAGTTTTTAATTTATAACCTGTTTGTCTGGAGTCTGGACGAAAGAGGTTAATTATGAAAGCCTGTTCAGTTGACTGTTCCTGACAAGATTGAACTTGGTTATTCAACTGATTTATATTCTGTATATTAAATATGCCTTCGAGTATAAAACAAATATACAAACGAGGTATGGCGTTCTCACATTTGTTTTGTGCAGATGTTAAATGTAAATGACCTTCAAAAATCTAAATAACCCTTACTTTATTCAAATGAGAACTGGAATTTCTTTAAATTATTCCCTTCCGACCCCCATAGTGTATGAATACAAAGCTCTTTGTGGTGAATATAATAAAAGCTTTTAGAAATGCGTATAGCTCCAGACTACATGTAGGTTGATTTTTTTGTGATTCTTAATTTTATTTGAAACTAAAATTTTTCTTGGTCCCATCGTAACAAAAAGTAGTAGCCATCTATTTCTTTAGTTATATTTTTTATTAAAGTTGAGTTACTTGATTTAAAAATTTTATAGAACATTATAGACATTTGAACGCCTATTCTGGAGATTGTAGAGGATCTTAACCCTGTTTTTGAATTGTGCATGAAGTAACCACGCATTGTCACGCATGAAGTAACCAGGCAGTGTCTATTATTAACTGTAAAGTAACAGTTAATAATAGACACTGCCTATTATCTATTTTGTTATTTCAATTTTCAATACCCATTAAGCTGAATACACCAAACCTCAAAGGTTTTTCTGAATTTTGAACCGTTTAACTTCACTTCTATAAGTTGGTTCAGGGGCATCCCATCAATGATATTAATCAAATAAATGGTACTAGACCAGGTTCCTTTGGTATAAGAATCGTACTCTAACAACTTAATCGAAGTAAGTGATATAAAAAGAAATAAGTGCGTAAAGTTTTTTATATTAGATTCCAAGTTTAACCCCTACATTATCGAGACGAATTTCTTTTATTTGGATTGAGTTTCATTTAACGGGATTAGTAAATCCAATATATATTTAACAATATACTAAAAAATGATTATTTTGCTATGATCGATTACCGAGTGCCTTATTATCTTTTAGAAAAAAAAGAACGTTTAAGAAATACTTAAAGTAAATCTTTTATAATGATGGTATTGAATATAATAATAATTAACAGTCTAAATTGTTCCGCGTTAAAGATGTCTTAATTCATACCTTAATAGCTATATTCGTTAAAAATGCATAAACTCTTAAAGACCATACATTATATAACCTTGTAACTATAATCTTATCTGTTTAAGCCCACACTAAGATATAAAGATTTCAAATTCCAGGTACGATGATTCCAAAATCTGGTGGAGACTACGCTTATATTGCCGAGGCCTTTGGTGACTTACCAGCATTCCTGTACCTCTGGGTGGCGTTGTTCATCTTAGTGCCAACGGGGAATGCGATCACTGCTTTAACATTTGCTCAGTACATCCTAAAACCCTTCTGGCCAGTCTGCGAACCGCCTTCGGATGCTGTTATCCTAGTAGCTGCTATTGTTACATGTAAGTATATATATATATCTACCCAAAAAAATAATTCAAGCCAAGCATCACCTTCCGTGGCCCTGAAATTCTCGCTAGAAAGCATCTAAGTAATAATTCATAATGTTGCATCATTTGATTCAATACTGAGATTCAGTCACGATAAATTTGTTTCGTATGTTCTAATCTAAAACATAATCTCAATCAGAAATTTATAATTTAAATTCATTGTAATTTGTATGGTTTATAATAAAACAATAAAGGTTTAGTGTTTAAAAATACGTTAAGGATGATGCAATATCCTAAAATGATGTCTTGTGGCATGAAGAATGTTCAAGGGAAAAAAGTAATAAAAGGACTTTGACACACGGGTCTGTTGAAGTTCGATGTATCAGAATATGATTTAAGAATACAAAACATCATGTTATATGAAATAAAACATTTATTCCAAGAATTTTTGACTTCTCTTTTGAATAATTATAATTATTATACACATTTTAAAGCCTTAAATATATTCGCGTCGAGGTGAACGTACGGAGATCGATTACTTTTTTGACAACTTACATAAGACGTACGTATGTAAGAAACGCATCGAGCCTTCCTGGGATCGCGTTTCGAAGAAGTGTTCTTGATTGTCATATTAAGAATGAAATAAAAATGTATGCATCGATCCTAAAAACATCATGTATGGATGTACAGCGTCAATATTTTATATGAATATTTTTCATGCACAATACATATGTATCTCATGACAATGAACGTCACAATAACCATGAATGTGTCCAGGGTCTGTGCAACTCTTTATTTACTTGGCACGGTACTGATTGTGCCTGACAGGATAATGACATCCTACCGCTTCAAACATACACGTACTCCGCCCGAATTAACCGACTACGAACTAAAGGCGCATAATGATTTCTGATTCTAAAACATCCTATAATTCAATCGAATCATAAAAATTGTCTACATTTTCATGTTCCATAGTTTCTTAGGTCATAACTCTAGCTTTAATAGTTAAGCGAATAAGCAATAAAAAATTATAAGTTTTGACGAAAGTATCATGCATGACCTACTTATGTAGATTTAATAATTACTCTATTTCTATTTTGTAATTAAACAAATTATTTTGATAAATAATTTATGACATCTTTGTTACAGGTTTTCTCACAGCATTAAACTGCTACAATGTTAAATGGGTGACACGTGTTCAAGATTCCTTTACAGCTGCCAAAATATTGGCTCTATTGTTGACGTTTATAGCTAGTTTAGTGTACTTGTTCTCTGGGCATACGGAGAATCTGGAAAACATCATGCAGGGGACCATCACTGAACCGGGAAGTATAGCCATCGCTTTTTACGCTGGCCTGTTTTCCTACTCAGGATGGAATTATCTGAACTTTGTCACTGAAGAACTACAAGATCCTTACAAGTGAGTTGTATTAGGATTATTAATTGATAATAATTTTACCCTGGATATAAACAAAAAATATATATTTTATAGTATTTATGGTTATACTAGCTTTCCGCCCGCAGCTTCGCCCGCGTGGAGTTCGGTTATATCGCGTTTCCAAGAGAACGTTTCAAAAGTCTGGGATAAAAACTATCCTATGTTCTTTCTCAAGGTCAACTCTATCTCAGTACCAAATTTCATTAAAATCAGTTCAGTGGTTTAGGCGTGAAAGAGTAACAGACAGACAGACAGACAGACAGAGTTACTTTCGCATTTATAATATTAGTAGGGATAAGTGAGTTCAACACATAACGAACTTTTTTTAATTTTCTCTCTTTTTCTAGCTATCTTTCTCTTTGTCTAGGGATATACTTTAAAATTGTAAGAACATGTAGAGAGAATAACAATTAACGTACCTACCTAAAATATAAAATAAAGTGTTATGGAAAATATTTTAACCAACTTCCAACTTATCAACCAAGATAAAGGCGAAACTGAAAAGACAGCATTTTTTAATTTGATATTCACGTAAAAACCTAATTGTACTATTTCAGATATTTATTTTATGAATAGTATTATTCAAGTAATTCCCACGTATGACTTTGATCAATTTAAATATATATTCAGACAAAATTTATGTTATCCTATTGGGAATTGATTGATAAGGAGAAAAATTACCCATCCCTCTTATGATCCTAAAGTGATGAGACATATTTTCAAATAATAATCGTTACTTCATTTACTTCCAGGAACCTGCCTCGAGCAATCTGCATTTCCATGCCAGTGGTGACGCTCGTCTATACGCTCACAAACTTTGCCTTCTTCGCCGTGCTCAGCAACAATGAGATGATCGGTTCAAACGCTGTGGCTGTGACCTTCAGTGATAAAATACTGGGAGTAATGTCCTGGATCATGTCCATCTTCGTCGCTTTATGTACTTTCGGGTCCCTGAACGGAGCTATATATGCCTCCTCACGACTCTTCTTCGTCGGAGCTCGCAATGGACATCTACCTTTAGCAATTTCATTGATAGACGTTAAAAGACTGACGCCAGTGCCTTCCTTGATATTCATGGTAAGTTAAAAAAAATGAGTTAAAATATTTTAATTTCTGTAGTACTGAGACTTTTCTCGCATTTTTCTTATATAAAAAATCAAGTATAACAAAGGACATAGGGTACAGGGTATTTTTTTGCAAGAAAATGTTCCTGCAAAAAGAAAAATAACCTTGCAGTCAAGTCTTTTTACTTAATCCTTTTTAATTGAATATATAAGAATCAATATTTAAGTTTCTAGCATCTTATCATAGCAGATGTTTATATATATTGTACAAACCTGAATAATAAATATATATATTGACATATTATGTAAATGTTGATATCCTTGACTTAGTTGCATGAATAGTTTATAACAAGATAATATTATTCACTAATGTAACTGTATATTATAATTCTTAATAACTTTATATTTTCCGAAGAGGTTCTCTTAAATTTCTAATTCTAGTCAAATCTTTAGTATAGTAAAAATACATCAGAAGCGAGTCAGAGCATTGTTTTGTTTGGAAAATACTTATAAGATTATCATATCTAGGAACTAAGTTTATTCATTTAAATTCTATGATATATATTTTTGTTTGATTTAAATTATCTCAATTTTTTTATTTAAAACAATATATTTTTATATTCCAGTGCATCGTGACACTGGTGTTGTTGATGTCAAACAACGTCCAGTCCCTGATTGTGTATGTGACCGGTGTGGAAGCTCTGTTCATAATCTGCTCTATATCTGGCTTACTCTGGCTGCGGTACACCCAGCCCGAGGCTCAGCGACCCATCAAAGTGAATCTCCTCCTGCCGATAGCCTTCCTCGTGATAGTCACGTGCCTTGTCATATTCTCTTGCTTCACACAGCCGGTAGAGGTCGGCGTAGGCGTAGTATTCATAGCTTTAGGCGTACCAGTATTCTGTGTGTTCATAATGTGGAAAAATAAACCATATTGGATGGTGAATGTGTGCAATTCCTTCAACCTGGCCTGCTCTAAAATGTTCCTGTGCCTGCCAGAGAACTCCAAGGAGTTATAACTTATAATCTTTTAAACTGTCTGTTGTCAATTTTAGGATAATCTGTATTAGGTATGACTAAGTTTGTATTAGACATCGAAATTGTAATAAATTTCTTATATTTAATAAAAATTGCTTTCATTAATTTATATAGTTAGAGGGTAATAAATGACAGATTATACAAAGTTATTTAGAAAACCGAAATGATAAATGTTCTTATTAATAAGGAAAATGTTTTCGAGCTTTCCATAGTTTTCTAGAATATTCTGGATTATATATATAATAAGGAAATTTAAAACATTACATACATAATATATTAAAGCTTAATGTAAAATTATTTACTATTTTGAAAAGACACCTTAGCATTCAATAATAATTATATCAAAAACAACATATACATATATAAGAATTTAAGGGCATTTTAGTTTTTACTTGTTTGAAATCTTAGTTTTGTATAATTCTTTCAACTTGATCATTCCCGCTTTTTGACTGATGTTAGATTATTATTAACGCTCATTAAATCTAAAATGTATCTGAAATCGTTTTTATAAGAACAACAATGTCACTTGAAATAAAGATAAATGTATCATTAATTTACATTAATTACTAATATTGACCTAAAAATAGTCTTACAGTTTTGGCTGTGATATTAAATTTATAAAATCCTAATAGATGGCACCACCGTCGCAATATGACAATTAAAATATCCATAGACTAAAATATGTAATGCGATTTAATTGCAAAATAAGTTACTAACCTGAAATTTTACTTAAAATTGATTAAAAAATAGAATTTTCTTTACGAAACACACTAAGAAATGGATTTACTGCCGCAGAGAAAAATATAATTACCACCGTTACTAGGCTTCCTATAACAAGATTTCTTAGAGAGGAACATTGTAAGAACCTAGAAATTAGACCTTCATATCTAGTTTGTTAATATTATCTGGTCTCAAGTATGGAGTCTTTGTTAATACTATTACTTATATTATGTTTAATATCAATATATTCATCATAAATAATGTTTTAAAATATGTTTATCAAAACTCTTTGGTATAAAACTATATAATACATACTTATGATTTTCAAATTGGATCACCAAACAATATATATGGCATCTTTTAGAATTTAGAGCATCTGATTTAAAATACTAGGTCACTTAAAAATAGTTAAAATAAAATCATGAAGATATGTTTTATATGAATAGTGAGTAACATTCTTATTATAAAACAATGGGTAAAATAATAAACATTTTCAGATTATGGTGTTTGAGAAACATTGAAAATTATCAAATGTTTGTTTGAATTAAAAACTCATTTGTAATAATAAATGCAATTTAATGTAATAAATAAGTGCCTGATTATATTTTTTTTTATTTAAATTATAGAATGACTTCATATTACTGGCGAAAATTGTTAGTTCAGTGATGGCCTAGTGCTTTAAAGGCCCGCCTCATGCACGAGAGCACGGGTTCGTTCCTGGCCCGGGCAAGTACCAATGTGATTTTTCCGAGTCATATGTACTTTCTAAGAGTATTTAGACATCACTGATTAATGCATTCCCAAAAAGAGGTTTGATGTCAGGGAGGCGGCCGGTCGTAAAAAAACAATTAGCCAAAACTATTTACACCATGTTCTGTGGAAGAGTAGAACATTTTGTACCGACCCTACTACAAAGAGGGATCAGGGCAGGCTAAAAAAAACTTATTGTGATAAGAAAAAAACATATTTGATTTCATTAGTATTGATAAATAAAAATCGTAGTAGCTAGTTAAGCATAAGTCCAAATTCAAAGATTATAAAAAAGACCAAATATTTTATTAAGACCCTCTTATCGCCTAAGTTTTCCAAAATTATACTCTGGCAATTATTATTTTTTCTGGCTATTACTTTACGAGTACTTATCATTTTGGACAATCTGAAATCATAAAAGTCAAGGTCAACAAATATAAAGTAATAATATCAATAAATAAAGCTCAGCTAAATTCCAAAACAATTTTCCATGTATATTTTAAGAAGTTCCCTCATAATTAAGAAATATTATATCAAAGCGACTATAAATTATAGACCTTAACGAAAAATCTCATAACAATACTTATTTAAGTCGTATTGTTGATTAGTTTCTCTGCCGCATACAAGATGGCGCTGTAAAATAAATATTAGAAACTCGAGTACTACAGAATTCACCTTCAGGATTACAATCAGTTTTGGTTTAAAATGAACTTCAAGTATGATAAAGAGCAATTTTAATAAAGAACGGCCTTATTATGATAATCCAATAGATATTTAATAACAATCACGTCTTAGTTGCTTTTCCTTGAAGTATTCAACGTACGTAATCGCAAAAACGGTACTGCAAAAGCAATGAAGCTTAGCAGTGACACGAATTCTGGCCATGCACGTTGTCCCAATATAAATGGAAGTTTTATAACAATTGCTGAATTACGTGCCTTCAGATCTAGGAAAAACCTTTTGCTTTTATTTCAAGAACATCACTATAATCGGTTTTCAGTAAAAAAAAATTAAATTCAATTATTTGATAAAATTGTTACGTGTCAAAATATTAAAGAAGATTAGGCTTATTTTTATTGGTGGATTCAATGATAACAAAAAAATATAATTTTTCTAAAGTCTTCTATTTACTATTTGATTCAGTATTAATAACTTTTTTTTTCTTTTGATTGACCGTAGCTTGATATTTATATTTATTTTGGATAGCGAGCAATTAATGATTAGAAAAATTCAGGTACTGTGTTCTCTGCCTGTATAACTTTAAAAAAGTTATGAAGTATACTATCTAACATTTAAAAAAAACCATTTTAAAATATTTACGAATTGATGTCACTGTTTATATAATAAAATAACTGTCAACACAAATATTGATTGACTCAAACAGTTAAAATGTATATCGTAAGATAACCGCTCTTAATAATGACATTCATAAAGTTTTCTTTTTTTTTCCAAAAATTTAGAACGTATGATGTTTTAATCTGTGTAATTTACCAATCTGTTGGTTGTTGATGAAAAAGTGGTTGTAGCACGAATAAGTGGTTGTAGCACGAATAAGTGGTTGTAGCACGAATAACTAAAGAGTATAGAAGCTTACTAAAAAAAAATTCAAAGAAAATTTTCGTTGCGCACTGAATTAAATATTTTTTATTTTCTGAATCCGTTGAATAAACGCCCAAAACGACTGAACATTTACGGCGTAGTTTAATTTCGATCTAAGTTTATTTTGTTAATTTATGCAATTGAAAATCTCATAATAGATATTTTCCTTAGAGGAATAAGACGTCATTTAATATTATTTCTATTCTCGTTTCTTATGTTCGAAATTGTGTCTGACTTCTAATGAAACCATTCGGTAATAATCAGTAACATAATAAAGATTCTAATTATTGATAACATGAGCCCATAATTTTATAATCATCTACATAAAAACGTGATAAAGGGACTAAAATTATAGATAATTAATAAACAGATTAGAAAACTATATTATAAAATAATCTAACTTAGCTATTGCTAGCCTATATACCTCGTATATTTTTTATTACTTACTTTAACCATTGCTTACTTCGGAAAAACGATTCCTCTCTTATTGATAAGCAACCAAGGCTACCTTTAACTTAATACCAGCAATCAGGTGCTTTAAAGTTGTCCAAATATTTAAATAGATAAACTTTGTAATATCTGTAAATAAATAGAATTTATGTTCCGGTCAGTTAACGAACTTTCTTCTAGTCGGAAGTGGAGTTATTTATGTAAGTGACCAGAGACGGTAGCCATAATTTATTTATTTATTTTAATATGAATACTTTTCTTTGCTATATTAATTAGAGGAAAAATTAATAGTAAAGCATGTCTTTTTTCGTTTTCAATAGGTAAGATTTAAGAATATGATATTTTTTCAACTTAATGGAGAATCTATGAAACAGATTATATATTGATGTGTTTGACAGTTGATTCAAACATGTTTTTTTTTATCTACGCTGCATATATAATTATTTCGTATATTTCCTTCAATAACTTTAGTTTTTCATTGGGATATAACCTTCTCAGTTGTAATGTAATGTACTTGAATGTTGGTTATACAATATTTATCGGTTATTTTCATTAATGTCATAATAAAATATTTGCTCTGCCTATCTGCGTCGGCTCGGAGTACGTTAGGTGAGGCTTGTAAATAAACGTATTTTTTAATCGATTCGATGATAAAAATTTTGAAATATAAAATATATTTCATTTGAAAAACAAAGCAAATAAGATTTTCTCTGATTTAGATTATAGACCACATGAATATATAGGTAATCCCTCCCAATATTATAAATGCGAAAGTAACTCTGTCTGTCTGTCTGTCTCTTACGCTTTCACGGCTAAACCACTGAACTGGTTTTAATGAAATTTGGTACAGAGATAGGGTTGACCTTGAGAAAGAACATAGGATAGTTTTTATCCCAGACTTTTGAAAGGTTCTCTTGGAAACGCGATGTAACCGAAAGAGTTCGTAGAGACGCGGGCGAAGCTGCGGGCGGAAAGCTAGTTGTACATAAATATTTGTACACTATATGACAAAGAAATATTTAGATAAATTATGTATTTATATTGAATGTATAGTAATGTATTGAAAATATCGGTGTTAGAGTGTATGTATGATTGTGATGAATGTGTGTTTTATGTATTATCTCAAAAACTAAATAAAACTTTTCTTCTGTTATTCTATGCAATTTTTTATAATAAAAAACTTTAGAAGGAACTAAACTTTAAATTATTTTTTTTATGATTTTTTCATAATTAATGTTCTATTTCTGATCTTTGGTCAATAACTGCAGAGTCCAAAATGCCATTAGCATTATATGCAACTTAAATTAAATAAATACATTCTTAATCGTGTAAATTGTAACTAATATAAATTACTGGGATCTCGATCTACTTTCAATATATAACCAGATAGTCGAGCTTACTTAGAAATACTTTACTTCTTAATGAGTAAGACGTTTAGAAATTTGCAATATACAGGGTGACTGGTGAATTACTATCAATATTTAAGGAGCATACTCGGTACATGATTCTCTTTCGAATTATGTAAAAAAATAGGTACTTAATTTTTGACCAAATTTCCGTATAAATAAATAAAGTGTGTACACGTTCCAAGTGTTCCAAGTGTGTACGCGTGCGGCGGCGTGCTGATACAACACACGCCGCCGCGCGCGTATGTGTGTGTGCGTGTGTATACCTAATCTGTAGGGTGTTCATACGATGCGTAATTAATTACATCACTTTTGGTTAACTTTACTTAGAAGTTTATTAATATTTATGTTATATTCATTTTTATTTTGTCGTATATGATCGTCAAATATCACGTCCTCAAATATCGATAGTAATTCACCAGTCACCCTGTATAAGTCACGAAAATATAGATTAAGATTTTTTTGTTGCCGCCTTAAAATAATGAAAAAAGTATGAAATAAAATATATATTTGTTTACTTTGACAATAACATCGAAGTTGATAAATGTGGATCTATAATAACAGTTACATTTTAATTTTTTTCCAGTGAATGCAGTAACTGCAAGTTACTAAGCTATTATGTATTACTATTGTAATGTTCATTCTTCTAAGAACGAAGATTTTTATAAATATTAATATACATTAATTCGAAATTTTTTAATTATAGAAAAATTGATTAACTACTCGAAGGTTTATGGTAATTTTGTTAAAGTACAGTTAAAACAAGAAGTTATATTTATGAACCGGAACGTGTCAATCAATTTAGAAACGTATGTACCTAATTAGTTTCACTCGTTAATTAAACAAAGACAAACCGTGAACACTGAACAGCGGTTTTAAATATTTGTGAAAAAATTTACAACACGTCCGTGAAAAATCACAAAAGAAACAGAATAAAAAGATTTGTATTGTCTGACAGACGCCCAAAATATTTTGACTTTGTTTTTTTATTTTAAGCGTAAACCGTAATAAATTTTTAGTTTTAAATTTAATTGTTTCGTGGTTTGTTTTAATAAAGAATTTCTTCGGAATGGTAATTAGTAATTAACTTTGAAAATTCTTTTCAAAATTAAATCTTTTTGATATCGGTAAACAACATTCATTTTATTAATTAGGAGTACATGTTATGATGTAATTTTTGATGTCCTCTGGATTTTGTGTTGGTACCTATGATTGATAAAATAAATAAAGATAGTTTGAATAATATGAACAGATGCAGTCATTGTGCCTTGCGATAGACTGAAGATTTGAAAAAGGTAAAGAAAAAGAGTAAGTTAACGCAAAAGGCTACCCCGGATCCGGACACTTGGTTCACTTTAGGGGAAGCCTACATTCAGCTGTGGAGTGTAGACTGAAAAGATTAGTAGATAAAGTAAGGTGATTAAAACAGCTCAGTCAAACCACTATCACCTGCTTACAGGTGATCAAAATGCCATCTAATTTGCAGCTGAGTTTTGTTACAAGTAAAAGTCCCAATACGGAAGCCCCGAGACCTTCGTCTTTGTTCTTTTTCTTCCATTCTCTTTAGCTATTTAATGGGAAAACATACGACAATATAAAGATTAAGATAGACTTATATCGCTGTTGGCACCTTCTAGCGAATCCACTCAGTAAAACGTCCGATGAAATAAGAAATAATGCATCTTTAATTAAAATCCTTCAACTTTTGAAACTTCTAATGCCAACAACAGATATTGACCTAGCCAAGGTTATGAACGAAATATTTATCAGCCAAGGACGTTCCCAACCACATCAAGAAACCCGGAAATTATGACTTACAAAGAACAATGGTATATTAATCTCCAAATTTTCTCTCACACAAATCAAAAACAGTACACATCTATGTGAAATGCTAATGACAATATTATTGGCTGTATACACCACGATCGTGATATTTGAATTTGTTATCTGTGGAATATTTGTAAACGAAGTGTCATAATTTTAAATACGATTAAAAATTTTGTGTCTTTGGATAATTATATCAAATGTATGACAAATTAATTTACTTCACCATCGATAATTTGAAGGCCCATTGATGTCATTGTGTTTTTTAAGCCTACTATTAACATTGACTTTGCATTGTTATCTGTTACGAGTCGAGTCACGGACAATAAAAGCCTAATAATAGCAGATATTTGTATTAAAATCATAGATTAGATATTCCTATAAAGTAGAAAACAATGTAATATTCCTAATGAAGACTATATAAACGTTTCTTAAAATTTATAGTGGAAATCTTTCATTATAGTTGAAAACGTATAAAGTTGATGAATTTATTTTAAAAGAAATTTGGCAGATGGAAAATCTGAAGACATAATGGAGAGTACATCACTTAACCGGAACATTTCGACAAAACTTTGATTGTTGTGTTTGATATGGAATTATTATATGGTTCTAGTTTATTTCTTATCTATATATATACTGTTCCTAATGTCATTTAAGAAAAACGAATAAATATTTCCAAATATATTCACAATTGTAAACATAGTGTAACACAGAGTACTATTTTCAGGTTTTTTTTTGTGATTAATTTAATCATAATTTACGACCTTACAAATTGATAATAGAAATGTATTATGTTATTGATTGCGCTCTTATTATACTATATTATTTACGAGAATTCAAATAATATTATGTAAGAAAGTAAATTAAAACATTGTAATAAAGTCTTTCAGCAATAATTGACATATATATTGGTTCTTCACTTTTATATCTTAAATGTTATTGTATATTTTATATGTCAAATACAATTTTATAAATATATACATCTCTAATATTACAATACGATTAACATCAAAAGCCGTAACAGTGATGTACCTATATACATCAAATCGGAAAGACATCAAAAATCAAGACACATATTTGCTTTTGTATCAAAACAAAAGAATCTAAACCATGACTAGATTGTTTTTAAATTCGCAACACTCAACTTAATCTGAGTTGAATATTAATTACTTTACATATAAATAAGAAGTAAATCTTTAATTACGATAGTTAAAAATGTAAACATAACAATAAATCAAACAAATTAATTTTAACAAAGTTAATTAGGTCCCTACATTTTCAAGACTCATCGAGCTGTACTTTAACTTGTCATTAGTCGAAGTCAATCAGGAAGCAAGGACTTCCATACATAGTCTCGTTATCATTATATGTTAATGATAATGAATAATTTTGTTTGTTTATTTATCATTATTATAACAAAACATCACGATTACAATTTCCTCTGAATACTTTGAAGTTTGTTTATATACATCACATTCGTGACGTTAAATAAATAATGTTTTAACAAATATATACATAATTGTGAGAACTGAGATCGACAAACATTTGTCTAGGAGAATGTTGTGCGCTTGTAAATAATGCAGTGGAATATATTGTATTATAACAATAAAAGGAAATATATCCGTAAAGAAGTTTTTGTTCAATGATAATCATAAAATGACCGTCTGCTAAGTGTAAAGTGGTTTGGAGTACGTACAATTAGTACCGTCCTTTGCGGAGACACTTTAACGTTTGCGCTGCACAGTGATGCCACGAGTTACCACGTAAATATACCTCTTTATCAGTAGGTGCCAGAACCGGCCTCGATGACACCAGCGCACGGCTGGTGAAAGTCTCAGACGGATATACGACTTTGAGTTAATAAGACGCTTTAAAAAATATATTCGATCGCGATAAATAAATTTGATAAACAAATAGCGTCGCGTGATTGAATAATAAATGTGTGAGGGCAGGCGTGCTGTCGATAGTTGAATAGTGTTGTGCTCCCGCGTTACATTCGGCACAATGATCGCGGCGAGTGCCGTCATCTTGCTAACAGCATTCACACTCGCAGATACAGACACACAAACTATTAATTCGAACACAAATAACATAGTACCCGCCGAACAGTACTTCATTGACAAGATCTTCGATAAGTATGGATACAAAGGAGTCATCACGTTCGAGGTATGTGACATATAATATTTATTATTGCATAAAATTAAAACTCAGTAATAAACTGCTCGTAATATTATTTATGATATTTTGATAAGTGATATTCGAAGCAATTTTCTAATCTTACGTTGATATAAACGTGATTCTCACGCTTTTCCACTCAAGCTTAACGTAAAAAAAATTGTCAATATAGGTATTTTCCAATATAGCTTTCACTGTTTTGTGAAGAAGGTTCGTCGAACTTTGATTTTACTATAAAACATGATTGGTTATCTGTATTGTAAGTGCTTATCATATTAACTTTAATCTATAAATTCGGACACTACTAGCTTCCTCGTATATTTAACTAACACCATATTTTAATAAAATTAGGACACAATTGTACACAATCGATAGATATATTTCAAACTATTTTTTACAAATAAAACTATGACAAATAACTGTACATTCAATACTATTTGTTATATGAAATTATTAGAACATGTGTTTTCATAAATTTTCTCGTTTTGTTAGAAACTTAAAACTCGTCTAAGTTATAATAAATATTGAGTTTATTTCTTATGTATTAAATAACGTATGTTTTATTTATACCTATTAATTATCTAAACGTGTTTAAAAGCGTGATGGTGTTTTCGATGTTAGATAACAACGTTTTGCTTACAAAAAAATACTTATAATAACTGACGTATCTATATAAATTCGATTGTAGACTTAAGTTTATAGTTTTTAGTACTTACGCCACTTGTGTCACCTACATTTATGAATAATATTATTAAACATCTTTATTGTAGTTCATTAAACTTGTATCGTCTATAATATTATGTAGAACTGTATTCTTATAATTAGTTTTCATAGGCAAACTACACACAATATTCTTTCATTCATAAACTTCATTCAACTTCCAATATAATAGTATCAACGTAGATTATTGAATTAAAAACTGTGCTTTCGCCGTATGTATTAACGATGAAAACATTTAGTACGGCTACTGAGTATTGAATATTAGTTTAACTTCTCAGAAGTAGATCGCGTTTTCATTCATAAAACTTCTTAAATGAAGATTCTTCTGTAAATTATAGTATAGAAGAGTATTGGTTTTTACGTTGACAATGCAATGTCATACTAAGAACAGTACAGCTACTTATACGTCATATCGAGTAGATTGCGGAAAAGGATGCTGCGAATTTAAATCTAAACAGGATGAAGAAACGTACTAGCTGTGTTTTTGTCTGTATATTGATTTATAGTTAGTTTAACTAGAGAACAATATTAAATAAGTTTAATATACGGTATGATCAACGGTTTTTTTTTACTTTCATGCGTCGCTGATAGTGAATTTTTTTTTCAAGTAATAGGTCTGTTAATTTTAAGTGCAATCTTTGTTTATACAAAATTTAAAAAAATATCTAATAAACACAATTTAAAACATGAGGAACTAAATAAGTTTAAGTCTTGACAATTCCAAAATGTACAGTGTTAAAATATTTTTAATCTATTTTTGTTGTTAATTAGAAATAAGCAATTAACTAATAGACATCATAAATAATAATCTTTTTAAATTTGTGTTGTTTAAAAAATAGCAACCGATATTTTCGCGGTTTTTTTTATCTATGTTCATTAGATTTTTGGGAATTGGTTTCTCTGACTAAAATAAAAATATTTTTATATTAATTTGTTATGACCGCTATGACTTATAAATTCCATAAAAAAATAGAAAAATTTGTAGAACAATCTGGAACAATTCATAATTGTGTTTTAAAAAAAAAACTTATTTATATTCCATTGAATCATACAATGAGATTGAAGAAATAAATTTTATAGTATAAAAAATAGAAACGTAATAATTTAATATATGTACATATTTTACTTCTTCATATAATATATATTTAATAACATAAATTATGTTAATCATACATACATTTTAAAGTCATTACACATTTTACATTGTGATATTATATTTGCAGTCAACAGGTGCGCACTTCTATCTTTTATTTTTGAACTATTCTAATTCACATTCGCATTGTTCTCAATACAAAATAGGGTCTGTGTACATAAAGCACGAATTAAATAAAATTACAACACTTATTTCGTATACGTATTGTTATCTGTAGAAAAAAAATTAAAAAAATAAATAAAGAGGCGCGAGAAAAAAGTTTTTAATGTCATAAATATTATATTAAAAAGAAATTAATATTTCTTTGACGTTTTTGTATATTAGTTTTACTGATAATATAAAACAGTGTGTTACTCAATTCTAACAACTTGACAATGTATTAATCAAATAAGGCAAATCGTAAACAATTAATACGATTCCTGCGATGAAAGTAGATAAAAACGTCTCAAAAGCATACAAACAGTAGCATGTTGTGTAAGCATTTGTCAATAGTATGTGTTTACCGATACGGTTAATGTAAAAATATTCCCATTTACATTACTAAGGCTTGTTAAGCGATTACATTGCGTATTATTATATATTAAGGTGTTTGGCATTCTTAAATTTTTTGTTTAATCAAATGTTTTATCAAAATTTAATATGACATTTATAAAACGTCACAGCCAATTATATGTATACAAACTACAAATAACGTGGATGATTGAATTTAAAAAAAAATGTTGCAAGTTAGAAAAAATGTCAACGGAACGTTATTTTTATTAAATTAGAAATAAAATTGATGATAATTCGTTATTAATATAAAAAGTAAAAAAAAAATCTTATTGTCTTGAGAAATATTTTAGAAGAAAAATACTGGGAAGAAAATAATTTTACAATATATCACACTTTATTAATGTTTTTTTGCTGCACCTACGTAAAATACTGACAATGTGTCCAATTTGCTTTCTATACTGCAGTATGCTTAGTCCAAGTCGCCATTGTCAAACTACACACGAGCGCTAATAGTTTTTATTCATAATCCGTAGTTTATTGAATGAAAGACGGGAACACATCGTGTGTAGCATGGCGGTGCAAACATGCACTAATCATACAGATAGTCATATCTACCATAGATTATAATAAATAGCAACTGACATATGCTACCATTTTTTTTATATATCTATTGCTTGAAAAAGAATTTAAGTGCGGAATCTTTTCATTACCTTGTCGTAGTCACTTTAATAGCGTTTTAATCATACAGATTATCTTAGAACAAATAGTGTAGCCAGTGGAGAATTTTTATACCGTCTACCCTTGAAAAAAGGTTTCTGAACTTTGATAAACCTTGTATAAAGTAACTTGTTGAACCTACATGATATCTTAAAGGTAATTCTGGTGTTTATCGTTACTCGTAGGCTCCGATATCTGATATTGGTTATCAAATTTGGTAATCTTTACAAAAACGATACATAGACGCCATGGAAATGGCGTTTCATTCATTAAATTTAATGATATTAGTTCATAATTTGTCCCATTTTCAAATAACTAAATAACTGTGAGATGTAAAGCTTTAGTTATTGTACTATAAGTAAATTATTTTACATGGCAATTAGATTCTCATATTTCATTTTACATGTTTTGGATCTACTGCACAATAAAAAATAAAAATACGATATTTTTTATATGTTCATGCTTAAGACATATTCAATGACCGATAGCTTAGGAGGTAAAACATTACATAACAAAAAAACTAAGTATAAAATTTGTTTCCAGGGCTTTGAACATTTGCTGGACAGCCTCGGATTGGGAGGACGCGTCTTTACTTCACCTCACGATTTGGCGCTGCACAGAATCAATGGCAGCTTTAAACAACTACACGATACCCAGCACAGACACAGAAGATCTCTTAGTGCAGGTGCAGGATAAAAATTATTTATTATATTCTAGTACATACTCTTATGTACTTACTATGAAATCGATACTAATAGGTGTGTCCTTTAAATTAAATAAGTCATCAGTCTATAAAACAACGTTATTCACCCTTTGCGTTTAATATTACGACGCAAGTTATGTTATGTGTAATAGTTTTGAATTTAAACTCATAGTTCACCAGACAATTGTAAGAATGCCTGCCTTGACAGTAGTGAATGGAAAACGGAAATTAGAATAATAAATGAAAGCCAGGTTTAATCGGACGTTTTTATATCAATCCTTGAAAGAGAACGTCAGTTGAGTTACGATCTTTGTTAGGTTACCGATTCGTGACCTTCACGCCTCTGTCACATTAATTTTGATATTTGTCAAATAATTTTACGGTAATTTCTTGCTCCTTATCTGCGTAATATCAATAACGTAATCGATTAGGGTTGGATAATGATGTTTCTTTCATATATTTGTAACGAAACGAATTGTTTAGGAATGTGTTTAGAATATAATTCGTCGGACTTTGATTAATTTATGACAAAAATTGTTTAAAACATTACTGTTTATTATTTTTTATTAACTCTCTTGAAAGAGCCAATGAAAGAGCATATTCTTATTGATAACATCTCACTCATTTTAATTGACCGTAAAAGTAACAATAAAACTTTTTGGAGATAAACCTTTTTAGATTTACTTTTTCATAACTTTGTTTTGTGACGCTATATTTTCATCGCTGTGACCAATCTGCGATGATTACACCATGTCCTCGATGACGGTCGATGATCTAAACTACTCCTATCCGCTTTTATATAAAAAACATAACAATATCAATAATACAGTTAGTTTATTCGTCACCAGAGATGAATCTTTCGTCACGATGAAGGTTTTATATGTATATTAAAGTTGTAAGAATTATGTGAACCTGTATATTTTATTTCTTCGCAAACAAGTCCAAGTTTTTTAGAAAGTCTTACAACAGATGACTTTCTAATAAGTAAGATGACACTGACATATCTGTGATATTTGTGTGTGATACGAAACTTCACTTCATGAGATAACATACCAATTAAATCAGAAATATTTTTAAAATTCCTTTATTGTCGGTAAAGTTGAAAATATTATTTATGAAGTTAAATATCAAGTTATACATTACAATAATCTCGTATTATTATACGTTATATAATTATATATAAAGATGTTCACAACATAACAACTTAAACGTTAAAATAGAAACATGTTTTAGAAATGTTTATACATTAGAAACGGACATAGGTTAAAATAAACTAGGATGTCCATTCAAGAATGTATACTCACTAAGACGTTAAGTGCATCATATTTATGATCCTGCTATTATCCTATTATGGTCCTTTAAGCTCCTTGACTTTATGAGTATTGGGCAAGTGTACTGTGTAATTTGTGTATTTGTTCCCCCCTCTTTATCCAGTACTCGACTTGTCTGCTCCCTCTTTTAACCTCTCCAATTCTTATATGACAAGGTTATTCCAGTTAAACTAAAAGTAGTAACCTTTTAAATTTATCGTTTACTTCCAGTGACGCCGATACTGAAAAAATCATGTCTGTCACCGAAAGAAATCCTCAAAGTTTATGGGATAGAAAACGAACCGGGTATCATAACAATCGAGCCAAAAACATTCCTGGAGATGTGCCCAGCGCTGGTCTATCAACTTGATCAGAAATCTTGTTACAAAACAGAAGCGCCGGCTTTAAAACTTAACAGACTGTGGAGTAAGTGGAATTATTTACGTAAAGACAATTCAATTAAAGTACATATATACGTATTCCTTTTTGTTATTTGATTGACATTGTTGAATAAAATGTGTTTTTGAGAATTCTATTTCTTTACAGCATGGGTATACGCAACATTAAGTATCTTAGTCATAAGCGCCACAGGACTTTTGGGCGTAGCTATTGTACCGATGCTAAAATCAGCAATTTTTAGCCACGTGATACATTTCCTGGTCGCAGTCGCTGTAGGCACTCTGTGTGGTGACGCTCTGTTGCATTTAATGCCACATGCCCTCAAATCTCACGGAACTCCAAACGAACCCACGGAAGAAACCGAAGTAATCCTAAAATGCAGTGTAACCTTCTTAACAATCCTATTATTTTATGCAGTGGAAGCCATTATGCAGACTCTTAATGGCGGTCATGCTCATTCTCACGATGCCCAGACGGCAGAAGATATGAAAGTGGAAAGCGCAAAACAAATGGAAACTATAGAATTAGGAGCTATAATGCCTGGATCTCCACCGCCACCAGTTGAGCGTCCCATGTCGTCAACAGCACTTATGGTCATAGTTGGTGATGGCTTACACAATCTAACTGATGGTCTAGCGATAGGAGCAGCATTCAGTGGAGATCCAGTTACTGGCTTTGCTACAGCTCTTGCAGTTTTCTGTCACGAACTTCCCCACGAATTGGGAGATTTTGCTGTACTTCTCCGCTCAGGCATGAGCATAAAGCGCGCTTTGTATTACAACCTACTGTCATCTGCTCTCAGTTTCATGGGCATGGCAGGTGGTATATGGCTAGCGGAAGATCATGAATCAGCATCACAATGGATTTACGCTGCTACAGCTGGAACATTTTTCTATATAGCACTAGCGGACCTAGTGCCTGAAATAAATGAAAATAACAAAGGGAAGAGCATCCATTTACTTTTAGCAATTTTGGGCATATTAACTGGTGGAGTAATTATGCTGATGATTGCACTTCATGAGGATTCAATTCAATATCTTTTTAGAAATACCGAAAAGTGAACATCTTAGTTGTACAAAATATTGTGATAAAATATGCATTGGTGCCTAGTGCCTTTTAATGGTTGTTGAAATGTTCGTCCCAGACTGTAATATATTTATGATAGAATCGTATTAGGGCCACCTCAGATTGAAGCGTCGGTAAATATAAAAGATATAATTATATTCTACCTTTTTTGTAAGTTATAATGTTAAGTGAAAAATTATTAAATACAAAAAAAATAAATCTAAACTTATGTTTTTATGTCAATAGGATGTTAAATATGGTTTTATGTAAATATATGATGTTTTATGATTTATAGTTAAGGGTTATGTTTTTATATGGTAACACTTGCGCGTGTGTGAACAAATTATTATAGATATTTTAAATTATATAATGCTATTTTACTTATGAACCCACTAATTTTATTCCCTGTGATGTTGCTTCTGTATTTCTATTATTTAAGAGAAAGTAGGTTTCATTTTGAGTTAGGATCATCCTTTTAAAAAACCAAGTGGGCGGTGGGCCTTACGAAGAAACTTTTTCACGCTATTTATTAATTTTAGTTCTGTGTTGCACAAAAAACCTTGTTTTGTTAGTCACTATTCTCTGATCTTTTTTAATTTAAAGTGTTTTTTCTATAACATTTTCGATAAACGTACTATAAAATTTGCTAAATAAGATTTCAAAACTATATTTATATGTTGCTGAAGTTGTATTCGTACGCAATGGTTTTATACATATTGCATTAGAAAAGGTTTTAGAAAATTAAAAGAAAGAAGAGGAATGAGGGAGTGATTCTTTGCCTAATGAGCGTGACACTTTTTCATAAAACGACGGTTTCTTTAACATCAATTTGATATTAGTTAATGTGTCACATAAAATTGTTTACATATACCGAGGTATAGAGGGATCTTCAATTATTTTCATCAAATTATAATATTTCATAACAAGCTCTGGTTAATACGCTGCAAGCTATTGAACTTCTATCATAAGTTAATTGCATTTAGCTCCTCTGATTTCGAGGAAAAGATCATCATTATATTTTATAACATGTAGAATAATTTTAATAAGAATGAAATCATAAATTCTCCTTTACATATCATGAAAATAAAAGTAAAAGTTTAAGTCATGTATTAATTAAGTCTAAAACATAGCTTTTTAACATCATAATTCTGTTTTATAATGTAATGTGATTTTCAGATATATCTTGTGTCAATTATGTATTTGATTTTATTAATTTTGAAAAGTAGCAACATCGCAATTTGTCAAATCTGAAGAAATGTCAACAGAACTTGTCAAGTCAACAACTAAAATCGTCTGATTGTCAAATTTATACCACTTCTCGTTAATTCTATATCAACATACCAAAAAAACTTCTTTTGAGTCCTTAAGTGATTACATAAGTTGTTAATTTATTCTGTGACTTTAATAATAAATATATGATCAGTACGATGTTGAAAGGAATAGTAAGTTTATATTTTGTATGTCGCAACGTATTGTACACATTTTTCGCAATACTTTTCTTTATTAGAAAATAAATTACGTTTCATTTTTACAATACCTTTTAAATACTGTGGTTAAATTAATAATATTACTTTAAAATAAAACTAAAAAGAACTGATTGAAAACTTAACAAAAACCTTTTTGCACACTTCAATATTGATAAAAATACAGATACAAACAAATTTTCTTTGTCTATTTTGTTGACAATAAATCAAATTTAGAAAATCATTTAGTTTTTGAATAGATCAATTTTTTTCAGGCTTAAAAATAAATAGTTATTTTCGATTTTTATTTCAAAATGGTTTAAAATCTGATAATATATAAAAATTGGTCAATTTACATATTGACCAATTGTATTACTATGGGTTTTGTGTTTTCATTGTTCAAAACTAGTGTATGTTTTCAAAATCAGTAATACAAATCTTTGTTGATATGTAATTTAGAGGCTTTTAAATTCATTTTCACAATATTTTCATATTTCTTATACTAGATATAACTGTTCTAATTTGTAACATAAAAATAATGAATGTTTTTACTAAATCTTCTAGCAGGTAATAAAGTAAATGTAATAAAAATGTTTACAGATAATTTTTGGCGGTGGTATCTACACTGGGGTTTATATAGCACAGAATTATCAGGTTAGCGGAACGGAGAGCCAAATGTTAAGAAAAAAAACTGACCTTTAAAAAAGGTTTATGATATCAAGCTGGACTCACAAAGGAGGCCATGTCTACTATAATTTATCTGTGTACTTCTGCATACCTCTCATACCTTAATGATTCCTGGTTCAAATAAAACACAAAACGTGTGGCCTCTTTTGTGTTTGTCACATTTCTGCTAGAATAATTACATTTACTGTACAAATATTTTTCTTAAACAGGCGGCAGTTTCAATAGTCTGTCAAAAAACAACACAGGAATGTGACAAGGCACTGGATAAAAAGAAATGGTTGGTTTTTTTTTTGTTTATTTCATCCTTTAGTTAAATTAATATGTGGCCAGCTATCTTTTGTAATATTAAATCATAGGATAGTATAAGTAAAGTCTCATATTTTTTTCATTATTTAGTTAACAATTTAAATGACGAGATGCTCAACTTTGATATTTTATTTAAACCAGGAATAATTAAAGTTATGTGTACCAATTGTATTTCTCTTAGGGCTTGTATAAGAACATTCCATACTCATTATATTAGAATTCATATAAATAAATTTCCAACATTTGTACCTCATAATGTTTAGAAGCGCTAATTGGTTATTTTCATTAGTTTTGTATGGTTATACCACATTTGATATAATGCTTAAATTCATATGTAGTTCAAGTACTGCATTTTATGAAACATTATGAAAACTGCTATTTCAAGTATTTTTTCAAAAATTTTTTAGATTTATATACACATATTCTTTGTATGGCAGTAGTAACTTTAATGGCTAGTACACATACAAAATAATGATTGTTGTTTGTTTTTAATCAATTTTGTTATACAGATACATATTTAAAATTCCACCTTTATTGATACTAAAATTGTTGCTGAAGAGCTATTATATTACCAAAAGTATAAGGTTTATGTTTTCTTTCATGATCTATCATTACCTTCAATAAGATTTTCTCTTTCAGATTGATAAAGTGGAGGATCCCAAAGTTCTATATGAAAAGGCTAAGGCTTTTATCTGTGCTAAATTGTCAGAATTCAATGACGGAAAGAAAGGTGGAGATTGAAAAGAGCAAGATGAAAACACATGAACAGATTTGAAATATTTTAATTTCCTGTAAATAACTAACATAAAATGATCTTAAATAAATAGTAGCAATAGATATAATGATTTTTCATTAACATTTTGTCCTATAACATTGAGAACCCTCCGCCTATGTGTTCAGCTTTCAATATAGGTTCTTCAAATGCTAACCAGTCGCTTGAATGTGTCGGCAATAGACCCATGCTTTGACATTTATATAGAGCTAACAATATGTTCACTATATTCCCAATTATGTATACAAACTTTTGTCCAGCAGCTTGAGTGCCTTCTACCATTTTAAATGTACCCTGAGTAGAAAACAGAGCCTTAACCGGTCTAACAATTAACATGCCGACCATCATGATTGGAAATATTGATATGGAGTTCCCCGCCATATACATTATGAACAGATTCATCGGCACCTGTTTTAATGGTCCGAGAGCGACATCCCACAATTTCTTTATCAAAAGAAGGTTAGAATCTGTATCTTTTGAAGATTCCGCATTACTGACGGCAGTAGACTGGCTATATCCAGGAGGCGATGGTATTTCTGACGTCTGACTTTTGTTTCTAAAGAAAGAAATTAATTTATTACTCAAATAACACTAGCGAATTATTAATTTATGCAGTGATCACCACTTACTTTGGATTAAAGTCTAAAGCCCATTTAAATTTTTTGTTAGACTTCAACTGAGACATCTTGCTTTAAAATAATTGAATTATTTACTTATAACGAAACTATAGTAACCAAATAAATGGATATTAAGGCAAAACTTGATAAATTACCAATTAACAACCCACAGATAGATCAACTATCATCTGTCAATGTCAAAGTTATCTTTATTTTACATATACAGAGAGGCAAAGGTTTTTCGGTATAAGCCATTATTTAAAAATAAAAAAATAAACGATAGATAAAATTATTCATGGATATTAAATAAAAGTTTAGAACCTATGAATTTAAGCAAGATATTAAAACCATTTTTAAAATAATGGAAACACGTAATTTTTCACTGACATGAAAAAAGAACATTAGTAATTCAAAACACTGTTTATAGCGTTATTATGATTTGAAGGACGTATCACAGTGTTAGTATTTAGTACTTTATTACAAAAATGATTATCTTAAATTAAAGTTAGTATCATAAGTCAATGAAAACAATTGTTTTTAGGGTTTATTTGTATATTTATATTTCTATAACATCACATATGAAATACAAATTATTTACATACATCCCTTTGCATATTTTTTTTTACATTTACTATACGTTTTCTTGTTAATTGTCTCATTACAATCTATCATACCTTTATAATTAATAAAAGTGGACCGTTACATAACATTACTATATGTTTTACATATCAATAATTTTAAACATTCACTTTAATAATAATTAATAAGTATGTGGTAGATATTTGATAATTCGTCAAATCAGACGTCAGAGACTTGAGGTAGGTTGCTATCGCATATTTGTATATTATTGGACTCCTCATTTATCATATTTTCCAACCGTTTCTCTGCATAAACGATATGTTCTTTACAAAATATGATGATTCTTCGGCAGGCCTCTTGTAACTTATCTTCCGGGACCGTTAACACGATTCGCAAGTAATTAGGATATTTAAAACACTGTAAAATGAGAAATAAACATATAAATAAATAACCATAACATATCACACTAATCAATGAGAGTTTAAGTATATTTTTCTGAAGTATATAAGTACAATAGTCATCTTTTATCATATAGTTGTGATTCACAAACCTGTCCAGGTAAACAGAATACCGATTGCTCCGCCACTAAGTGTTCCAAAAATTGGCATTCGTTTTTAAATTCTGGGAAGAATTGCATTTTTATTTCGATCATCATGTACATAGCACCTTGAGGCATAATGGGTCTCAATCCGGGTGCCATACATAACTCTTTATATGCTAACTTAGCTTGATTCTGAAAACATATAATTCACTTTAAATTATGAAATTTATAAGCATTTGAGTATAATAGCAATAAAAATATATGTCGTATTCAAAATATTGAAATTCTCAACGAACAGGAATCTAGAACGTATTTAATATTCAGAAACAAGCAAGCAATGACCGGGAACCTTCCACTCACCTCGATAAACAACAACACGTCATCGAAGAAACTTTGCGGTGTATATTCTAGAATGCTTGGTAAAGCTCGCTGAATTAAAGTACTGGGGCCGAGAATCCTGGTTGATATATTGCCCAACGCTCCTCGCAACTCCTTCCCTAAAATATTATTGCGATCGTGTATAATCAGCCAACCCATTCTCCAACCCGGAACTAGGAACCGCTTTGTGAGGCCGCTGCATGTCAGCACAGGAACATCTTCCGATATCGCTGAGATCGGTGTAAATTTGTGGCCCGAGAAAACGAAGTGCTCGTAGATTTCGTCAGCTATAATCGGCACTCGGTTTCGAGAAGCTATATCTAAAATTTCTATTAAATGTTCCTTATCATAAACTGAACCACATGGATTTGAGGGGTTAATGACGATAATGGCGGCAGTGTCATCGTCAATTTGGCCTTCCAAATCATCAAGGTCAACTTTCCACTGCTCGTTAGGCTGTGAAAACAAGGTGGAAGAAATAAGTTTAGTATGTCCATATCAAAACCCTTTGAAGAAGAAACATTTTATATAATGTTTATTGGTCACCAAAATATAAAATACCTAAATATATCCAATAAGCAAAATAACATTAAAAACCTGTTTCGTTTCTGGAAACGTGTTCGCATAAATTTTAAAGTTGATTAATAATATAATTCGGGTTAGGTTTTCTTATATAATCCTCTTTATATATTCCAACGGAAAGTTTGATAATAGTAAATATGTATTAATAAAGTTATTGTCGTAAGGACTCGCTAACCTTGTCTATTTATTGTTTATGTCGATTACATTTGTATGGTAATCTATGTGGAAAATGTAGCTTCAAAAGTTACGTACATAAGTTATAAATAGTACGCTTCCGCACAAGACTTAGATTGTTTGTAAATTTTATAATTTCAGATGACAGTACTATAAAGAAAAAGTAGATATTTGTTTTGACAAGTTGTTAAGAGTTAGGTTGTTAAATGTTACGAGCCATATAACTTGCTCATGTCATGATAAGACCCTTATAATAGTTCTTCAAAACGATTCGTTACACAAAATTTGTTTAAAGCTTAAAGACATAACTTAGACCAGAATAAACAAATATATCTTATACATAATACTAACGAGTAAACTGTAGAATTTGATTGTTATCCCAAGACCTTCTGCTAGTGTTTGATATATCATGAAACCAGGTCGGGGAACCAGAATATTCTGTCCGCTGTCAGCGATCGCAGTTATGGCCATTTCAATAGCATGAGAAGCTCCACTCGTGAGTATCACATCTTCAGGATCTACGTCACCCTGATGGGCACTGTACTTCGCAACGGCAGCACGTGCCTCGTTATGACCTTTCGAAGGTCCATATCCTCGACTCGTATGTAATTCAATACTATCCCTCACAGCTTGCAAAACTTGTTCCGGGGGATTAAGGTTCCCAAAAGTTGTAGGGTCACCTGATAAACATTTTATTAATTAGCCTCCCAAAATTAATCGGTAGCGTTTCTTACCCAACCACCGATGTTTGTGTTTCTGGTTTCATTATTATAATATCACGTTGTTGTTTAGCATAAGAAAAACGTAGTTATATATTTTTAAATATATTAACTAAAATCAAGAAATGTATTTTTACAATCCTGACAACCTTGATTTTTATATTCTTATAAAGCGACATTTGTATTTATGTTAAATCAAGGAGTATTTTTTTTGTGATGACTTGCATTGTATGTATTACACAATATTTTGTATGAAATATACATACGTTTTAATTTTTAAAAGTCTTTTTCGATGTAACAATATTTCGTTTATAAAACATAGGATTAATATACAGTTTCAGCTTTAAATATAGGTATGCTAATTAGTGTTGTGACCAACAATATCTTCAGAATAAAAATAGTTAATTAGTTTGTTTTTTTTAAACATTAGTAGTCAAATATTCAGAAGAAAACGCAAACATGGATAACTGATAAAAGTATTGTAAATAATATTCCTTTAATATGGTCGACTTTTTTAACACAAAAACAAAGAAAATTAAAGTACTTTTTCGCAAAATTTTATATTATAATTTATAATTAAATACAATAAAAATATTTCACATAAATTCATATTTATTTTAAAAAATTATAAGGAATAATAACCAGCTAAATTATTAAACCTTAAAATTATACAAGTAATGACATGAAATACAGTTTTTTGTTTATACAACGTATGAGTATTTAATCAGGTGAACTCACCAATGGATAGCGCTATGAATTCCTTTTCAGGATTCGGCTCAACTTGTAAATTTTCAACGATTTTCCGTATGGGATTTGTTGTTTTCAAAGCAAAAGTAGAAGCACGCACCTCCCACTCTTGGCAACTTCGGACCCGACGCGACATCAGCACAAAACTTATGGAATATTGAAGGCTTCGTCAACAATTCAATTAAGAATAGAGCTCACCATTAGATACAAGTCGGTTTTGTATGAATATTGGCATTTGACAAACACTAGCTTCCAAGTCGCAGAACTGGTTTGAAAATGTATATGAGATGACGACAGTGGAGCCTGTTATTTTAACATTCCACCCTTCAATACTACGACGTAATAATAAATATCAATACGATTTCGTAGAAGGCGAAACCTCAGAGTTCACTTTAGGCTGTTTTACCGAAAGTACCTACCCACATGGCTTATACTTGCATACAATAAAAGCTTAAAAGTCATAAATCAGACCATAACATGTGATACGGAAAATGTCTATTTATATAAATATATTTAATAATATGCATATCGTATTTAAATTAGAATACCACATAGCCGTATCATAATATAATAAGTAAGTACAATGGTGTTTTTGACGTTGTAGCTTACGCATGCTTTTTATTAAGTTATAACAATAAATAATACTATCTAACTTCTTAATAAATTCTTAATATTATATTAAAATAAATAAGATATCAAAATAATTTTAAAGGTGAAGATATTTTTAGAGAATATTCGTTTAAGAAAAATTTTTAAACATATATCGTAATATAGGTATGTATTATTAGTTGCTTCAAAACAATGATTACGTTTGTTGAGTACAAACAAACAAATTATTATTTTTGTTTTGTAAACAGCCTTTTCAGTGAGTCATAATCTAGTCACCTCTTGTTTGATGCCAAGCCTAAAAATGATAATTTTACGACTTTGATCCACGAGTTATAATTAACTTATCTAACTAAGTCAATACCGATTAACGGTGCGGTTCCCACAGGGTCTGTTATCTCCGCAACTCTCAATTTCTGCGCACTAACCTCCATTTTTCAGGTGTTGTAGGTTACGCGGATCACAGCATAGCTGTGCATTTTGTATGATCCAGCCCAGTAACAGTTTTAATTTCAGTAAGACAGTGAGGTTATAGTAGAGCGTGTTAATTTCACATTTCAGGCAGTTTTCCAATAGGACTATGTCAATCTTGTATATTTTAACGCCAATAAATGCAAGCTCGTGTTATCATCGTCAAGAAAAATCCGTTCAATCCAAATTTCGGAATGCTCTGACCGTCTTTAGTTATTATGTATTGGGTTATCCTCGAATCTTAACTTTAGGTTGTTTGTTGAGTCCAAAGCTAAGCTGCAATGAAATTTAGCGTCCTTGCAGACTTACAGATAAGCACAAGTCCGGTTGTGTTTTAAATACGGTTGTTACTTTAAAACAGTCACTATACTTAATTCACTAGCTCCTATAACGCCGAAAGGCATACAAAAAAGCTTATTGGTGACCACCACTTTGTTAAAAACAATCAAATCAGCCTTGAGCACAGGCGACGATTATTCAGCCCCCTGTATTCTTTGGGATACACCATGAACTGTCTTCTTCTTCGGCCTGGCAAATTTCCCGGCTTAAGCCACAGTCTGCCTTACATGTTGTGAATAGTTTTGGCTAATTGTTTTTACGACCGGCCGCCTGCCTGACATCAACCCTCTTTGGGAATGCATTAATCAGTGATGTCTAAATACTCTTAGAAAGTACATATATGACTCGGAAAAATCACATTGGTACTTGCCAGGATCGAACCCGTGCCCTCATACATGAGAGGCGGGCCTTTTAACTACTAGGCGACCACTGACTTACATCCTACATTCCCTTCCCTACATTCCCTTCTTATCATCTGACATTGTGTCGCAGAGTAGGCCTCCATTCTTTTGTAATATACCTTCCCCGCGTCTGGACGAAACGGGATGCTGTACCTTCCTTCGCATGGGCACAAAATTTTGAATAAGCTGTAACTGAGATAGTACATTCACCACCTACGACTTAATTTTAAACCACCAACTGGTGGAATGACAGTCAAGCCTTATCGAGTAGAAAATTAAAAACAAAATAAGTTACATTTTTTTCTTATCAAATTAGGATTTTTTAAAACTGGTATAAAATTAAATAAACTTAGCACGGTTTAGTTGTTCTATGACTTTTCTTAAACATAAACGAAAGAAAAGAGACGAGAATCAGAAAATATTACATTTGTAATCTTTTTTAACACAAAAAAGTTAAATATTATTTGTATGATAAAGTTTTCAAGGACTTAAATACAAATAATAATCACAGACCAGGAATTAACAAATCATTTTCAGGATCAGGGTCTGTTGTGTACAAAGCGGTGCATATTTTTTGAATGAAACGGAAAAGGTTTGACATAAAACCAACGGATTTTTAAATTAATAATTTAAATTACATTACATTTTAAATATATTACCCCATTTGCATAATTATTTAAGTTATCACACAAAGAATTGAAGAATTAAATACGTGAAATAATTTTTTGATATACATACATATTACATACTTATTATTATTTAATTTAAACAAACTTGGAAATTTCGAAAGAATACTTAGAGTTTTAGATTCCACATTTGTGCCGTGTCAAAATTATAGTATAAAAAAAACCTTTATGTGAAAGAAAAATTTGAAATTCTGAAACTATATTAAAACAGTATTATTACAAAACTTCTTTTTTTATTTATATTCACTATTTTAATAATGTACTTATATATTTTTAAGAATTTACTATTCTTAATTAGATTTTTAAAAAATATTTTGATATACAGGGTGACTGGTGAATTACTATCAATATTTAAGGAGAATACTCGGTACATGATTCTCATTCGAATTAGGTATGTAAAAAAAAATGGTACTTAATTTTTTACCAAATTTGCGTATAAATAAATAAAGTGTGGACACGTTCCAAGTGTTCCCAGTGTGGACGCGTGCGGCGGCGTGCTGATACAACAGCACGCCCCCGCACGTGTGTGTGTGTGTGTGTGTGTGTATACCTAATCTGTAGGGTGTTCACACGATGCGTAATTAATTACATAACTTTTGGTTAACTTTACTTAGAAGTTTATTAATATTTATGTTATATTAATTTTTATTTTGTCATATATGATCGTCAAATCTCACGTCCTCAAGTATCGATAGTAATTCACCAGTCACCCTGTAATATAGGCATTTTCCTATTTTACCTACTTAGTATAGCTTTTTTCATTTTATACGTATAAATCTATCTGTACTGATATTTTGCCTGCTTACTATTATATGTTTCTTTAATACTTCGAGTTTTCATTTAGAGAACTTATAGAGTTTTTTTTTTAGGGGAAAATCATCAAATGTTCTGCGGCCTGGCTCAGAGCAGAAGTAGGTACGGGGGTTTTTGGTCAGTAGGATTCCAGCACTCCCTCTTGGCCCACCCAGGACAAGAGGGGTCATTTGAGAGATAGGTATAGGGCTGTGGTAACCTTACAGCAAAAAACGCAAGGGTTTTATTGGATCCGGTAATTTTAGCATTCAATAGTTTCACCGTGCGGGTGTCTGGTCCATCGCGTTGCAGGTAGAAAAGCTTCATCAGTGCCTTGGACGTGATACCAAGGTGCAAGATTAAGGGGCCCCTATCTAGTGCGCGTTAAACGCTCATCTCCACTGTCCAAGCTCCTTTATCTACCTAACCAAATTTGAAAAAAAACCCTACAAGGGCTGCCATCGTTAAGTACCTTCCAAGAATGAATTGATGTGAGTTCTGGAAATGTCCAAGTCTCTTAGTAGGTTGTAGAGAGATTAGCCTTTAATTATACCTCTCGCTCCCACTTCTACCGCTTATAAATCCCCGACGAAGCTATTTCTAGCGAGTTCGTTGGTGGGCTCGTAATATTTATTGACTTTGATGAAATGGTCTTTGGGGATGTTGGTTTTTCAAGGAAATGTGAGCTACAACAACATCACAACGCACTATAAAATTCGCGAATACATAAATATGACTGGCCTGGAGGCCGACGCATTTCATATGTATCCATCATTATGGTGCAACCCGAAACCGAAGGATGGATTAGGGCTAGAAGTTAGATTTTATAGCCTTACTGTAATCTCTCATAAAACCTACTGATCACTGGATTATAGAAATATCGATTATATGTAAAAAGAATTATGAATATATTTATTGCTTGTTAAATAAAATTTTGTTTATATTTGTAATTTGCTTTATTCAGTTACATTGTCTCATCAGAAAAACATTTACTGAATGGTAATAAATTATTGAATTTGTTTTATTATAATTTCAAATTTTGTTTCTTATTTGAATAATGTTATTTTCCAACATTTGCATGAATATTATTTTTCAAAAAAGGGTTAGTGAAAAATAATTATGTAATTTGTTTTTAAATTGTTCAATGCACCCCATCTGACTAGCTGTCAAAAGATTTGTGACATTGTCATATTGCTTTCAATTTTCTTATGGTTGATACATAATCATATTAAATTTAAGATCTTAAGCTTTTATTTCAAGTTTGTGTCTGAAATAGTTTATGTTATTCCTTTTTTAAAATGCAATGAGATAAACGGTCTTGAATTGAAGCAATGAAAATACTTAATGGTTAAAGTAATTATTGAAAAACATTTAATGAAAAGCTGAGTGCTTATAATTTGTTTAAGTTAAATATCTAAGCCAAAATGTTGTGCCACTTAAAAAGATCCCGAGCAATCACCTCGTTAAAGAGGTTTGTGTCACAACAAACCTCAAACGACGGCTCTCTTCAGTATTGTGCTAACGTCGTGAGGTAATAAAAAAACGGTTTAATACTACATTTTGTTTTCTAATAATATAGAACGTTACTCGTACTTAATCCTCTTCTACAGATAGACAGCATGATTATGAAAATTATTTGGCAACTCTCCTTATGACGAAAGCTATTCGATCGCCCGCTTTTGTTATACGAGCTTTTAACGCTGAAGTGGCAAGAGTACAGGATCAAACAAAAGATCCTCAGACAGCAGCAATGAGGCTTCAGTTCTGGCAGGATTCACTGAACTCTCTATACAGTAATAATCCAAATCCTACCAACATAAATGCAAACCCAATAACTCAGGAACTTCATAAGGTATGTTGTGATAAAAGAAGCATTTAGTATTTTGTGCACACAAAATAAAAATTTTAAAATACCATTTGTTTTTTCAAGGTTTGCTTAAGTTATAAACTACCAAAACGATACTTAGAAAGATTAATTTCATCACGGAGTGGACTGTTGAAGATGAAATATTTTAGTACATTAGAGGATGTTGAGAAGTATTCTGAGAACACTGTTTCAACAATTTATTATTTACTTCTCTTTGTGGCCGGTGTAACCGATGTTCATGCTGATCATGCAGCTTCACACTTAGGAAAAGCTCAAGGAATAGCTAATATATTAAGGTATTCATTTACAATAGACTTGCTTATGAAGATACATCCCTACTAATATTATAAATGCGAAAGTAACTCTGTCTGTTACGCTTTCACACCTAAACCACGGAACTGATTTTAATGAAATTTGGTACAGAGATAGAGTTGACCTTGAGAAAGAACACAGGATAGTTTTTATCCCAGACTTGAAAGGTTCTCTTGGAAACGCGATATAAACGAACTCCATGCACCAAAGCTGCAAGTGGAAAGCTAGTAATCCATATTAGATGTAATATAATTTCTTCACTAAGTAATATGGCATGTATTTATAAATTATGTATATTTCAGATCTGTCCATGTGTTTAGTCATCACAAATCAGTGTCTCTGCCTATGGATGTACTAATGAAGTACCAAGTAAGCCAAGAATCTGTTTTAAGAGGAAAGGACAATGAGAATATAAGGAATGCTGTGTTTGAAATAGCATCACGAGCAAATAGTCATTTACAGAAAGTTGGTTATGCTCATATATAATTGTTTATAAAAAGAATTATTTGACTCCTTTCAAAACCATTTTTTTTTTCAGGGTCGGAGTATAAATGTACCAAAGATAACAAAACAAATGTTTCTGCCAGCAGTAGCCATCGAAAGATACCTGAACAAACTACAAAAAGTAAACTTTGATGTTTTCAACAAATCATTAATGCTAAGCAGTCCTATATTACCAATTAGCTTATACTGGAAAAGAATATTAAATAAATATTAGGAAATTTTATTTAATTCCAATTTGAATTTTTGTTGTATCTGTCACAGTTAAAAAATGGATTTTTTTTATTAGTCTAGCCAGTTAAATAAAAGACCTTGGTAGAAAATTGCACTTTTACTTATAAGCTTACTCATTCATGCAAATAAATAATCACATTCGAGATTCCAAGCGGTTTGGCAACATGAGTTTACAAGATCCATTATATTATTATGTTCTATATTATATATTTTAGATAACTTAGTAAAGAAATTCTTACTATGTAACACTATTGGATATGTGAATTATATCAAGATAAAGATTACCAGTCTCACAACTGGTTAGGCGACTTAAATTTTATTCAATCCCAACTATTCCATTACCTTTGGTTCGGAGTAAAATGGTCTTTGGCTTACTAATTTCTTGTAATACTTATATATCAGAAGATTGTTCATATAAAAATTAACCCTTCTAATAAAAAGTAGTAATATTAAGTTAAGAAATACATAACACAACAATCACACCATACATCATCAAACAACAAAGATTAATAGTAAAAATAATTTCATTCGGTTAATTAAAATCAATCAAAAAATATTTAAAAAATTATAGTTGTTCAACAGAAACATATTTGTGATGGGCTAAATGCTGGTAAATTGATTTTTTATTACTGGCTGGCGATGATGTTGTAATAATTCAATATTTTCATGAGTATATTGATGCAAACAATTTTAATAAATATCAGCTGCCATTAATATCGTTGGCCTAATAAATAACACAGCCAATTAATTTCACAAATTTGGAATGTAAAATAGTAAAAGTAAATAATAAATTAATATAAAATATATGGCTTACACCTAAGATAAAAAAGCTAAATTTAAGTACCACTATTCAATCACAATAAGCTTGCTGCGCAATAAAAAGCTAAGTGTCTTTACGTTATTGAGTATATGTAGAAAATGTTGTTATTCTGAGGGTGTCAAATCCTTTTCGGTTTCACCTTCTGATAAAATTTGTTGTAAGAGATCATAAACAGGTTCAAATGCCTTCCTGCAAGCTGCATTAGTCGGTATTAAGTAATCATGCATATCGTGATGGCTTATTGTTCCATCATTTTGGATAAACCCTTTATCTATTGACACCATTTCAACCTTATTCATATTAGCAACTTTTTCTTTCAAAAGCTGATTAATTTTTGAGTTCCTGTCTCTTAATACATTTGGATATTGTCCTCTAGGAAGTAGACTCTGTAAATTATTTATTTTTGGTTATAAAAACTGTGTATTGTTATATGTTATAACTGTTTAATTGTTTATACTTACAGGTAGTACAATATAAACACTTGGATGCTTTTCTCTTATTGTGTGAACTATTTCTAAGATTCCTTCACATACTTGCTCAGGTGTGTGCTCAACATTATTTGTTCCAACATGCAAAACTATAACCTGAAATAAGGAAAATTGATAACTTAACAAAATAATAGCCTAAGACACTTAAAAAATATCACATTCATACTTACTCTCGGGTCAACATGATCAAGCTCCCCATTTCTTATACGCCACAAAACATTTTGAGTTTGATCTTTGTATATACTAAAATTAAGGCAGTGAAGTGGTGCAAACCATTGGTTCCAAACTTCCGTATGTTCTAAAGCTTGTAGTATAGAATCGCCGATGAATATAACATCACCATCCTTTCCTTTTGCATCCGAAAGGAATCTATTGTGCTGCGAAAAGTCCAAATTTTGGAAGTGTTACAAATTTACAATAGACATGTGTTGCGATGTTATAAATATGTAAAAGAGAAAACCTGGGCTTAAATGTAAATATAATTACTAAATAATGAAACCACGTCGATGCCTTTTGAATATAAACAACAACTTACGATGCTATTCCAACGTCCATCACCATCAGTATCTTGTTGCGGAACTGCCACGGAACAGGGATTCATATTAAGGGTGTCTTAAAAATATTATAGTCTTTAAGTAAACCGTGTTCCTATAACTGCTTCACTTTAAAATATTTCTTTACTTTTCAACCATTAAATCCAACGAACCAACAGCTCTTCTTATTGACAGATAAAAATTGACATTGCAGAGTATTTTAATTTTTAGTCTAAATTAAAATAGATATTATTTATATATATTCATATATCATGCATTATAATAATTCAAAATCGATATGCTAATATTATTTACAATAAAATTTTATATTTCAAAAATAGTTTTCTGGCAATATTAAGAAAATATATATATAAATTCTAATAATTTTCACTCATGTCATTAAATACGAATTTATATTTATATAAACTTATTAAATATTCAATTATAATTTAAGTTTTGTCCACTTGGCCAGTATGTAACAATCATTATTGATAATGACAATTTGAAACATAACCTAAAATTACAAATTTCAATAAGTATTAATGGTTCAGGCGTCTTAATTCTTTCATAATATACTGGCAGTAATTTAGTTGAGCTATCCACGGCTTGAAGTTATATTAACCTGTAAACTCAGAGAAATTATGCAATTATTTTTCTTTTAATTAATATCAATATAAAATCAACTCATTTCATTACAACTAATAAGTTCAATGATTTTTTAAGTAATGGAAAATACAGTTGAGAATGAGGTGTTTATTATTGAACAACGTCATAAAAAGGAGAAAAAAGAGCTTCAAGCCCAAATCCAAGGTCTAAAGAAAACTGCAAAAAATGATAAAACGAAAAAGAAAGAACTTACTGCTGAGATTGCAAGATTGGAATCAGAATTAGAAAAGCGACATAAAGAGGAATTGGAAATTATACAAAACGTAAAAAACACTCCATTGGATACGGAAGTAAATGGGTTTGTTGAAGAAAATGACAATATAAATGGTGAAGTACGAACAAAAATTTCGAAAGCCCAAAAACGCAGAGATAAAAAGCAACAACAGGAAAGAGAACGAGAGGAACTAATTAAACAACAAGAAAAAGAAAATATCAATGGGCCCAGAAATTTAGAAAACCAGGCATTATGTTCAAAATTAAAAGAAAGAAAACTTAAGATTTTCTCAATACCATCAGATGGTGATTGTCTATATAAAGCAATTTCCCATCAACTAGAAACGAAATTTAAAAAATCAATTACCGTTGATGAGTTAAGAAGTAAAGTATCCGAATATATATTACAAAATAAAGATGAATTCATGCCATTTCTTAGTAACCCTGATACATATGAAATGCTAACGGAGACAGAATTTGAAGAATACTGTGATAAAATAAAGAATACTAAAGTATGGGGAGGACAATTGGAGATACGAGCTCTGGCTAATTGTTTAGAGCGCCCAATAACTGTGATCCAGGCAACAGGTCCCGAGGCAATAGAGCAAGGCTCAGAATATACTGGTCCTCCATTAATAATTTCTTATCATAGACATATGTACAGCCTAGGTGAGCATTATAATTCCACTGAAGAACTGGAGGAGGCTGCCTAATAATACTTTAATATAAGTAACAAATATAATATGTTAAATTATGCATTATTTTTTATACCTTAAAAGCTTTTAACGATTAAAACATAGTAGGTAATTAAATAAATGCAGTAAACAACTCAGTAACCAATATTTAATATATAACAATTTATCTTTTTTAATAAATATATTAAAACCTTTTTACTTTTCATTAAAATTGTAGAAAATGTTACCGCTTTAAAAAATTATGTGAAATAAAAACTTTTTTGTTTAATGTATATCAAAATCTTTTGGCAGATATAAAATACTTATAGAATAATAAAAAAAAATTAATACAAAATTATTTTTATTGATCAGTTTATTTGTGAACAAAACACTGATAGTTACAGAAAACATTTAAAAAACTTATTGAGGGTTGTTAAGCACCATTTTGATTTGCAGGTGCATTTGATGCACCTTCTTCCTCATTGTGATGTTTATTTGGATCATCTGGTTTCATGGCAGGGAATAGCAGCACTTCCTGCAAGTTAATAATTATTGTAATTTATATACACTCTAAATAATTATATTTAAAGCATTACTACATATGATGAAAAAGGCTATCAGTTTAGAAACATCTTGGTAAGATCCTGACATAAATTGAATATTAACAATGTCGCCAGTTTTTAAAATATATATTAAATGCTGAACCTTACGTTAAATGTTGCATTATACAAAATATACATTAAGATTAAAGACAACTGAAATTTATGTTATTTAATTCTGATTCATGTATATTTACATGTCTATAAGGTTGTTTATGTATGCATACCTTAATATTATTGGAATCCGTCAAGAACATGGTAAACCGATCGACTCCGAGACCCCAACCGGCTGTTGGTGGTAATCCATATTCAAGTGCAGTACAGAATGCTTCATCGGTGGGTGGAGATTCATCATCTCCCGCTGCACGATCTTTAGCCTGTTGTTCAAATCTCTCCCTCTGAGTAGCCGGATCATTTAACTCGGTGTAGGCATTGCAAACTTCTTTCTTCATTACAAATAGTTCAAAACTGTAAATAAATGACTTTGTATTTTATTTATTTCAATAGATAATTAATATAATGGAATAAATGTATATTTTTTTATTTTATTACAAGAAACCCATGTAAGGGATGTATCCAATAGACTACATATTAGTTTAAGTTATTGATTATTAAACCAAGTCTTTAGATGAAATAATTATTTTATGAAAGAATTAAGGAAATTTATTAGTTTGTTGGTGAATAAGACAAATTTACCGTTCTGTAAGTCCAGGTAACTCACGATGATATTTGGACAGGGGGCTCATTATTTGTGGATGGTCTAAGATGAATGTTGGGTTAATACATTTCTCTTCAAGAAATTCTCCGACGAGTTTATCCAGCAGTCTTGCTGTTGTTCTAGGTGGTGGGCATTCAACCTGGAACATTTATAAAAATAAATAAAAGCTATTCTTACAAAAGGCTGTAAATAAGGTTTAAGTAGATAAATAAATGTTACTTCATGTTTTTCACACAGTTTGCTAAGTAGCTCATTAGCTTCTGGGGTGTTGAGTTGATCGGCTGGTGGAAGTTTGACATTCAAAACTTTCTCCAAAGTAGCAATCATCGGCACTCGGGCAAATGGTGGTGTAAAATCAATTTCCACTTCTTCGCCATCCGGACCATCAGGGTGATATTTAACCTGTTAAATATATAAATAAGTTAGTAGTTCTTAATTATTATTAATTGGATATAACAGACTCTTTGAAGAATATATTATAAGTATATAAATAGAAATTAATAAAGTTTTATACTAACTTTGTAAGTGCCATGAATACTTTTCACCATGCCCGACAACATAGTTTCTGTTATAGTGATCAGATCATTATAATCGGCATAGGCCATATAAAATTCACAAGTCGTAAATTCAGGGTTGTGTGTCATATCAATTCCTTCATTCCTGAATTGTCTGCCGATTTCATACACACGATCTAAGCCTCCGACGACTAACATTTTGTGGTATAACTCTGGCGCTATCCTCATATATAAGTCCATGTCGAGTTCATTGTGATGTGTTATGAAAGGTTTGGCCACAGCACCCCCGGGTATCATATTCATCATTGGAGTCTCAATTTCCAGGAATCCCATATTATCTAAAAATCTTCTAATGTATGAAATTATCTTAGCTCTTGTATAAAATGTTTGTCGAACCTGAAATAATATTGAATTTAAAATTCATATACAGCCAGCTAAATAAACATAGCTCATATAATATATTGCACCAGAAAATTGTATAACAAAGCAGACATTGACAATTAATTATCCAATAAAGAGATTATTTAATCTGTTGTGTCATCAAATTTACAGAAATAAATCTTGATAATAGAGAAATGGGATATTTGATAGAATTTAGCAACATATACCTTGTCGTTGAGAATAAGGTCTAAGTATCGTTTCCTGAACCTGGTCTCTTTATCTTTAAGACCGAAATGTAAGTGAGGTAACATATGCAAGCAAGGGGAAAGCAGTTTGATAGTCTTGGGAATAACTGATAATTCCCCTTTCTTTGTTTTGCCTGGATGTCCAACAATACCAATTATATCACCTCTCCTTAGTTTATCTGTATCTGTGACAAACTTCTCTTCTGATTCATACATTTTTGCATTCGCCATGACCTAAGACATGAAATTGTCTTAATTTTAGTCATAAATAACATTAATAATTTAATAAATTATTAATTTATTAAAAAATTGTGATGGAAATACCTGAATCTTGACTCCTTCGCCTCTAACATCATAAAATATTAGCTTAGCTCCAGATTCTCGTATAGAGTGAATTCTACCGGCCACTGACAAATTAACATTTTCAAGTACTTCTCCACTGCTTAGGTCATTATATTTATTAATAAAATCTTCTAAGGAAGACGTGACATTGAATTTATGCGGGTATGGATGATCTGATTTGGATCCATTTTTCAAAGCGGCGATCGCACCAGAACGCAATTTGTAATATTCATTGGGACTGATTTCTTCCTCAGCTTTTGAGGATTTTTTTTCCGCAGCAGCTACTGGTTGTTGAGCTACTTTTTCCGCTTTTTCTTTTAATTTTTGTTCGGCTTTGAGCCGACGTTTCAGTTCACTGTAAATCATAAAAGATGTTGCAACTAGATTTACTGCATAAACATACGTACGAAAATAAAACCAACCGTTCCTTTATCACCGATGAATATTTTACCAATTGGTTAAAATGATTAAAATTCTTCTTTAGAAAAGTGGAATGTAATACTGAAAAACTTCTGGTTATAAACATGACTGTCTCTATTTTTAACACACTATACTCACTTTTTAGATATTTTTTCACTCGGGGCTTCTGCCATTTCTTATCTAAACGTTTATTTTAATTCAAATAATAAATATTTAATATTATAACCTAACACGCTAAGCAGTAAGAACTAGACACGTTCATAAATAAAATAAGTTATGGTAAAATCCGGACTTAGGGACATATGGTCAAAGGTGAACGTAGACAAGAAATGTCAGTCAAATTATTTCAATTATTATTATAACGATATAATATATTTTACACCCTATAAATATGTGACAAAAGATTTTTAAAAGAAAATTAATAAATATTAAAACTTTTACTATTAATAAGTTTTTGGAGAAGGTGATTCTGAAAAGAATACTTTGCATTTATTACAACCACAATTTAATAACTCAGAATCGCAAAGTATTCTCATTTTTTCGTTAAATAGATTTTAACAGGTTTATTCCACATTAAGTGCATTTTTTAATGTTATTAAGGTTATCGTTTGAAACACCTTTATTTATTAAATTATATACTTTTAAATTGATTTATATTTTATATAAAATATCATTTGATATAAAGACTGGCAACATTTCTATTGACATCACAGCTGTTCGTTTCATCTGCTTGTGATCTGTGTCGCTACTGCTAGATAGAATTTTATTAAATATTCAGACAGTGAGTGAAATTCCGTTTTATTGATATATAACTAGAAAATAAAATCACACATATGTTATTTCCATTCGCAGTAAATTCTTTCTGAGGTTGGCAAACCTTGTTAAAATTAGTCGAATCTTGTTTTATATCTCTTGCGTTCTTGTGAACATCAAGTGCATGTACTTGGTACTGTGATCCAGTGATTGTCAGTTTTTGTTTTTATGTCTTATCCTCTATTGCAGGCAATCTTATGTAGACGGTTGTTACAAAGATTATTTGTGAAATCTATCAAAATACTATGCCTCTTTTTGGTAAATCTCAGAAGAGCCCAGCGGAGTTAGTGCGATCATTAAAAGATGCGGTTACAGCTTTAGAAAGAGGCGATAAGAAAGCTGAAAAAGCGCAAGAAGATGTGAGCAAAAATTTGGTGAGTCATTTTTAAAAAAAAATATCAAACACCACAAAATTGTTCAATTTTGATTTGGAAACCTTCAGAAATTAGATTGTAATGATTTGTATTTGTCCAGGTGTTAATCAAAAATATGCTCTATGGGACATCTGATGCCGAGCCGCAAACTGACATCATTGTAGCTCAACTCGCCCAGGAGTTATACAACACTAACTTGCTCCTTCTTCTGATTCAAGTAAAGTATATGTCTTGTTGTTCTTCTTAACTACTACAATATATGGTGATTAACCAATAAAAATGTTCATAGAATTTAAACCGCATCGACTTTGAAGGAAAAAAAGATGTTGCCCAAGTGTTCAATAATGTTTTGAGGCGTCAAATCGGAACTCGTTCCCCCACGGTCGAGTACATATGTACAAAGCCTGAGATTTTGTTCACTTTAATGTCCGGGTAAGTGCTTTACATTGTTTTTAAAGGTTAAAAGATTATTTATTATACATGCTATTTACAATTTAGCTTTGTATGAAGTAATGTTCCTATTTGTGAATTTTTTTAATACATTTTTGTTTCTTATAGCTATGAACATCAAGAGATAGCTTCCAACTGTGGTACAATGCTGAGGGAGTGCGCGAGATACGAAGCACTGGCTAAGATAATGTTATATTCAGATGATTTTTACAATTTCTTCCGTTACGTAGAGGTTTCCACTTTTGATATCGCCTCCGATGCCTTTTCTACATTTAAGGTTGGTGTTATAAAAATATTGTTGATTTTTCATTTAACATTAATATTAAAGTCAATAAAGATTATTTTGTTCTTAGTTTTCCAAAAATAGTAAATAAATTTTGTTATACTTAAATATATCAACCCAACTGAAATGTTTCTTTTTCCAAATTGTATGTCATCATTATTTTTTTAGGAATTATTAACTCGGCATAAAATATTGTGTGCCGAGTTTTTAGAAGCAAATTATGACAAGGTGTTCAGTCACTACCAAAGGCTTTTGAATTCTGAAAACTATGTAACCCGACGGCAGAGTCTTAAGCTGCTCGGGGAATTGTTATTAGATCGGCATAACTTTTCTATAATGACACGCTACATCACCAACCCCGATAACCTCAAGTTAATGATGAACATGCTTAAAGAGAAATCACGTAATATACAATTTGAAGCTTTCCATGTATTTAAGGTAATTAGGATTTTTATTTTCCTTCAACAATGTTTGTGATAAGTTTCTTTTTACAGTTTTTATTATAATCCATATATATTATTAGATATCCATAATCCATTTGATGGTTGAATCTTATTATTTTAACTTTTTGTCTATTTAGTAGAATGATTTGAGTATATAAAGCAAGATTAGTTTCTAATTTTTAAAACATTTTATATTATGTTTTATTCTTGTTTTTGCTCATTTCTATCCTAGGTATATATTTTATTTTTATGATTTTACTCAACATTTTGTATGAAATAAAGATACATATTTTTAACTTTTATGAATTTTGAATCTTATATAACAACGTAGGTTTTTGGTTTGCGTCATGGAAATACTAGGGACGCAATATCAACGAGATATACATTTTCCTACAAATGCTTTTATTACAAAGTGTGATCCCAACTAACAGAACGTCAAACAAATATACATGAAATATTTGTAAATTACGTCTAATTATCAAGTAAATAATAATGAGCACGTCAAAAAAAATATTTTCGCATACAAACGTTAGAATTCGATTATAATTGATTTCTGTTCTCATATGTCTTACAGGTGTTTGTTGCTAATCCTAATAAACCGAAGCCAATATTGGATATACTTCTAAGAAACCAGGACAAGTTGGTCGACTTCCTCACCAAGTTCCACACGGATCGTTCGGAGGACGAACAGTTCAACGACGAAAAGGCTTATTTAATAAAGCAAATCAAAGAGCTTAAGCCATTAGAACACTAACATTTATTTAATTGCATTTTATTAAATCGCCACTTCCTCCTCAAAAGAAGTTAGTTATATATTTAAACGCTATTATATTTAAATGCTTCTAAGTCACCAGAAGGTTTGAGATGGGAAAGATAAAACCAATTGTCGGAATTCAAAAGGAGTTTAACATTCGGTCTGTGATGTGTTAGGGTTGAACATTGGTATTTGTGCTACGAGCAAATTAACATTTTTAATAAACAATTGTAGGAATTAGTGTTATTTTAATGGTTCACTTATATCTTTTGTAAGTTGTTTAAACCATTTGTTTTAGTTTTTATGACCTGTTTAGTGGCAGTTCCTACGTCACAATGAAAATACATAGTATATACATACATAGTATTTTATCACATTAGTCTATGACCTTAATGGACGTATCGAATTTGAAAATACGGAAAGTCAAGATCTAAAGACATGTACATAATATTATGACATCTAATTTTTGTTTTTATACGTCATTGTCAAAAATATAGATTGTTAAATATGAAGGAAATATATTTTATATATTGTCAGTATTGGTTATTTATTACGCCATTTTAATATTGTTCTATATTATCCGTTCTGTAATGATTCAATAAATTTCTGATTGCTTGTATTGTAACAGACTGCATGCATAGAAAAAGTCACTTGAAAGTTTTTGCGTGTCAAAGTAATTTTTTATTTATGATTTTGTTTTTTATAGAGTAGTTCAAATATAAAAACTAAATTAGTTTACCATTTTATTGTATTGAATGTTTATTGTCATTTCAATGTATTCATAGTTTTTTCTACGCATTCCGCCCGACGACCGCGAGGGGCGCAAAAGTATAGCTGCATGTCGTTTATTATTAACATGTTATAATTATTGATATCCAAACAATTATTTCATCTTTCTGGTATGTTTTTTAGTAAAATTTTTGAGATGGTTTGTTTTGCATTGTAGTTACTAGTTAGCAGCTAATTCCATCAATAATTTTGCTGTTTTTTAATTTGATCAAATCTGTATGAATGTTCGATACTTTACCTTATATGTTAAAGTTTATTTTATTTCGTCAATATCATTAATGCAACATTATTGAAACTGAATAAAATATTTGTATCATTACCATTATTGTTATGTTTGATTTTCCTTTTATCCTCTGTATGTTATATGTAAAGGTATGATTGAAATAACAAACTTCTATATCTACTATATTAATATTTTTATTAGACAACAATCCACTGTACAGCTTGACATTAAGTATACATACATACATTTTGCAAAATAAAATTTCATGTTTATCACATAAAACCAAATAATATTATTACACTTGTACATGATATGAAAAAGAACACAATGGATACACAAATAAAATGTATTGCACGATTTTTATGTTTTGACATAGTAAGAAAGAAAGGTGAGAACAAAATAAGTCAGTAAATTAATCCTGATATTGTGACAAATTTATTATGATTCGTCTTGGTTATATGTAGAATGCATAAGTTATGTTTTTAGATTTATCTAAATCCATAGTTTTTTTTATCATTTTTAAGAAAAGGAACATCTCGTTTTCAAAGTTTGAAAATTAAATAAGAATTATTATACAAATGTTTTAGCAATATTATTTAAATAATCAAAACCTCCTAACTAGTTTTATAGGTATTTAAAGAATATGGTGAAGTAGAAAAGATTTTTAAAACTATTTACAATTATATTATTTATTGCAGTGAATGAATCTACAATTATTATATATGGGCAGTAAAATTTGTTGAGATTGTCAGACAACAATATTCAAGTTTTTGTATCGACAAACATACAACAAAGCTTTATATTAGAGTACTTATTCTTCACAGTTGTATAAGTTTCATGATAATTCATAGAGAGAGAGAAAGACTTTACATTAAATATATTTTTTTAATAGTAATTTTAGGATATTTAATACTATAATATGGCTTTTATGACCTTGTATCATCTGGTCAGATATAGGGTGCATAAATAATGCAAATAATCTTTTTAAATAAAAATAAATAAAACACAGGATTTTTGCAAGCCAATTAACTGAAAAAAAGTTATCACTAAAAATTTATATTAATTTAAAATAAATATTAGAAAATTATACAACTTTACAAAACAGTTTTTATAAATTTTAGGCACAATTATTTCTGTGATGATCATGGTTTGAGTTTAAAACATACATAAGTATATCTAGTCACAGTGAAGCAAAACAACACTATTATACTTTTATCTATATTACAATAAAATCTAATAATTTCATATAAGTTTTCTGTATATTTTGTTATTGTAAAGCAAGATTTTGGGTGCATCTACATAAACACTTATGATTTTTAATATGGTTACTACTTATTGAAATTTTAGTTTACATATAATGCATAATAAGAGATCAATTATACTAACATAAATTCATATTCTGTACATGTTTTACACGTGTACACATGTTAAGTTTGTGCAGCCTGTGCTTGTGTCAGTCACAAGTCAGTCTGTAGTGAAAACATTACACACACACACACATTTGTGTATTCTTACACTCACCCACACTCATTCATGACTAAAAAAACTATAAGACAAACAATTTGTAAAGCGTGATTCACACTTCGTCAATTATAAGCTGTTACTTTTCGAATTCACCTAAAACAATTTTATTTACATATGTTGTATAAATTGTTGTGTAATATATCAAATGCTTGAAAAATAAACAAATTTCAGTCAAATAAGTTTTGGTCTATGGGGTGTTTTATTTGGGTCCTTTGGCATGTTAATTGTAGGCCATAAAATTAGCTCATAATTATCAATTGTCCTGTATTATTGGCGTATACCAGTCCTTGGCCAGGTTGTGGGGCCCAGCGGAGACAATTTAGGCTCGTGAAGCCATGCTCCCAAGTCTGTTCCAATTCTTTGATAGGTGATAAACCGGTGCGGCTTGAATTCTCTGAAACATTATCCATTATTAAACCGTCTTCCTGTTACAAGAAAATTTTCTTTAACAATAAAAGTGTACATGAAAAATTAAAGACAGCATTATGCTTAGTGAGGTTTTGTGGAACTTTATGAAAACCCTCAAATTAAGATTACTTACCACCTTAAAAGACAGTATTTTTTTAACAAATCCTCAAAAAAGTCTACCAAAATTTGATATGATTATTCCTTAATATCAACTTACCAAGTGGGTCCAATCTGTAAAGCAGTGCGAACACATTGTTCCTACTGTGTGCAGCCGATGTGAATCTTCTGGAACCAAGACCTACGGCCAAATGTCTTGCTGTTGGTGATAGTGCCACTGAAACAGCGTTCTGTTCCAACACCGCTGTATGCAGGCACTGACCCAGACGGGACCACTCCAAGGAATATACACCTGGTTGAATAAGGAAAAGTCGTTTTTTTTGAGACTGATACATGCAATATATGTAGTATAGCTGAAAATCATATATTTAGGAATAAAAAATGTAACTTATATGTAGGTTTTTTGTATGTTTTGTGTCGTTTTTTTTGAGACTGATTAATTTTTAATCTTATGCTCTGATAACATTAACGGAGTATTATAGGGGTAAATTACACAATAAGATAAAAAGAGGTAAAACGAATTATAAAGTCACTGAAATTCAACCATAAATATCAATAATTTAGGACCTCTTTATAGAATTTCAAAGAAAGTTCTAGTTGCATACAATTTAAAAATTTTATGTGGAGCCAATTATAACTTGTTTCAGTCTATGTCCAAACTAAAATAATTATGTACACTAAAAAAACACTTAAAATCTTAGTATAGCTATTAATTATTAGATAATACTATGAGATACTTAAGATAAAGATGTAATCAAATCTACTTTACTACATTTTTATATGTGGGTATGTATGTATGTTCTGCTATAAAATGTTTTTTTTTTTTTACACAAAAGAGTGTTATTAATTTGGTATCATGTAAAGTTAACAATAATTGGATGAATCTTTTTGGGCTAAGAGCATTTTTTTCCATCTACATGGACAGAGTCATATTTAATGCGAATTACTAAGTAAAACTTGTTACAAATCTCAAAAGATTATAACATATCTAGGTTTAACATTCATTAAAATTGTCATAGTGGATGTAAAATATTGCCATTTTATTAAAAATAGTTAGTTTAGAAATTATTTAATTAATTACAACGTACCAAGCCAATGGTTAGCGTTCCTGAGCCGCGGTACTGGTAGGAGAGCGACCAAAAGCCTGCCGTCTTTGGATATATCGATGCTCGCGTCATTGTGAATACGGCAGCGTTGAACCACCACGTTTTTCGTAGCTTTCATATGAATAAAAATAGGTTGCTATATTAATTATACTATAAACCGTGAAAATTATTTGGGGACGGTTTTTTTTTATTACTTTTTAAGTATAACAAGTGTAAGTATCTAAAATAAACAAACCTCAAACATTTTTTCTAATGAATCAAGAATTAATGAATCTTATTACGTTTTATAATTAAAATGTGGAAAAATTTATCAATTACCAGAGCTTTAGGGTAGGTAATTAAATTAAGTTGTATCAAAATCAAACAAAAATGTGACAAGTCCTTACAGGCAGAGTATGCAGATTAATATACTTTTCACACACAAAATGTTATATTAGTATTGTATCAAATTGTCACTTTACTATGACACTAAGAAAACACCCACTATTGGAGATATCTGGTGTATCGCCGGTCGTGAAGTCCCACGCTTGTACGCGATGTGAGGACGCGGGTAATGCTTCCGATATGATCCCCGCGTCCAGTAAACCCGCCATTCCCCCCATTCGCCTGGCGGCTCCCAGACCTCCTCCTCCCCCGTTTCCTCCCCCTCCTCCCCCTCCCGGACCTCCGGGCCCATCCTCACCCCTCTCCTCATCAACCACCATAGCATTCTACAAATTAAAAACTCAATTACATCTAAAAGAAGGGTGGACTTGTTTATTCTGCTTATACTCTATGACTTTTTGGGTTAATTGGAGTTTAAATCTATTTGATAATTCAGGTAGCGAAACTTAATTAAGAATACCAAAAAGTTGTATTAAAAAGAAATTGCTCTACATATATACATACAAAATAAAAAATTTGCTTACTCACTTGGGCCAAAATAATCGGTTGCAAGTATTCATGGATTCTCGGCAGCCGTTGGTTCTGGTTGCCCTGACCGTCTTGGTTGCTGATGCTGAGGTCGCTGACCTGCATCAGCGGTACACCCGTGTTGCTGATGACCGCGTGAAATTGTCCCGAATCCTCTGAAGGTCTGTTCGCAGCTCCTCTAGAGAAGATTCTCTCCCGGGTCAGTATATGGGGCCTGTAGTCATATGACGTGAACGACCGCCGGTTGGAGGGTTCAGAATTATTCTGCAAGGGTCGGCTTTCGTGGGAATTGTCACCCTCAGGCTGCAGCGTGAACATCTCTCGTACCGAAGACGGGGTATACAGACGAATGGTTTGCAAACGTCGAAATCTACTTCTAGCAGCATTACGTAGTCTAACAGCTTGCATGTGGGCCATTCTTATCAAATTGATTCTGTGTTCAAACTCATTACTCATTTCCGGAGGCAGCCTTGACGGTCCGCCGCGAACGGTTCCAGTACCGGAAAGAATTCCAGACGGCCCAGCTATTGGTTCTCCATTTGATGGATTAGCTCTTGACGCGTTATTCCTGACACTTAACCTTCGAGGTGTCAAACGCAATGAAGGAATTCTATATGTGGATACTGGTGGTAGAACCTTCTTCTTAATTAGCGGATGGGCTAACGGATTTGTTCTATGTAATGCTTTTTGTCTCTTGCTTTCTACGTACAAGTCTCGTCTCGTTCTAGCGGTCATTGAAGTATTTCGATTAGCAGCAGCAATCTGTACCGCTAACCGATTACTCCATCTTTGTGTTGGTTCTTGGTTAGCGGGTGCGGGCGGTGGTGTTGCGTCATCTGTTGCAGGATTTTCTGTAGCTACAGATTGCGTAGTCGAAGACGATCTATCACGTTTTAAACGTTTGGTTGGATTATTTTGACGATCCTCTTCCGTTTCGCTGGATATTGAATGATGCGGGGATTCATCTGGTCCGTCTACATTAACAGGACCGGTATGATCAACGTTTTGCAAACGTATAACATTCATTGAATCAACTCTCTGTGGAGAATCGTTATTATTGGAGCGTGGGTTGTACCTATTTGTCATAAGCATCAAACATGTCAATGCTAGTGCCTTTTTTAGAGTACGTAACATATTTATGATCAGCGAACTCAGTCCTCGCTCCTCTAAACACAACATCATCATATTGAACATAACGGACAACACTTGCATAGCTCGCATGCGAATTTCATGCCTTGTCGCACTTATTTCTATTAACCTTGTATATTCCCTACGTGGTCTGTGTAGATATCTTTGAGACATACGACTCGAGATCGGGTTGCGTCTTCGGTCTTCTGGCCGCCATCTACAATAGGCAGCTTGAAGTCTTTTCGATAGTAATGAAGATAAGGATCGTTGGGGTGTTTTCTTTGATGGAGATCTTCCTGATAGTGAAGGTCTATTGTCATCCGGAACAGCTCTGGACGTACTCGGCCTAGGCTCATAAGGCATATTAGATTGTGATCTATAATTTCTTGTGGCATTACGATTCGCTTCTCCTGTCATTTCAGTCAACATCATACATCTTTCTAAAAGAGATCTCGTGTAATAGTTAGGTAAGTCTTGTCGACCGGTTTCCCTATGTAACATTATGATTCGTCTCCGCAAATTCTCCCACATGGTACGTAATTCACGCATAGTCGTGCGGTTCCCACGTACCCACATATTAGTGAGTTGCGTAGTGTGTTTCTGTAACGCGTTCACACCGCCCCGAACTTTTCTGAATGCCTCTTCCGGTGGCACTGTGGCCCCATTCGTCCATATATTATTTCCACTTGTGGAAGGTCTATTAGGATCGAAATAGTTTGAATTGTTCTGAGCTAAGTTCTCTGGTTCATCAGACCCGTGTCTTGATGTGCTGGGACCTTCGCCTGCATCATTATTTTGAGTCCTCGGTCGATTTCGACTACTATTTCCACTTGCTGCTACACTAACACCTTCAGTATCACGGCCGGTGTTGGGTGTATTGTCATCGTTTTCCGAGTCTGCTCTATCAGAGGGAGGCGCTGATCTGTTAGACGGTCCTGGCATTTCGGTAGTTCGAGACGATTCTTCTCTCGAATCTTCTTCTCTGAACGTCGTGTTAGGAGTCCTAAGAATGTTTACTTCTGAAGACTGGTCACTATCGGATTCTGAACTGGACGATAATATTTCTGGCTGCAAGTTGGAGCTGAATAACCGAACTCGTGGTCGTGCTCCCCTCGGTCTTTCATTTTCACCGCTATCGTCTGAATGGGCTCTTATATTGATTCGTCTATTCGGAACTTCCGGACCTACGTGAGGTAGACTTGACGCAGACATGTTTGTGATAAGGTTTAACAATCTCGTTCCGGAATCTCTGAGAATGTCTCGTATTAAATCTAGACTTTCGTTAATGGTCTGCGCGTCAACTGGCGAGCCTTGAGGTGGTGATGACGTTCTTCTCGTTGCATTATTTGAAGGAGGGGTTGTATTTGTAGGCGTATTGCCATTGGATGATGAATTATTATCTAAAGATGTATTTGGAATAGAATTTGAATGTGAAGATGCATTAGTATTCGTTGCTGTGTTTCTATTTGTGGTATTTGAAGTAGCATCTTCCTGACGCGATCTTGTAGAGGAATTGCTATTCGACGCTTGTGAGTCATTGGGCCTTGGGATAAATACTCTACGATTACCACTCCACCTGCGCGACGATAAATCCAACACAGATGGAGAATTTGGTCTGTAAGACGTAAAAATACTAGTACGGGAAGCATTTGGTGCGTTGTCGTTATTTGATTGTTGGGTCAATGGACTGCTGGCGAAAGAAACCCGGCTGGGCCGCGGTGTACCGTTTGTGTTTGAAAAAGGATTTGGCAAAAGTCTAGAGGCTCTTTCATTTTGATCAACCGTTCTGAAAGATCTTCCGGGATTTTCGTTGGTGAGAGGATGAAAAGCTGACGGCCGTGCACCGAATATTGCAAGTTCCAGTCTTGACATGTTTCTCTCCCTGGAAGAAATTTATATGTATTAAATACTTTCTTTACACTAATATTTTGCTACTAACTAATTTGTACCCAGGAGGTGCCCTATCAAAGGAAAGTGCGTCTAGATTCAGAAGAGCACTACTCCCTTCTTCAGCAGTGTCAGCGTTGTCTTCTGCGGTATTACTATTACTTGTACTCGAGTTTTGGTTTTCTGTAAAAAAAAAATACAATAATTATGTATAGTCTCCTGAGGTGTGTAAAGGGTAGGAAGTGGGAGGTAAACATATGTATGTCAAATTAAAACAGTCTAGCGCAGACAACAGATAATTGTTCGGACCAGCTAGTTCCTAATGCTCTAGATATAAATATTCTTAAATGGATCTTAAAATCACGATAATTAAAAAAATATTAACAATGTTTTCTTTTTTTTTTATATTTCAAAGAGCTACAACAGAGTGTTTACCGGAGATATGCTATCTAAAGTAACGATTACACTAAAATCGGCTAAATTTCTCCGACCCAAAAACTACTGCACCGATTTTAATGAAACTTTTAGTATTCTCTAAGTTGAACAACACCTAGTATTACATAAAAATAATAATTATTTAAATCGGACTCGATGGTTCCGGAGATATGCGGACCGAAACATAAAAACATACATACACTTTTGAAATTTGGCATATTTGTTTTAGACACTGATATATACTAACATAAACGAAAACTGCCCAGTTCTGGAAATATTACATACCTATGGGTAGAATTGATCACTACTTTTATTTGAACTCGGTTAAAAATTCATCCTCAACTCGTGTGGGTATTGTCAATTTCATCGACATCATCATCACCAGTTTTAGGTGAAGTAAACTTGAAATATTTGATAGCATTTCATATTATTTTATTTAAACATACCGTCATCTATCTGTGTTGTGGCTGTATAGGAGCGAGCCACGCGTGTATAACTGTTTGCTTCCGGAGCCGGGTCTGTTTCCATTGGATCAGTTCCTCTATCAGTCTGGAAATAGATATATACACATATTATAAAATAATTTCCTCAAATATGACGTCATACGACAAATATTACTAACGTTACAGGTATAAGCAATTCCATTTAATTTTCTAATACAACAATCCTACATAAATTATTATCTAAATTTTAATTGATTAAGACCTTCCAAGAGCTTAAAATCTAGAATATTCGCTACAGCCGCGCATATTTCTTATACAAACGCTCTTTGAAAACCTAACAAGATTATTACCTGATTTTTTTTGGACGATATAATTACGCAATATATTGAAACTGCTCACCGTATTAGGCGGAGGTGTGACGGCCAGACGATTTCTAACCATGAACAGCCTCTGATAATTCCTTACAAGGCTGTCGTATCTCTGTACCAGGTACTGATATGAGTTCACTATAACGTCCTGGGTCGCTCCCGCTGTATCTGGTCTATTACTACCGTCGTTGTCATCTGGATGAAGACTCCGGTTGCTGTTATTTTGGGGATTTGAAGGAGCGTGCTGAAGGACAGTCGCGTCTATACCACCCCTTATAGCACTCAACGATATGCCCGTTATTAACTTGTAGCCAAGTGAGTCGAATGCTACGTATCTGTGAAGAGATATTATTTAGTTTATACTAAAAATAATAATTATATATCAATAGCTGGATTTAAAGCATTTAATTTATATCTGCTTGGATTAGTTTTCTTTTCATTTGACTTGTTACTTTTGCCAACCGCATTGCATGTTCTCTTTTTCTACTCTATCAAGATTGGCTGATAGGAAAGGTATACAGTATAGTTTTTTTTTGGGACAATATTTCCGAATACATGGAATGAAATTCATTTCAATAAACAATAAAAAGTATATATATTCACTGATAATATTTATAGCTTTGAATCCCACCTGACTTTTTCATTGATGTTATTGGTGGAGACTTTAGTCATTGGTGCTGGCTGGCTCCAATCCCAGAAGTATAGCTCATTGTATGTAGCAATCACCAACAATTGTACCCTTGGATGAAAAGCTATCGAAGCTATGACAGTTTCGTTCCTCACATTCCATACTTCACTGCCACCCTACATATAAGGGACTCTTGAAAAATTAATAATAAACTAAATATTTTATACAGACACATAATTAATAATTTATGGAAATTCGTGAATCTTCACAGTTAAATATTTTTTTTTATAAAATTTACGTAAGTAGTAAGTACTGCTTAATTTTAATATCATTATTACAATTTTATTGACTATTCAGATGATTTTATACCAATACTTCAAGTTTATATACTTACACTTGATATATCCCACACTCTAACTTGTCCCGCAAGACAACCGGATCCTATTAGTTGAGGATGGGATGGATGGAAAGCAATACACCACGGTGTCCGAGGGTGACCTTTCAAAATCCTCACATGTTTCCCACTAGCTAGTTCTGATACATAGACATTGTGGTTCCCATGTGTTGATGCAACTTTGGTACTGTCACAAATATATTAAAAAGAATAATAATAAACTTCATGTACTAATTATAATATAACAACTTTTGCCCATGTAAAAATACACTGTAATTTTTTTAGGTATAAGATGTAATTGAAGAAATATTAAATTCAATTTGTATCACTTACCCATCCGGGCTAAATACCATAAGAAATGTGGATCTCGGATATCCTGGTAGGTCACAACACTGGAAAAAGAAAAAATATTCTATAAATTAAAATGTAATTAATAAAAATTTTAATAAAATGTAACTTTTAGGATAATTTTTAAGTAAGATATTAATAAAAAAAAAAGTATAGAGCAGCCACAATTGTGCTTATGATTCAAACAAAATGTTCCTTGAATAATAATATTAATATATTTATTTGCTCAAAGGTTAATACTCTAAAACAACAAATATAAAACTATTTAAATATAAAATTATGTATATTTGGTTAAAAATATTGTGATAAATTTATGAGATGACATGTTTTTGAGGAAACATAATACTCTTTTAAAACATTAAAGTTGTTTAAGAATTGTTATTTATATTTAAATAAAAACCAATTTGGATAACTCAGTTTACTATCTAAAAGTCTCTGATGAGGCATTCTAGCAAACTATTATAAATATACAAAATGTCATATTGCCTTAAGAATATACCCTTAACTGCGACCTAGAAGCTTACATTGAAAGAGTTGGGGGCAGTTTATCCCTTTATTTATGTTTTATTTTTTTAAATATGATCAAACTGCACAGGCTGTTGTTATAAGATGACCAAACAACAATACAGTTGCCATTTATCAGTGCAACCTCCCCATAATTTCAAACAAGGTAAATAATAAATTATCGCATTTTTAATGAAAAGCCTATAACAGGTTTTTTATCCTTGAAAACATATTATTTCCAGATTTTCACAAGAAGTGACGAGACAATTCTTGCACTTAATAATTTGAATACATTAATTACCACATCCTGACTGTTGAGTTAAAACAACTGCATATAAGAGAAAATAATGGCTTTCATTCATAACATAACCTTAATTATTTACTTTTGAATCAAGCTAAGTCTATAATAAAATAATTATCATGAAGCAAGGAAGTTGAGAGATTTTAATAGAATAAACCCAAATTTAATAAAACACAGACACAGCACTTTATTTGAAGTCCAGAAGAGTGAGAAAAAACCATTCTGATGTTAATCCATTATTATTGCTTTTGTGGTGTCCCAATAATTAAAATTATGAAATATTTTACCCTTAAACGAGTAATCCCAATTTTATTATTGTAATAATATTTGGTATTGATACATTATTGCTATTTGAAGTGATAAAATAATAATAAGATTTTGGTGTGAGTGGCTTGAATGAGGATTCTATTGCTCACAACTTATTACCTTTTTCAAAAACAACTTATCTTTTACTTTATTTTCTACCTAATTTATATAAAGTTGATTGGATGACTATTTATGTATTTCTTGTTTTGTTTTAATAATTCATTCATTAAATAAAAATGTTCACTTTGGTAAAATATCCTACAGTTCCAATGTGAATGAAGCCATAGAATAGAAAAGAAAAAAAATTTTTTTCTTAATTTGTTAAGTTCAATCTATGTATAGGTACATTACTAAATACTATCAATAGTCTGTATTAAAACTTACTCGTATCTTAAGAGGTTTTTGTACAAGTACATCCTCGGCCACATTTTCAAGTACTGTCTTATTTGATGGTGAGTTTGGAGCATTGACTCCTCTCTCCCTCCACTGCCAGCTCCTTGCTATGTTGCCAAATGTTGGTGGTTCATCGATCGGATCATTCTTACATCCCAGCCATTCATTGTCAATAACTGGATCCATTACCTTGATATAATTTCATTATGTAATCTTTAGTTAGCGGTTAATACTATCAGTCAAATATTAAATTGTAAAAGTTACTCTAATATTTGATGAATAAGAACGATTTTTTTTTACATCATTTAATAGTGAAAAGTTTTTTTTTTAAATTAAATATAAAAAAAGCATACAACTGTCTTAATGGTCCAGCCAGAGTCAATAGTTACCTTTTTAAATTGTGATAGGTGAAGAATAAGAAAAGTGAGAAATCTGAAAGAGAAATTTATTGAATATATGAAGATATTTACACTTTGTTTGTTATCAAATTCAATAGGGTTAGAAACTGTGTCCTTATTATAAATTATATCAATACTATATATTATATTGATTTATTACATTCACTATGAAAGTTATATAGAAATTATTTAAAGGTTCATTTTATTTTGTTTTTAGTGTTATATTTCTACATTTACGGCTACATTTGTAACTACTTATATCATATTGGAATATAAAACTAAAAGTAAATGGTCCGAAAGCCATATTGAATTAATGGTTATATATTTTAAACCTTTAGTTGACATATAATAACCAATATATTTCTCTAAATACAGCATTAGAATGAAGCACAGGTCGAAAGTGTATCGGTCAAAATAATGTACACAATCTGTCGATTAGTCTTAGCTTATGTGTCAATAAACAATGGTAGTTACCTCAATCATATTTTTGAAAGTTCGTCAAGGCTTATAATTTATTATATCACTTCAAGCGATTTTATAAGTAGAAATTTTAACTGCATTTATTTTATAAAAAATCTGCGCTTTAAGGTGTATTTTATTCTCAAAGAACTTCAGCAAACATTCAGCTACGAACTGTCAAAATTTAGTTTGCGTTCATAAACTGCTATATATGTAGATAATAAAAAGTTTTAATATATATGTAATAATTATTTTATCCGTCTCTTATATATATATTATTCTTTATTATTAAATTGATTAGTGTAAATGTAATGTTTTTTTTACTTTCAATTTAAACCCGAAAAATTATAGTGGAGAAAACAATACCTTTTATCTAAATATAGAAGTATAAGTATTTATACATAAATAAATTTCGATTTTATCAAATTTTCTAAAATACCAACAAATATGCATTAAATTTTATTAAGAGTAGCCATAATAGTTGATGTAAATTTGCAGTTTAAAAATACGAGTTTAACCCGAAATCGAGGAATTGTTTTATATTAATTTTGTATTTTTCAGTCTAAGCAAGATATTGAAATGTATTTATAATATTAATCCTTTCATGAAAGATCGAAAATTGCGTAGCAATCATAGTTATAATTAAGTAACAAAAACAGTTATACATTTTATTCGATTCATGTACTTAAAAAAAATCAATGAAAACCTTCTTAATGTTATGAACATTAATAGCAAAATATTTTCAAACACTTAACAATTAGACGTTTGAAAGATTGTTTATCTTAGTTATAATTTACCTTTATTAAGTTAACGTTGAACTTTTCACTGATATTTTTAAATTAAGTCATATTTTTTGGTATTTTTAGCTGATTGATAAAGGTGCCTGGTTTCTTTATCATTTGCTGACTTTAACATGTTTGGTGCGTTATTTTTATAAATAGCAAAACGAACGATATCAATGTTATATGAATGATGATATACAATGAAACGTGAACGTAATGGAAAATATTAATAAATAATTTTCTTTTTATTAAGTCATATTTAAATATACAAAACCAATTTATTAAGAAAGTTTCGTCATGATGACTGCTATACATTCAAATTTTATTATAGATTAAAATATTTATAGGTAAATGAATTTGGTTATTTGGACAACTGACTGTGGATTTCGTTGCAAAGAAAATTATTACATATCAAAGAATTTTCATCTGAACAAGCTAAAATATTAGATAGGCTTTTCGTTTGTTACATAAGACACATTGAATAGGCAATATACACTTTTCTACGTCCGTTAACTTCCTAAATACGATAAAGCGTAATTTATAATTTTCTTAAGTGTCTTTTTTGAACGCTTTGTAAATACTTATCATTAAGTAAGATGTGTGCTTGTTGAAGATTATAATAATGAATACGTATTCTTTCATTCGAATTTTGAGTATAAGGAAAGTAAAAAACAAATGGATATCCTTTAGCAACTCAGTAAAAGGTTCACAAAACAATTAGGCCTTCCACTTAGTACTCCGCTGTTACAAATTTAAATTCTGTATTTCAGTCCGCCTAAAAGTTTAGTAAATTCGAAACAAGTTTAAAACTACCCACAGTTAAGATGTAAGTTTAACGCGGTTTTCAAACTAGAATGGAAAGGTCAATTTATAGTTATTAAGCTGGTAGGAGTGAATAATCATTTTAAATATAGCCTGTTTAGATATTAGGTAGAGACAGTATAGAGTTTTTTCTTGTTCCAGTAGTAAAAACCGCGGTGAAGTATGGTTGGAACATCATAAACAAATCTAACCGCTTGAATATTCCGATCTCAAACGGTTTGCGGTAGAATACTAGATTGTTTCCTTTGAGAATGCGCGGCACGTTCATCTGTTAGAGCATGTAACAAGGAAATTAAGAACGACTTGTCACAAAGAAATTTCTTATGTCGGAGCCATTTTCATGCTCTTTGATATGAACATGGTAATGGTAGCATGCAGCCAATTGTAATGAGTTCCACCTTCATCTTATACGTAATTGGTTTAATCCTCTTAACAAGCCTCCATTACACTTTGAATTCATACAGGGAATGTTTAGTTTTATATTATTTTTGCTAAAATATTTACGTATAATTTCGTATTGATTGAGTAAATTATTTCATTTGATGTGATAAATTAAGGTTGTTAAATGTACGTACGTCAGTTTGAGGCGAAGTAGGAATCATTACTTTCCAACGCCATATGGATATCAAGATGAACATACATTATAGACGAGGAAGCGCGGTATTTCCCAAAATTTGATTCTCGGCAATTTCGCTCACGGAATAGATTATTTTTTTTTTCCAGAAGAAATGCGTCGCTTGCCTTGATTCAATTTTGACAATACAATCTAAATATTACGAGGTAATGCGTATGATTTATGAATATACATAATTTTACATCAAAAAAAGTTTATATATCATGTATTGCGTGTAATATATCAAATGAGAATGATGTATTATCTTTGTTATTGTCATTTTAACATGGCGGAAAATTATGTTATGTATCTATTTAGAACGTAATGTCGGGATAGAATTAAAATATAAGCAGAATCCATTTTTATTCGTCGTCTTATCCTCGTACTAAACATTTCCTATGATGATCCGTGTATGATTGAGAGCGATCGTGCGTGAAATGGCTTTTCCGAATCCTTTCTCAACCAGACCTAATATTCAACATACACTTAGATACGTCTTTTAATGGGATAATTAAAGTGATACATTTTAACCAAGTGCGTAAAATTAACGTAATAAAATAATGTTTTTGTAGGTCAACTAGGATTAATAAAAAATACTGAAGCTCTCTAGAAGTAATCTAGTCAAATAAATTTGTATTATTATTTTATTTTGTTCAGTTCTTACAAAAAAAATGTGTTAATCATTTATTTTTATTTAATCTGTAATTCAGTATATCAGAACTTTACTCATACCCATAACTAATTTGAGATTCAAATGAATTCAAAAAACTAACTAGTAATGAAATGATTCTATTCTGCTGTTCTTGTTTCCAACTAAAATTTAAATCTAGACGAACGTAGTCGCTGCCGAGGCTTGTGTTACTTTAAAGTACATAATGCTTTGGTAAAGTTGTATCCTATTTTAAAACAGTATCGTTGTTCAGTTTGTTAAGACAGACGTCAGCCAATTTGCCGGAAATAGAGCGCTCCTGTGTCTTCAGTATTCGCCAAGCGCCTACTAAAAGATTCAGTTTATTTAGAAGCAGATACTGTAAGAAATAATATAGATAAAGATTTTCCGTTTTAGAATATTGTAAAACTATAACTGGTTAAATTATAAGTGTTATTAACATACTAATATTAAATAGAAGTCCTAGATTCCCCGACCAGATATACGTATAATTTTGATTAATTTATTTATAGATTCTTGACCTATTTACTTTAAACTTAGGTAAATCTTTCCATTTTTAAGCTAAAATCTTTTAAAATTATTATTATGAAACAAGTTGATATAATTTCCAATATTGTTGTCAGTGAGGATAATAATTGCATGAAAATAAATAACTTTATTAATTAAATTTAATCAATATAAATATAAAACTTTAGTTTATGTTTTATAACATTATGTCATAAATTGCTACTTTTAGAATTTATTGACTCTCAGATTTTCGTGTACGTCTTTCCACATGATAGTGTCAAAATAGTTTTATGAGTGAGGCACAGAAAAACCTTCTTTGTGGTGTGACAGTGACACTCGTTAAGGGTGTGAAAACTACAAGTTAGGTTGTTATATACCTAGGTTCAACTTTTTTTGTGTAATTATTTTTACTGCTCTGGATACGAGTCTTTTTGAGCCTTAGGGGTCAAATAACTTTGTGAGTGTTACCATATCGAGGAAGTCTAAAGCAATTAGTACGATTTGATTGCATTAATAAGAATTGTTTCATTATATCTAAGGTCAAGTGTATAAGGTTATATCACTAATTGTATTATGCAAATTAGTTACTAGTATTACGTATTGTTATTAGACACGAAATTACAGTTTAGTCGAATTGGACACTTTGATCTGAAATAATCTGGTGTATGATTAGGAATTCAGAATTCAAATGTATTTCTAATTTAGGCATATACTTGGGTTTAGGACGTAGGAATTAACTAGTTAAATTAATATTTGTTTTCTTTGATATTCATTTCATTGTAAATATGTAACTTCATTCTTTCACTAATACTACAGAAACATTCCGAGCTATTAGTACATAATATGTAATAAAATTAAAAATAGTAAAGGAGTGTAGATACTACTCGGGTTATGTTTAAAAATTTATTCATTAAGTCTATTATAACAAACTTTCTGGA